TGGTGATATCCCAAAAGTCTTGGTGATGAACCCAATACTACTATTGGTGATATCCCAATAATCTCGATTGATATAACCTACCATGAACCATAGTTAACTATAGTTAACTATAGTTTTTTATATGCACACACTATGGTAACTATAAACCCACCTCAGCTGCCATTCATGCTGTGCAGACGGGCCATTCTTCAGCTCCTGGCCGGGGCTGGATGCCCCAGTGAAACGTGAACGTTGCTGGTCCGTTTCACCCCATGAATACTATAGTTCTATCATGTTATATCTACCATAAACCATAGAATTCAACCACTTACAAGGCACCTCAACGCTATATAAGGCACCTGAACGCTATCGAACGGGGGCCCCATCCTGTATGTATCTGAAGATTTGGGTACCTTGTGGGGTATAGCCGTACAAATCGTAGTGTCAAAGGCCATAATTTTTTATTCACCAGTTTATAGTAGCCAATTTTCAAACACATTTGGTACGGAATATACCATAAACCCCTGTTTTTGGTGTATGTTCTTGCTTTTTGACATGGATCCACATGATAAGGTTGTATGCCTCCAATATCCTAGCTGAAAATTTACACATGGACTACCATGAACCCATGGACAAGCTGTAGTGGAATTCAAATACTTTTTGTGGTCTAAGGTTTTTGATTCCCAGTTGTTAACATGCAAAAACAGTGCGCCAACAAACATTAGATACCACTTGCTTTTTTCCAGCAAAATATCCGCAAACATTATGGGTGGCGCTCTTCCTTTTAAACAAATCAGTCTTCCTTGAACAAAAAACAAACTATTGAGTATCCCTGCAAATGATTCCGTTTTCTTTGAGAGCAACATGGCAAACACTCATTGCTTGGACTTGCTTAAGGACCCTCAAAAAAATCAAACATATTCTGTATAGATTGCCCAAGTAGTGGATTTATCATAAGGGACAGAAAAATAATCTTCAGCAATTTCATATTCTCAGATGGGACACGTCTATCTCTCCGTTTCTGGGTTGGCACACATCCATTTACCTATGGAGTGTTCAATATGGGGCGCCTATATATTTGTACACAGACATATATTTCTGTGATTATTACTGCACAGCATGTGCGATAATCTCGCGTTGTTACAAAAACTGTGTGTAATGTCATGTTTTTCCTTACAACTATGGTCCTTTTGCACTTGGTTGCATCATCTTAAGCATCAAAATGGCCTCCCTGAGTTTAGTAGTAGAGAGCGAGGAAAGAACAACTGGTCAACGGATTTTGGACATGCCACCCACAATCAAGACCTGAGTATGGATCCACAAGCCCCAACATTGTATGGTACAATCCGGATCATGACTAAACTGGCTTCCTTCGCCAGTCTAGACCTAGCCCTTGTGCTAAACCTCAAAGATAGTTTAGGTCTTTAAGATTTCCCAAGTAAGATTCGAGATTCAAATTAAGATTAATTAATTAATTAGTTTAAAACACATAGCCAAAAAAATCAAGATAATTCTCCCAGTTCCTTCGCCGCTTCCAGGTTAAACCCTGTAGATTTCATCGATTTTTCATCATCGTCCAGCCCCTTTTTTCTTGTCCTCTTCCAAGAGATTGCAGGTCTCTTGCATATGATCCCTGGTCCTTAGCATCTGCAAAAGTGCGATATGTACTAATTCATACTAATTCGTGTTTGAGCCCTACCCCTCTGAAAAATATGAGTTCGTCAGATTGGATCATCATCCCAAGTATTGGGGAAAATCATGGACTGAAAAGTGGGTGGTGGTTACCCTCTGGTAAAATAACATAGCTATGGAAAATCACAATGCTACTAATGGGAAAACTCACGAACTTTCTATGGCCATTTTCAAGTTCGCAAACCGTTAGTTTACCAGAGGGTAAATCCCATTAAAATCACAATTTTTGTTGGTTAAATCCCATTAAACCACTATTAAACCACCGTTAATGGGTAGATACGTTGGAGGTCACTAGACACCCAACATTGAGCAAATTTCGGAGCTTTGCGAAGTCATGGGTTCGTCGGAAAGCACCCAAAAAGGATCATGAGTTCGTCGGAAAGCAGCAATTTTTCATCTAATCCATTATCAACTAGTTAATTGACCCATGAAAATATGGGAAATCTATGGAAAATCTATGGGAAATAGGGCAAAATGGTTTATAAACCCTATGAATACTATAGTTATACATGTTATATCTACCATAAACCATAGCTGGTTGGTAGTATACCTACCCCGAAAAATATGACTTCGTCAGTTGGGATTATGATTCCCAATATAAGGAAAAATAAAATTCATGTTCCAAACCACCAACCAGAGTTCATTGACCAATCATGCTTTTGAAAAGAAATGGCCAGCAAATTCAAATCATGACGTACCTCGGTTGTGAGAGATGGAAGGCAATCCCCTTTTTTTAACCATCGACCAAAGAAGTGGAACTTGGGCACATTGATGGTTGGAGGAAAACCCAAGTGCTGCGCTCTGAAAGAATCGTTGTCCTGCTGCGTAACGCATGTGTTCAAGCACCAAAAATACGACATACAAATCCAACCGGATAGTGCTAAGCAGGGATTTTACGCACAATAAAACTGACCATGTACTCATGTACTAGGCATTTTTTGACAATGAGGGGTACTGATCCAAGAATTCCCTTCTCAATTTTGAAACCCATCATAATGCATCTATTAATCACACCAAAATTGGGTACAACAAATGGGTGCGGAGAGATGCATGGCCAACGTCTTTGTCTTCCGGCTTTGACCGGTCTACCAGCTGTAGGTGTCGTGGTAACATTCTCCTGGCCTATTTTGGGATGTCAAGTTTATGGATTCTGATAGTGTTTTGGATAGTATACAGTACAAGTATGTCCAATAGAGTAGATTATGTCATAGTTATGTAATAGCAATAAAATGGATTATGATCATATGTAATGATATATGTACCAATCCATGAAAACACATCATAATCACCATGAACTTCCATATGTTCTTGGTAAAATCACATTACATCCCATTTCTATTGACTAAAATCCATGTTACATCCCCCAACATCCATATTGTTGCTCATGTGTCCAATATATCATATTAGATTCCCATATCATATTCAGTAAGTAAAAAACTCATTAAACTATTATAACTGGTTGGTGGTTTCAACCCCTCTGAAAAATATTAGTCAGTTGGGGTTGTTGTTCCAAAGATATGGAAAGTCATAATCCATTCATGTTCCAAACCACCAACCAGTATAGTATACCCTCTGGTAAAACTAACAAAACTATGGAACATCACCATTTTTAACTTCGGTAAATCAACGAAATAAATGGTCCACTTTCCATTAAAATCACCATGAATCCTCCATGAATTTGGGCGACATCCCTGGCCTAATCGATTAGGCCTCCCCGCGATTTCAGTTTCTGGACATCGTCGGAGCTCATCAGAGCTGGAGCTTTACCCACCTCGCAGCTACGAACCGCTGGCGTTTCTGAGAGTTACGCCTATGGCTTACTAAGATCAATGGTCATATAAGCCATTACTCTATATATTAACCATAGTTTATTAACCATAGTTTGTTAACCATAGTTTATTTTACTAATATATCCCTAACCACCAGTATATTAATTGTTTATGGCAGTTTACCAATTGTAAATGGTGAACCAACTGGTTATTTCTATGGGATTATACATTCCATTTTCGTGGGATTCTAAGTGCTTATAGCTGGTATTTCGGGCCATAACTGTATGGCTTTTACCAGTTGTAATAGGTTATTTCACTGACTAAATGATGGAATGACAATGGTTCTAAATCATAATGATAATGATAACGCACGTTTTTTTAACGTTTATTGATGGAATGATAATGGTTCTAAATGAGGTTATCATTCCATCAATGGGGTTCTTTCACAGACTTATGACTGGTAAAGGGCCACAACTGTATCTTATAGCGAAAATAAAACAACATATGGGGGTTTCTTAAATGATGGATACCCAAGACAATGGATTTCAAAACTAAAATGGTCATTCATGACTTGAATGATTTGGGGGTACCCTAATTTTGGGACACCTCCAACAACAAAACAAAATATGGTGGAAACAACAAATGGTTTCGGTATTTCTCTCTAGAATTTTATGACAGACTGACAATACCTGGAATTTCTTCTGAAATGATTTAGGGGGCCATCTGGGCAAATTACCCTCTGGTAAACTAACGGTTAGCTATTGAATATGGCCATAGACATAGTGGATTTACCTATTAATAGCATGGTGATTTTCCAGTTCGTTATTCTAACAGTTTACCAGAGGGTATCATATTTCACTAACCTGAAATAAGACCATATTGGGATAATTCCCCTTGCCCTAAACTAACATAACTATGGAAAATCACCATTTTTTATGGGAAAATCCACTATAAATGGCAATTTTCAATAGCTATGTAACGAATTACCAGAGGGTAACTCCCATTAAAATCACCATTTTTGTTGGTTAAATCCCATTAAACCACCATTAAACCACCATTAAACCATGATGAACCAGGCGAACCGGTCGCTGAGTCACTACGATTCCCGGTTCGGATCCAGGGCCTTTTACATTTGCCACAGCAAATCTTCAGCAACTCCCGGCGATTTATGGAGAACCCGTGGAAACAACCGTGGAAACAAAACAACAAAAATCACTTAATAGATAGTTTTTGGTATTAGTGATCTAATAGTCAATAGTTAATTATCTATCTAATGGTGATCTTAAATGTCAATTGACTTAGAATACTTAATATTATTAATACTATCACTTATTAGATAATTGACATTGATAGTATTGGCATTGATAGATAACTATTGATAATCATTGGTTAGCTATCAATAATATTGGCAATTATTAGTATTTGATTTATTTGTATTACATTATTATCTATCAATTATCTATCAATTATCTATTAGTATTTATTTTGACATTGATAATTGGTTTGTGATACATTGGTTTTGCCAGAACTAATTGAAAAACAATACAAAATACAATGGTTTGCCCCTCATTTTCTAGTGGCAGTTTTTGGGATATATCCATCCCATTTCCAAATGGCACATCCCTGTTCTTGGTGGTTTCTTGATCCCTTGCTAAAGTGTAAGTTTTAGTGGGATGTGTTTTATAAAATGTAAACCCATCTGATTTTCCCAAATTTTGGCAATTGCTTCATTGATTGTTCTCCCCCAACATAGAAACCCATTCGGATAAATCAACCCTCAGATGTGGATAACACATGGGAAAAACCATTCGAAAAATGATCATCCCAAAAACTCGCGATTTTCCATATCGAACTATTTTTACTGGAGGGCATCAAAAAAGGAAAGATGATTTCACTCTATTCCCATTATATATATATACACCCACATCACCCACTAAAGGAATTACCTTTTCTTTCCGAGTGAAATCTACCATATGATTGCCAATATATATATATATTACTGATGGTATATGATACCATATATTATATCAGTAATATGATACTATATATTAATATTGAACCCCCACATAGGGATAACCAATGATGCTTGTTGGTTTATAAACCCCATTAACATCCATTAACTAGTTCGTAATATCTACCATAAACTATGGATAATGCTGATATAACTATAATGGTGTTTGGATAATAATACCTATAGTTAACATACGTACTTTCATGGATAATGGATAACTATAGTTGCCATACTTTAATTATCATAACTATATATTAGTAACTATCCATAAAGAAGTACTTTAATTACCATACTTTATTTTATTAGTTACCATAACTAGAGTTACCATAATCATGATTTCAAAATTATGGTAACTAATATAATAATTGGGATTATAAATTATGTTGGAATTATGCTATAATTATTGATTTCATGGAAAATGACCAACATGATGAGTTGACATCCCACCCTGTTTTTTCCCAACATTTAATTATCATAATTACTTTATAACATAATAGTTACCATAACTAGAGTTACCATCATCATGGATAGTGAGTGAAATTACAGTTACCATCATCATGGATAGAGTTACCATCATCATGATCATTTCACTAGAGTTAACATAATTATAGTTACCATCATCATGAGTGAAATCCCACCCGTTTTTTTCCCAACATGATTTACATCCGACCGTCCCCAAGCAGGTGCCGAAGAGGTCAACGTCCTGACGAGGATGAAATCGACGTTTTTGGCGTGGTGAAGTTTTTTGGATCCCCAGTAAAAGATGTGATGAAGTATTGCTTCTCATGGGATTTTAAGGGATTTTATGGGTTTAATGGGATTTTATGGTGGTTTAATGGGATCTAATGGTGGTTTAATGGGATCTAATGGGATTTAAAAGAATTTACCCTTTGGTAAACATACCAAAAACTGATGGGAAAATCACCATGCTATTAATGGGTAAACCAACTATAAATTGGCAATTTTCAATAGCAAACTGGTAGTTTACCGGAGGGTATTGCTGGTTATACCTTGGTGGTTCATCCAACTTACTAATTTATTGCAGGAAAAAACCATTACTAACCATAGTTTAATATAGCCATTACTAAGATCAATGGTCATATAAGCCATTACTGGGTATATTAACCATAGTTTATTAAACGTACTTTATTTTACTAATATATCCCTAACCACTAGTAAATTAATTGTTTAGGCAGTTTACCACTTGTAAATGGTGAACTAACTGGTTATTTCTATGGGATTATACATTCCATCAGTGGGATCTTAAGTACTTATAACTGGTATTTCGGGCCACAACTGTAGCAGTATCCCCAACCACTAGTATATTATGGTTTCATAGATTTCATAGTGATGGTTTATAACATCTCTAGTTATGAACCACTAACCACTATGGAAGGCGATATTATTACTTACCACTATCTTCATATACCACTAAGTTCTGATACATTGTGTACCATTAATTCATTGTGATGGAAATATGACCATTAATGGATAAATGTATATTGTCGCTATCTACAAGCACTTTGGTGAGAAATCATTATCCGATGAAACACTATGGTATCCGATATTTTGATTCCAAGTGAAACACATTGGATCTCATAATATTGGCTGGTAGTGCCCATCCCAATTATGAGGGAACATTATGGCACAATCTTTGGGAGAATGATGAAACAAGTTGCACATTTTTGGGGGCTGATTAGTAGATAATCCCAATGAAGTAAAATAAGTATAGATTGGCAATGATAATCAATGAGCCAATGATCAATAATATTCCTTCGCATTTTTGGATGATTGGGGATGACAATAAGCATCAGAATCATGATGAAAGCATAACATTATAATTACACGTTTTGTTTTTACTATTAATAAATCAATGTTTACAAATCAAACACATATATAATTAGGCACAGTAACGGTAACAATAATGCAGGTATTTGATGGTATTTGTTTAGCTGCTTTGTGGTAAAAGTATTAGCCATACAGTGGAAATAAGTATGATGTTTTTGTTGGCAATTGCCAAAACACGGCAACTATTATATACACTAAAAATAATTCTACGGTGGTTATTATACTTCAGCAAATACTATCCATTATCATCAAATACTATTATCATCTATCATCCATTATATAGCATCATCAATACGTGTTCTACTTTATGATTCCATCATTATTCCAGTATTTTTCCACGCTATGCCAATGCTATTCGATACTTATCCATACTTATCCAATAATTTATCATTATCATAATGAATTACCCCCTAGCGTGGTAAACCCAATAATAAACGAACCCCAAGTCCACAAGTTTGAGGTTTATGAAATTGGGTACCCTCTGGTAAACTAACATAGCGAACTGTAAAATCACCATGTTTAAGTTCGGTAAATCAACGAACTAAAGGTGCCATGTTCAATAGCCATGTTTTATTACCATATATTGCCATATATTACCATATATTACCATATATTACCAGAGGCTACTGAATACCCCTATTACAAATTACTCGTTTTGTTTTGTTTAGCATGACCCCGGCAGCGGTTGATGGGATGGTGGTTCGAAATCAGCATTGGGTTTGCCCAAATTAATCTGAGTACCCGGCCTGGTAATTTAACATAACTGATGGGAAAATCACCATTTTTTAATGGGAAAATCCACGAAATAAATGGCCATTTTCAATAGCTAACTGTTAAATTACCAGAGGGTAAATTTGATTGGATTGGTTTAAGGGAAAATTTACAGGAAACCATAGATTTTCCTATTGAATATGGGTCTTTCCTGTAGATTTTCCCTTAAACCAATCCATTGAAAATTAGATGTTCTACGAATTGTGCCATTTAATTGAACAGATAATTAGATTAACTGCTATACTGGTTGTATACCCAGATCATAATTTGTTGGTTTCATATATCCCCAATATCCCATTATAACCATTAGGAACCATTATTTGTTATGTTTTCTCCATATTATCCATTAACTTAAACAGTTATCTAAAATGGGGACTTAGATTACACTTACACCATGATCTATGATATCTATGATCATTTACCCCATGATATTAGTTATGATTTGTTTAATAATGGAGGGTATAACCATTATAATGTGGTTAAAACACTAATAAACAATCCCCTAAATCACCATAAATGGGTGGTATAAACCATCACAATCTGGGAGGTTTATGACATTGCTTTACGCCCCATTAATAGATTTGTCATTATTAAACATTATAAATGGTCATGGTTCTACCATGTTATACCCCCCATTTACTAATAACCAACCATAATTCAATAATGGAGGGTATAACCATGATAATAGATTTGTTAATCATAAATAGAATCTAATTAAATCATTATTAATCTATTAGTGCTGATCCTCCCCATTTGAAAATCACCCAATTTGATCGCATTCGACCATTCGGCACCTCCGCCTGCGTCTCGGGACGTTGCATCCACTGGAACAGGTCGGTTAGGGCCTGGGTTTAGGGATGGAAAAATGGAGGGAAACTATGGGAAAATATAGGGAACCATGGAGAAATCCCCACATTTTTGAATGGTTCATCTTAGATACCGGCCAAAAAAACGAATTCATTTTTAGCTGGTTGACCCAGTTTTTGACCTGTTTACCAAGGGTAATGTAAATGATGTTTCTGAAAAAAGAACTTGGAAACACTGCTTGCTTTATCCCGCACCAGTCATACATCTTCATCAGTGTCCCATTCTTCTGCACGATGTTCTTGATATCATCGTCAGTGGTTGATTTCTGCATCAGCATGTCTTGACACCAATGCAAGAGATCCAAGATGAATTCTCAAACAGACCGCGCATGTCTCAAACAAACGGTCCACGATCGCTTGGGTTTATCAAATGGGATGGATCGGAGAGTGAAAAGATATGAGAAGCATCATTTTTTCCCATCCTGAAATCATGAAATCCCCAGAGGCAGAGTTCAGTGCAGTGGGATCAGTGGCTTACCGGGATAGATCTCAAGGCATGGGATTCTTCCAAATCAAAGACCGCACCCAATAACAAGTTTTTAATGGGTGGTTCATATTTAAACAGAATATCCTACAATAAGCCCAAATGAGGGATAGTATCTTGTTGGGTTTACCACAAGAAGACATAACTAAGACAAAGTAGGCTGAGCAAATATTGGGAAATCGTGCAAAAGTGCTTGCATCTGCCGCCTTTTCACCCGTGTGCACGAGTGCAAATCTCAATAACGGACAGAATATATAAACTTGCAAAAAACGACAAACGTGATGGACTAAGACTATTATCGTTTGCAGTGGGAGGCTCGAATAACTATGCTTTTTGGCAATAAACTCTGTTCAAGTAGGACTTTACTTTTCTACATTTCCATGTAAGGATGTACATTCATCGATGTTTCCTTACATGCTGTGACTCTTGCTATACCACCCTTGGCTGTTCTACTCATACTCTTCATGCACAAGTGGGTTCAAACATGTTCAAGCCAATATTTTCCAACATCGAAAGTGGCGGGTAAAGCACGGTTTACATCACCGCTTTCAGTGGCATCCCTCCTTCCCAGTACTCACCACTGAGTCCCAGGCGGCAATGTCACAACCATCGATCTTCGCATTGTAGTGCGTGCACATCCTATCAAGACACTGGTTGGTGGTTGAGCCCTACTCCTCTGAAACATATGACAGTTAATTGGGAAAAAACATCCCAATATATGGAAATTCATAAAATTCCATATATTAACCATGTATTTCCATATATTAACCATATATTTCCATATATTAACCATGTATTTCTATATATTAACCATATATTTCCATATATTAACCATGTATTTCCATATATTAACCATATATTTCCATATATTAACCATGTATTTCCATATATTAACCATATATTTATGATTAACCCATATTAAAACATGTTCCAAAATAGCAAAAACCAACCAAGACAGGACATGTCATGCTGCATGAATGTTTGACTGAGCTCGACACTGGCGCAAGTTTTCCTGCAACTGCACCTAAGACAGGGTCTATCGGAGGCCTGGTGTTGAATCATGAGAGTGTTGATCCTATATAAACAAGCTCATTGGGTATCTAAGCTACAAAAAATGATCATGTATGGAATACAAATCTGGTTGGTGGTTTCAACCCCGCTGAAAAATATGAAAGTCAGTTGGGATGATTATTCCCGATATATGGAAAGTCATATTCCATTTATGTTCCAAACCACCAACCAGTTAAGTTCAACCTATCCATAATTGAGAATCATTGGCAGTGGCAGTGGATTGAGACTAGGATTTGCGCTTGATGGGGCATTCAAAAAAACACAGTTGACTCTGGAATGGTGGAGCTAACCTACAAAATACAAGACATCTTCAGCAAATACAGCCCTACCAACTACAACTGGCATCTTCAGTAATTTCTACAAGCAGGTCAACCGTTTTTGACCAGTGGATGTACCCTCTGGTAAACTGTTACATAACTATGGCATTATGGAAAATCACCGTTTTTCATGGGTAAATCAACTCTAAATGGCAATTTTCAATAACTTTTTGTATGTTGACCCAGTGGATGTAAACTGGATAGAACTGGCCTATGATTCGCTAACCTGAACACTTCGGCCCTAAGCATCAGCATCATTCTAGTAACCCCTAGCAACGTGAAATCTTGATCATTTCTATATCTGGTTGGTGGTTGAGCCCTACCCCTCTGAAAAATGATGGACTTCGTCAGTTGGGATGATGACATTCCCAATATAGTGACGGACACTCACTTAGAACGTCATTTGGAAAACGCTTTGTTTTTTTAAAATGTCTATTTCTATGTTTGGAACAGCCGTGAACCCTCACAGTTAGAACTAGGAAAATCGATCATTTAGAACATCCCATGATGATCTATTGACATAACTATATTTCTATGTGCACAAAAGTTATCAATTAGCTGTGGAGACCCCCACACTTAGAACATCCCATGATGATCTATTGACATAACTATATTTATATGCACACAACAGTTATCAATTAGCTGTGGAGACCCCCACACTTAGAACATCCAAAGACATTACAACACACATATATATATATATAAGGTCCTCCACCCACATAGAATATGGAATTGAAATTTTGGCTTCCCCGGGCATCCCAGGAATTGAACTTGAAAAACGATACTTAGAATATCTTAGAATACAGTTGACGTCAAAAAACCTATACTTAGAACACCGTTGGACCATATAATTTCTTTCGCTTGTCCAGACGAATTCGTCATTTTTCCATATAAATTCTTTCACTTGTTCAATCAAATTCAGCATTTTTCCATATGTGCTTTTCATTTTCTTGGAAAAACCTTCACATGTTCCATACAAATTCTTCACTTTTCCAGATTTCTTCCATATAAATTCTTTCATGTTTCCAGACAAATAGATACGTAAAATTTTAAGCTGTGGAGACCCCCACCCTTAGAACACCCCAAGGCATTACAACATGTGTATATATATATATTTCTATAATGATCTATTGACATAACTATATTTTGATTGGCTAACATGTTGATTGGGCGCAGACAGGAAAATAAACGTGACCGAACTCTTTGTTTGTGATGTTTTGTGTGGGGAGCCAGGGTTAGTTGCAAGGAGCCTCACACTTAGAACATCCATTTCCTGACGTCTAACTGTTTTGGGTCAGTAGTGTCAACCATGTTCTAAGTGTAGGGGGTCCCTTCTGTTCTAAGTGTGAGAGTCCAAAATTTTGGAAAAATGACGTTCTAAGTGATTGTCCGGCACTATATATGGAAAGTCATAATCCATTCACGTTCCAGTCACCACCAAGCAGTAATTATTAATTATATCACAGATTGCGTATTGATTGTTCTGCATTCCCATATCCCCATGATATACCCCACTCATATCCCAGTACATCTGATCCCTATAACTTGAGCCCTATGGGATCTTCGAACCATGTCCGTAGCGGCTCAGCTGGGTTGGTAAAATCAGGCGGGCCTGAAGCTCGCTGGTTTAGTTACAAAAGTGAAGGCTTTTGAAGGCTGGCACTTCACAAGTTTTAAGGCTGACTTGGACAGTTGACTGGATTGAATCTGCCTCAGAAACGTGGTCAAACCTGTCAGAAACAGGAGACAGCTGGATCCAAAGATCACTGATTTGTAATTATTTATTTCGTGCCCATGATATTTTCAATATACCCAGTGATACCCTACTTTACCAGGAAAACCATCATTTGTGAATTGGTCTTCATTCAAGCCTACATTTTCATGCTTGAATCCACCCATGCTTTGGTTGAATCCATTTGTTTAAAAGGATAGATCACCATTAAACACCAGTTTGCATGGATGAATCACCATCATAAATCCCAAATTTGAGGAAACCAATGGAAAACACAGTGGCCACGCAGTAGCCATTTCCCACCGGAGCTCCCTGTTTCTGGGCCGTCCAAACCAGTTCTGGCTGCCCCGCGGCAATGCGTCCGCTTCTGACGACACGCTTCCCAGGCGAGAAGCCGTCCCCATGCCACAGAAAAATGCTGTATACAGTTATGGCCTTATAAATACCCTCTGGTAAACTAACGGTTAGCTATTGAAAATGGCCATTTATAGTTGACTTTCCCATTAAAAATGGTGATGTTCCATGTTATGTTAGTTTACCAGAGGGTAGTTATAATCCCATCAACATGGAATGTGGTTGATCCCATAGACATAACCAGTTATACGGTACTGTGGGGAAAAAAAACAAGAAATAAACCAGCCATGACGCTTCAAAAAAACACCTATAAAAATGGTGAAATTGGGGAACGGTTTAAACATGATTGTTTTACCTACCCTCTGGTAAACTAACGGTTAGCCATTTGAAAATAACCACTTATAGTTGATTTCCCAACAAAAATGGTGATTTTCCCATCAGTTTTTGTATGTTGACCAGGCCGGGTACATTTGTAGCCCCAAAAGCCAGTTGGAAGATCCCACCTTGTTGCGATTCATGGGATGGTCCACTAGAGATGTAAAGCTACAAAACTGCGTGAGAAACTGCCGCAATAAAACATTTGAATGACACTCCATCTCCTGATAGGAATGACATCTCCAAAGTGGGACCGGGGAATGAAGCGATCCAGCACTAAAGCAAGTCGTTTCGATTTTTGGGAGAATGTTTATGAATGTGTGTGAGAAGGCGGAAGGGACGAACATTTGTTCCAAGAATAATCCATGGGTAAATCAACCATAGGTAGAGCATATATGTAGTGGGTGATTAAGCCACCTGCCCTGAGAGCTATGAGGTATCCCTGTACCTGTTTTCGTATAACATCAAGAAGGGGATACTAAAGGAAGAAATCGGGGATATACCTAGACCCTTCAAAATACCATCAAAGATGTAAACGTACTAAGATTGTGCCGTAAAGTGCAATCTTTAAGGGTACAAACAGAGGGCCAAATAGTGTCCGAGGATTCTGTTTCATGCTAACCTTCAAATGCACAGTTCTCCCAGGTTTTTTTGAGTGGAGTTGTCATCACCAATTCCGAGATCTTGGATGAATTGGGCCCCTAAAATTGGTTCCGCTCAGGACTCACAGGTGGTGAATTTCTTGCCTGAAACATAGACCTTACACTGTGCCAATCTTTGGCAGTCTACAAAAACATGTACCCTCTGGTAAACTGTTACATAACTATGGAAAATCAATTGTTACTTGATAAATCCACTATAAATGGCCATTTTCAATAGCTATGTAACAAATTACCAGAGGGTAATAGCCCTGTCACTGTGGACTCGATATTTGTGGATTCATGAGATGTAATTCATGAAGACATTGCGGATTCATGAAGAACAACATCGGCATTTCCCCCCAATGTGCCCTCCAAATTCATTGATATTCCAATCTGGCTGACCTTCTCTATTCCAACCTGGCAGTGAGAAATCACCCATGAACAATCGATGCTCCAGTTCGAGTGGATTTCCAAAAAAAGGAAAAATGGGGGCCACGAATCAGCGACATTAATGTAGATATATAAACTATGTAGATCTAGATAGGAGATATTAAGACATAGACATAGACACAGAATAGATAGATGTATATCTATATCTATCTTTATCTATATCTATATAATATATATTTCTATTATACACACACACATATATATATATATATTATATAATATATATCATAAATACATCCAGCCACAACCCCAAGTGATAACCAAGGACTTCGTGCCTGGAAGTGGTGACCACATAAGGTGCCCCCGCTGCAGCCAACTCGTACCTACACCGTAGGTACCGAAAACCGTACCATATGAGGATGGGTCAAAAGCAATTCCTGGTAGCTGGTAAATGGAAAATAGTTGGTTAATAGATATTTATGGTAAATAGCTGGTAAATAGCTGGTAAATAGCTGGTGAAAATATCCCATGGTTAATAGTTAATAGATATTTTCCATATGATGAAAATAGCTGGTAAATAATGGATGTTCATTGCTCAAGAAATTGTATAAGCATTGATCCATGGCCATATGGAGGTCTAAACGTACCATAGGGGACTTACTAAGGGGTCATGACTCAAGATTCCCCGAGATGTAAACAACACCCAAGAATGTATAAAATGTCTTGTCTTCACATTGGAACTTAAATGCTAGCAAACATTTGCCAAGAACAACCCAGAATGACCCAGATGGGGGCAATCACAACACAATCAGACATAGCATATGGCCTCTAGCTTAAGGCTGTCAGAGTTAGCACTCTACAAAAGATTGAACATTTTTTCAAGACAGTAGCAACATATGAACTAGACCCGTGTTCAACACCAAACCTGTTAGGATTTAAATCGTCACTTTCTACTAATTGTGCTCAGTATTTCCTAAGGATTTCTAAGTTTCCCCTTCCAACCAGAGGCCGCAAAGATCTACAGTTTTTTTTGAGGCCGCGTCGGCGTCAGGGTATCCGCTGGGTGCCTGAACGGATGAAGATCATTCGGAGTCGTCGGTTTTTCAACCACTCATGCTTCATCAAGTTTCGACATGGTTCCAGTTTTTACATCCTAAACATCCCACCATCCAAGCAAAAAATAAGAGAAACGTCAAATCCTACCCCTCTGGTTATTTAACATAGCCATGGAAAATGGCCCATTTATAGATGGTTTACCTGAATTTACCTATTAAAAATTGTGATTACCGTTTAAGGTCGCACAGCGCCTCGATTGCCGGCAGTTGCCAGGGATCCAGTCTTGCGAGGCAACCTGGGAGGAGTTGTCGGTGGATAATCATTCCGAGGGATTTTCAGGGGTAGATTATGGTTCCCCGGGAAAAAAAAGTCAAACAAGGATCAACTATCCATGGGTACCAAATGGCAATGCAAATTAGAGTTGATTGCTAGTTGTTGCCAATCAGTGCATCTGCGCCATTGCGATTAGAACCTGCGCAAGACACCTACCTCATGGCCCACTGACCATATCATATCATCCCATAGAAGGGGGCACAAGGGGGCACTGTCCAGTTTTTTTGGGTCCTTAAAGCGCATTCACCTAGAAAGATTCTGGCGTACACCAGTTAGTTAACTCAGTTCTAAACCAACTTAGCTAACATTAGCTAACTATGGGGCACCACCAGGTACAATCATGTGATGTGCATCCACGTCTGATACACACCATGCCTAAGGTCGCACATCAAGTCAAGGCTTAACCACACAATTGTAGAGTATCGTCATGTTTGTTGGCTCCTGAGGGTTTTTTATCTTCATTTCTCAGGCATGACAAACAATACCCTCTGGTAAACTAACATAGCCATAGCTATTGAAAATGGCCATTTATAGTGCGTTTACCCATTAAAAATGGTGATTTTCCATAGCTATGTTAAATTACCAGAGGGTAACCAATTGTAGTTGCTGGTTTTCTGAATTTCACACTGCTATGTAACTTTTCCCTTTGTTCTTGTTACGTTCAACCAGATTCAACCCCGTGAATAGCTTGGCTTTCTTGTTGAGTACAATTCTTATCCAAATCAACACAGCATCGTCAAAACAGCCGCAGATCAAAAGCCACATTTAACGAGAACCAAATCAGATTATCAGTAGGTCAAATTCCAGGAGTTGCTTTGGTATACCAATTACCTATATACATGATATATATATATATACACTGGTTGGTGGTTTTAACCATCTTGAAAAATATGAGTTCGTCAATGGGGTTGGGATTATCCCATATATGAAATGGAAAATAAAAACCATGTTTGAAACCACCAGCCAGTAATATTGATATATAACAATTACCCTATGGTTATTTAACATAGCAATGGAAGCCATGGCCCATTGATAGATGTTTTTTGATGATATATATATATATATATAAAACAGCTGTATTAATGGAATACCCCTCTATATATATATATATATATGATACCTATATACATTATATACACACATATATATATATACAGAAAACCGATGAGCCTCTTTTCACATGTTTTAAGAGTCCCCTTTTATGGGACCACCATTCCCATCACCTTTTATCTTCGAAAGCCGATTGGAAGAAATTTCATCGTGATCATCCCATGATACCCGGCCTGGTAAACTGTTACAAAACTGATGGGAAAATCACCATGCTATGAATGGGTAAATCCACTATGTCGACTGGGCCATTTTCCAGTTTGCTAACTTTGTATGTTTACCAGAGGGTATTCCCATGAATTGCCATGAACATATCCCATGAATCTTCCATCAATAAGCATTACCCTCCAGTTCGACCCTGTCAGTCATCGGGGTTGGAAGACTAGTGAACCATTAAAAATGGGTGATTTTCAGGGTCCAACTGTTAATTTACCAGATGGTAATCATGATATTGATATTCAATGGATTGGTTTTGTTGGGAAAATCTACAGGAAACCATGGTTTTTACCATGAAATATAAGGGTTTCCTGTAATCATGAAAATGTTCCTGGGATATGTCCAACATGATCCTTTGGTCCAAGGATTGGATGACAACCATGCAACCAACCATGGAAGCATAGCATATTTTTTCATGACGGAAAAAACAAGTTTAGTTAATGTAGTTCATGAAAATGACATTAACTAATGTGAATCTCATCTCATTGCTGGTTATACCTTGCGGGTTCATCCAACTTACAAATCTATTACAGTTATGGCCGTTTACCAATTATAAATGGTTATAACTGGTTATTTCTATATGGTATTACACACTCCATGAATGGGATTGTAAGTACAAAGACAACCTAGATTTCGGGCCATAAGTGTAGCATTATCCCCAACCACTAGTTCATTATGGTACATCCCTGATTATGAATCGCTAACCACTACGGGAGATGATATAATCACGTACTATTATACATGGTGTACCATTAATTCACTCTGATGTAATTATTGCCATTAATGGATACATTATATCTATATTACCATTATACCTAAGCACTTTGGTGAGAAACCATTACCAGCTGAAATACTATGGTATCCGATATTAGAATGGTAACTATTATATGAATCACTAACCATATGAATAGTTCTGAACTGTTTCGATAGTTGCCATTATAATATCATTGCTAACCATTAAATGATACCATTCTTATATCACTAAATATTATCGCTAACTAAGTAACAACTACGTGTTTATAAATATAAGAACCACTATTTTATAAATCACAAACCAGTTAACACCATCTATTGAAGATCTATCAATATACATATATGGTATATCCATCTATATAACTAATATTTCCATTAACCAATATAACCTACCTATATATTACTAATATTAGATATAATAGTTATATGAAAATGTCCATTTATATAAAACCTAGATTGTTTAATATATTCATGTATTCATCTATACAACTATTTCCATTACCATTATGATATTATAACTAATCATTGAATAGATTAGTGATATATATATACATAATAGTATTGTAATAGGAACAATTATCACTAATCTTATAATAGTATCCTAATAGTGGTTCTATGTATATTAATCATATATCATATATCCATGAATTATCCCCTACCATTATAATACTGTTATATGTCAGTAACAACTATTAAAGAATTGTTAATTATCATAACTAACCATAACTAACCATAACTACTGTTAATTATCCATATATTAAAGAATCTAAGTTATGAATTCTTCCTTCAGGTCCAAGGCACCCAGCAGCTCCGACCACTCCACCGCGGGAGACACCGCGGCGGCCGCGGGACCCTCCGTCGTTGATTGGGCGTCGTCGAGCTCGGAGGAGGTGTGTTGGCCTGTTTTTGGGCGATGGTTGACATGAAAAAATACGTGTTTCATGGTGATTTCATCAAACATTATGGTTTAATGGGAGTGATTTCATGGAAGTTCATGGTGATTGAAGATGATTTAGTCAAGAATCAATGGATATTTAAGATGATTTAAGCAGTTTTTTTGCATGAAAACTAGGGTTGAACATGGTTTAAGCAGTAGGACGACATTGAGGTTTCTCCGCCAAAACTGGAGGTTGATAAAGTAGGAACGACGTCGCTTTCACCTTTCAAACATCACGGGTTTAACAAGGAAACATGAAGGTTAAACAACGAATTATTTCGAGGTACAGTACAGGGATGTACTGGGTCAAATGTCTTCCACCACACCATCGTTGGTTCAAATTAGGTACCAGGTACAACTCATCCGTATTATAAAATTTAGGTTTACCGGAAATGAAAGTGGAGCCAACACGAGTCCATCTAATTTGTGAAACAAAGACAACTCAATGTCGGATTTCAGCGCGAATATAAAGATTCCCGGGATTTAAACTAGAGAGATACGGTACAATGTGGGGCCCCCCCAGTTCTAAGTTGGTTTATAAACCCCATGAACTATAGTTATTTGCGTACCATAAACCATAGTTATTGGAGTTATGTGCACCAACTTAGCTATCCAACGGGGGCCCCACATTGTAGGTGGAGCCAAACTATGACTTTCTCATCCCAAAGGCCAAAAAGTCCACGTGACAAAAAAAAAGTCTCCATATTTCAAGCCGAATGTGCCCCAACATTGCCCCAACATTGCTGATTCCACAACCTCTAAAGTTTGCAGGTTAAACAGATTAAAGCCCAACGCCCAATGATGCGCCCATGTGTTCTACTTTCCTTAACTTCAGAAAGAAATTCCCAGTCCAACCACCATGTTTTTCCCTTCTGAAACAAATGTTGATGGCACAGATCCCCTTTTACAATACTTACGTCCCAAGAACCTCACAATAGTTAGCACTTAAATCCATTACGTCACATCAATGATGTCTGTTTTTATCCACAGGAAAACATGCAATTACTATCAATTGCATATTTCGGCACTTAAATCATGTTCCATCCTTTGTTCAATCATATATATATATATATCATTCATATGTTTCCCCACACGATGGGGCCCCCAAGATAGCTAAGGTGCTGTATAAGCGGCTTAACTATGGTTTATGGTAGATATACATAACTATATAGTTAATGGGGTTTATAAACCAACTTATGACTGGGGGCACCATCCTGTAGTTAATGTAGTTCATGACAATTACTGATACCACTATTTAACCAATGCTGGTTATAAATGTGAATCTCATTATTGCTGGTTATAAGTTGGTGGTTCATCCCACTTTCTAATCTATTACAGTTGTATATATATATAATATAATATAATATATTATAATATAATATAATATAATATAATATATTATAATATAATATAATATATAATATAATATATATATTATAGATAACTATTAGTCCCTAACTATATCTAACTACTAACTATACTATTAGTGTAGACTATTAGTGCCTAACATATCCCCAGGAAACCACTCCAGGAAACGCATCAGCGGAACCGCCTTCCAAGTCCTTCAACTTCCGTGCAGCCAGGCGCATGGCCGGTGCCAGGCTGCCGCGCCCTTTGTGGCGCCCCACGGGAACCAGGGAGCCTTCACTGGCCGGGGCGACCTGGCTGTGGGAGCCAGGAAGACGATGATTTTACCAGGAAAATGATGCTTTTACCAAGAGCATTGGTTTAATCATGGAAAATTGGGAGAAAATGGAGGAAAACACCAGCAAAGTATGGGATTTCAGAAAAGCTTCGAGCGATAAGCGCATAGCAGTAGCTGGAAAATGATGAACAGTGTGATTTCAAGTGTCAACAAAAATTTGGTTTTCAACCAGAAATGGATGTTTCATGGTGTTTCTTAAGTCATGGGGGATCCCCAAGCTCCATAGGTTTCAATATACTAAACAGATCTAAACAGATCTAGTTATTTCTGGTTGGTGGTATACCCACCCCTCTGAAAAATATTAGAGTCAGTTGGGATGATGACATTCCCAATATATGGAAAAATAATCCAGATGTTTGAAACCACCAACCAGTATTTCTATGATTTGGGATACGCCCCATGACTTAACCAGAAAAAGCTCGGCTGCGATGTGTGGCTTACCTCAGCCCATGTTGCGACGCGATTCAGGAAGTTCAGCATGAGGTCCTGGGCGATTCCGGTAGACTGTAGATTCTGTTGGAAAACCATGGCTGTTCCAGGTCTATGTTAGTTAGCCCCGGGTATTAAGTAAGTTTGGTAAGTAAACAATCCGTCAACTGGACGCTTTTTTCGCATGTTGCCTGTCAACCATGTCAACCCGTCCGTTGATACATGGAATGATGGGATAAAGACCTATTAATTCATTTCAGATGCTCTGATTCGGAGCGATGGTATAGTTCAGGGGAAATACGGAGCATAGTGACAACCCTGACCACACAAAACCAGATGGTACCGAACTACTTCCCACCGCTTGTCTGTAAGATTCTATCAGTATTCTTGATCTTACCCTCTGGTAAACTAACATAGCTATTGAAAATCACCATGCTATTCATGGGAAAACTCATTATGTCTATGGCCCTCTGGCCATTTTCAAGTTCGCTAACCGTTAGTTTACCAGAGGCTACCCAGACCGAAAGACGAGACTTGAGACCGATACCTACTGGAATGTACCTTGGAGTCCTCGCATTTGAGTCCACGTCAAAAACAGCTCTGATAGATCAGACTCATGGTTGCAAAAAAATCACCTGGTTGGTGGTTGGTTTTAACCCCTCTGAAAAATATGCGTTCGTCAGTTGGGATGGTGACATTCCCAATATATGGAAAAATAAAAAATGTTCCAAACCACCATTTTGCCATTTTGCGGTCTGCGTGCTTGCTCAGTTTGGGGAGCGAAGCACTTGTGACCCTGTTCCCACCGCTTTGGGCTAAACTGCCATCGTGCCTTTTTGAGCGGCCAACGGCAGTGAGTTCAGGCAATTGGCTGCACGGGTACACGGAGCACCCATATGTTCACCACACGTCCGTCTCCTGAATGGCAAAGGTGCCCCAGGGCAACGAAATTGATGGGACAAATGTTTTCACAGCATCTGATCTGGGCCGGCATTGGGCGAAGCTTGCCCTGACACCCGCCTGCTTCACCAACGCTTTGATCATTTGACGAAACCATCGTACCCGATTGCGAAAGGGATGTGATTCAGCTGACAGGAAAGGCCTGGTTGCTACGTCCACCCAAGTGTTGTTCACCCTCAAAGGGCCTGGATTGCCCCAGCAAAGTTGAAAGTCAACATACAGCTGAATGAATGAGACCCAAATCACTGAATCCGCAGTCACCTCTGTCAGTCGGGCGCAAAACCACTGGATTGCTCGAGCAGCGTGATCTGGCCCAAACACTTTTGCTAAACCTGGCAAGGGCTGTCCTCGCCATCCACAAAGGTCAAAGTCCGTCTCAAACTTCCTTGTCTGCTTGGGCGCCGACACTGGAGCTACTTCCACCTCATCTGCACTCAGTCTAACCTGTCGCTGTGCCACAGCAATTTGCAATGAAACCACCTGTTGAAAGATCTCATCAGCTGCTGCGACCTCTCGAACATGTTGCTCCCACAATCGCCAAAAGCACGCAGGTCTGGCTTGATTGGCAAGCCGCGCTGCGCGGTCGACCAGGTTGTTGTGATAGATCATCCAGAGGTCTTTCCTGTGTTGCGCCTTGTTCAGTGTTTTGTGTGCAGGGACTTTGCGCACCTGGATGCGCTCCCTACCCAGCATGTCAACTGACTGTTGAATCCACTTCCACAGGTCTGCGTTGGAGCCATTCAAGTTGATTTTTCGGTTTCCCCAAAAGGTTAGGTTATACCGGTTAACAACCCCCAGGCAGTCAGTCCAAACACAGACAGCGGTCCCTTGGCACGAAGCACTGTAAAGCACATACGCAACAGCATACAGTTCAGCCCGAAACGCAGTTTGACACAGACCTGCCAGGGCGGCAGCACACAAGACGGTGGAAGACCCTGGAGTCCAAGCATCAGACACATCCGGAACCAGCAGCGCAGCCCAGGAGGCAAAACGAGTGCGAGGATCAGATTGGCCAAAGCACGACCCATCCGTGAAAACATGATTGGCAACCCCTGGTCGGAAACGCATGGAAGGTGATTGAACAGTGGACGGAATGGCCAACAGGAGGGAAATCCATTGAGTCCAGGTACGAGGATGAAGAGCCCAGCCACGGAGCGCAAGGGCAGAAGGAAGCAAGTCCACAAGGTCTTGGGCTTGAGGTGCCAATTTGTCACGCAAGTCTTGATGCTGTGGGCATTCCCAGTACCGATGAGCCAAGGAATCACGCTGCCCACACCAGTGACAAGCATCATCTTGGTCTTGCCACTTCGCCTTGTAGCTCTCAGTAAAGAGCCCACCAGCAAGTCCAAGCCGGTAAAGCGCTTGATCATCTGGCTGCATACTGCGCAAGGTTTTGCGTGTCTGGGCCGGATTGACAAGGTGGAGCCCAGAGAATTCAGGTCGATGTGCCACCTTGCTGGCAACCAACTGACTCCAAACCCATTGAAGACGAAGGTCAACCTCGGCAGGGTTAGTACCATGCAGGCAAAAGGGGCCAAACTGGTCAGCGACAGAACCATGCACATCAACTGTGAGCCCAACATGCTGAAGTCGAGCCAAGACAATGGACGCAGGTGACGCAGGAGGCAAATCCAAACAGCCGGAGGCCAGAGGAGCCAGCAGGGAGGAGCCGAAGTCCAGGGCATAATGGCAACGCACGGAGCGACAAGTCACAGCAGAGCCACAAATTGAGGGTCAACTCCAACTTCAACCAAGCCCAGAAGAACGTGAGCATTAACACCTGGTTTCTTCCATCCAATGGCCTTTGTGGCACTCCGTCGGAGCTGCGTCCAGACACTGTTGCCAAGGGGGGCGCTAGGTATGGCATGAAGCCCACGGGGCCAAGCAACTGCTTTCAACATGAAAACTTTGGCTGGGTATCTGGCACGGCTACCAGAGAGCTTTGGCCAAAAGTCATCCAGGACAGCAATCCCTTGTTTGACCGTGCGGTTCGTGTGCTGTCTGGACACCCCAAAATGGCCACCCAATTCCCGGGCTTGATGGTGCACCTGAAGTCCATGGGCTTGCAGTTGGCCACGCGTAGTGGCACAGGTGGACCAACCAAACGTCTTCTTCCGATCGACAGTATACGTCAAGCATCTGGGCAAACTCCTCAACTAAGGCAAGTTGGCATACAGCCAGGCTGGGATCCCATGTTAAGCATTGCCAGTCATCAACATAAGGCAAGGTTGAAATGGCCGGGGCTTGCAACTTCATCCAGCAGGAAAACAAGTGGTCCAACAGCAGCATACCACACACACTGAGCCCACAACCCTCAGCAAGGCCCGTACTGGTAAGAAACCCTTGGGAGTAGGAGTCATGCACCTTGAAATGCCTGCACATGTTGGCCAACGAACCTGCCCAGGCTGTTGTCACAGGGGCTGGAGTGCCTGCCAACACGGCCAAACACAGCGCTGGGAAACGGGGGATACAGTTGAAGCATTTCTCAAGGTCGGCCGAAATGCCGCACAATGGCTGCTCAGTGGCATAGGCATGTTCAATCTGCTGAAGCAAGTAGTGCCATAAGTCTGAGGCTTGGCATCCACGGCGGTTGCCAAAGACACCATCATCAACCCAGCATTCAGCCCACTGCAAAAGGTGTCTGGATTGAAGGCTAGACCAGGTGCGGTATGGGAGTCCAAAAACTGTGATAGGCCGGAACTGGCCAACAGTGGAGGCTGCCTCAGTCTTGGGAAGGGAGTGGACTTTGCCCGCCAGTAATTGGGCCGGCCAACTGCCATCATGTTCAGCACGCTGGTACATGTCTGCCAGGCTTTGAAGAGTGCAGGCGTCAGCCTGAATCAAGTCATCCCGGCTTACCCCATCCAGCCCGGTAGCCGAGCGTTTCTTCTTCTTGTGCGACTCAGCAAGGATGAGTTCAGGGGTGATGACAAGGTGAGGAACTGGGGCAGGGTGCATGACACGCTGGGCAAATCCAAGAACAGAGTCCCAGTGGGAGAAGGGCAACTGATCATGTTTGCACCATCGCTCTTTCCACTGACTGTGGAAGGCTTCAAAGACATCTTTGAGGTCGCCGATTTCTTGGTGCTGGGCAACACGGGCACTAGGTGCGATGCCCTCAACATCAGTCAACCAAACCTTGTCAAGCTCAGCATGTATGGCCTTGCGAGGTTGGCCAGCAATCCAAACTGGTAAGGTGACGTCGACATCTTGAGGAGTGTCAAGCACAACTGCGCATTCATGCACATCAACTTCAGTGACCTTGGCTTGGACTTCATGCAGCAAAGTTTCAACCGGAGCTGCCAAAGGTCTGGCAACATCTCGAAAGACCAAGTGCCTGTCATGGTCATGTTGGTATTTGTAAGCCTCTGCTCAAGAAGTCGGACTTCGGCTAAAACTGCTTCAAAAATTTGCTTGGCAACTACAGGGCCTGGACAAAACTGGGGAATCTCAGCCGGGTCATGTGGGCACACATACCGACGTTGAGGCCACCATGCAGCAAAGGTGGGGAAAAATCCAGGGGCACGCAAAATCGAAGTCCACAAGGCAATTCCATGTTCTACATTTGCTGTGCCGACAGCGGTTTTGTTGTCAGCCCATCTGCAAAAGTTTTGAAGCCTTCTAACTTGGCGAAACTGCTTGGCATGGACAGCGGAGTACCCAAAAAAGGCAGGCTGAACCTTGTGAAGGCGGCTTGCTTTCAGTGGGGCTTGTGTGCAAAGGTGCCTTCTTGGCTTTGTTTGTTGGCCCCGCCCTTTCATGGTTGGAACCCAATCATCCACCAATGCAGCTTCCGCAAGTTGTTCCTTGCGAGTCCACAGAGATGCATCTTGCTCAGTAGGGTCATGTGGGACACCAAAAGACACAGGCTCAGACAGCGACGCAACACGCCCCCAAGGCACAGGTCGAGGGCAAGGCCACAGGAAACGTTCAAGGTGTCTGGTACCGCCAGCAAAGGTAGCAACCAACACAGCATGGTCAGCAAAAGTGGTCTGACAAACCGAGAGGTCAACAAAGGACAACGCCAGTTCAGGAGACAGGAACAGGAAGTCCTTGCGTGACACCCCTTTGCAAGTCATGGCAACTTCAGAGCCAGTCCGAGCAGCAAACAGGTCTTGAACATCGATCCAGCCGGCATCATGCAAACGGGGAACAAGGTCCAAACAGTCCACTGTGTAATTCCAATCCCCACACAGAAACCGTGGTCCAGGCCGATGTTGAAGTTGGTCGAAGGCAAAATCCAGGATGGCTGCTGTTCGAGCTTTGGCATTGGGATGAACTTTCCCTTCCGGATAGCCGTAAACCACGGCACCGGTGACCCAAGAGGCACTTGTGTTGAACGATCCGAATTGGACCCGGCCTGTTTCGTAGAGGTCAGGTGGCCAGGGTATGGCTGGCACTCTGCAGGACACAGTCGAGGTAAAAGCAACCCCAGCATACTGGCCTGCCTCGCTGTCAGTGCATCTGGGAGCCATGGGGGCCCCGGTCAACATGTGCTTGAAAGGAGATCGCAGGGATCTGAGACTGGTGGTCAATTGGCGAGCACCTGTCTTGCTAAGATGAGACTCACTGATGGCCAAAACATCGGCTTTGATCTGGGTCAAAATGGCCTGCTTCCCATATAATCCACTTGGATTACAGATCCCAAGAGACCAGGTCGATTCCACATCTGGGCCAGGAACACGTGCTTCACCTACACGGCACATCAGCAACATCAAAACTATGGAGAAGAACGCCCGGAAAGGTCTGAAAGACCATGGGGTCACCCTCGCTTTGGGCTTGGCAGAAGGGCCCCCACACCGTCATTCCGTACGGGCTTTCTTGGACAAAATCGTCTCTATACGAGACATTTGGTCAGTCAACATCGTCTGCATCTGTTTGGACTGCAAATCCAATTGAGCCATCATTTGCTGCTGGAGCGAGTGAACCTGGGCAGTGTGCTGGCTATGGTGGTCGGTCACTGTGGCCTCAAGCTGGCCCTGCCTGCCAGCGATCTGCTGGACCTGAAACTCAAGGGCTTGCAGACGATGCTCTTGGCTGTCAATCTCCATTGGTTCAATCGTGGCCTGCATCTTAGACAGCAACGATTGCTTAAGACGTTGCTCCATCTCATGCAAGACATGGGTGGCTGGTGGTGCACTAAGTGCCTGAGGCATGGATTGCACTGCTTTGGACCAAGGGTCTTGCAAAAGCCGAGGGTCAGATCCTGTGGCATCAGTGCTGCACATCTGAACTGTTTTGGTGTGGCCAACGATGTCCTGAGTCATCTGGGCTGCAGGCTGGGCATCTTGACATGAGATCACAACTTGGCCATGTTGCATGGGCAGCACGTTGCTGGTGGGTTCTTCGTTGGCCTGAATGGTCCACATCAATCCACCTGGAACATGGTGGGCAGGCTGTAGTGGCCGGCAAGTCCATCCACTGGCAAGCAAGGCTTTGGCAATTCCCTTTCGATCGGATCCGAAAGGCCATGGGCCACACACGAATGAACGTCTACTGCCAGGCGCAAGGTAGACAGCTTCAGGCTTGGCACTCGTGAAAACCTGTTGAAACTGGGCTGTAGCAACACGAAGTCCATATCGTTTCCCAGACCTGGCTAGACCTAGGCAGTGCACCTCACATTTGGCCTTGTGTGACACCTCGGCAAAGTCCAGTTGAGGAAGCCACACCACTTGGAAGTCTGCATTTGGCTTAAGGCCATCTTCAGTCTTCGGCTCAATGTAGATTCCATGACTTCCACTGAGACCCAAGACACGTGATTCCAGCTGCTTTGCATACCTAACCATGACCGCAAAGTGAGTTGCTTTGTCCCACTTAGCTGGACGGCCAGTTTCTGTGAGGAACTGTCTTCTGAAAACATCCAAAAGTGCATCATGTGGGCATGATTGGCTCGGATGCCAGGCAGGGCACTGACACTCAGGGTCTTGACGGCAAGTCTGAAGGCATGGCAAGTGTCCCAACACATTGTTTGACTGGTCTGGATGCGAAATCCTGCCATGATCCTTCCCACTGGTCCTGAAACACCGTGATGCGGGCACATGCAACTTCAGCTGACACAATGGACGGAGTGTCCTTGGCTTGGTATGGGAACACCATTTTCTTACCTAGCTGCACCAAGATGCCTGGCAAGATCATCGGCTCTTGGTTCATGCTGCATCGGGCGGCAAAACGGATGCTTGACCACTGGAGGTTGGTCTGAAGATCATTAGGTGGGTTGACACTCAACAGCGCAAGTCCATGGGACGTCAACAGGCCGGCTGCAAGGAATTGCTGAGCTTCCTGCAAAGTAGCAAGTGCAAGTCCAGATGCCAATGGTCCTACCGAGGCACATGGCAGTTGTCCTACTGGATCATCATCACCTGCTCGAAAGGAGCCAGGGGCAATCACAAGCTTGGCAGGGTCGATGTCAGCTGGCTTGACAGGCAGAAGCTTTTTGGCTCCGCTCGGTTGGCGTTTGCTCTTTGGTCCTGACTTGCTTGCTGACTGCTGATTCAACTCATCCGGCAACACAGGCTGCAAAGGTGGGCTTTGCAGGTTGGCAAGTGCTTTGAGAGATTTCCAAGGGGCAATTCCATGCAAGGCTTTTTGTACCTCAGTTCGTCCCAACGTTTGGATAACAAGCTTGGCGCGCAAAGGCGCTTGGGCAGCTGGCACTCCATGTGTTTGCAGGATCGCCTGGGTGAGCTCTGAAACATCCACTTGGCCTAAACCCCAGCACCATGGTTTGGGGACAGATTCAACATCATGCAGGGCAGCAGCAAAACTGCACTTGAGGTCAGTATGCAAGTCCACAAGTTCTTCATCGGTGCGGGGTAGATCTTTGGACAACAGCTTGGACGCCAAGAACGCAACCACAGCAGCACCACAGCAACTTCGACCAAAGGTGCGACGTGTGCAAGCAACACTGAACATAGGACGACCCCAAGCCCCGCTGATCAAGCCATGCAACGGACAAAGACAATCCACATCAGTGTCGGTGTGTTCCCAAATGGTGACTTGGACATCGGAAATGCCAGCAGTCCACATGACAGGAATCCAATGTTCATTGACAAGCACCGCTGACACAATCTTGGACAGACCGGGGAACTGCGAAATCCAGGCACGTGCTTTGTCAATGTCGCCGGCACGCATCCATCCAAGGGCAAGCAGGGGATCCAGAAGTTGGACATCTTCACGGCCAGCAAGGCGCAAACTTGCACGAAGGTGCAAGGTCAATTCATCATCAGCCATAGCTTGGCCTTCATTGGCAAGTGTTTTGAGTCTGGCAGGGCCATGCACAAGGGACTGCCGCAGAACATCACAGTAGGCAACATCAGTGACCAACGGGGGCAACAGAGCAGCAAGTTGACCGCCAGTCAGATGCGAAAGTCCAAGCATCATGTCAGGCACAGACCCCGAAGAGACAATCATGGACCCATCAGGACATGGAGACTTCCGTACCCACACAGCCGACGGTGAGGGAGTCTGTGGTTCCTTGGCTTCATTGGGCAAATCAACCTGCATGTGTTCTGGGACAGACTCAACAGTGCTGGCAACATGGCTGGACACTTCTGAAATCACTCGGATGCACTTGCCAGCAATGCGGTCATTGGCCTCAAACGGCAAACCTGAATCGGCATCACACCAACTGCCTGCAAGGTCCTGCTGAGTCAGGGCAAGTTCAGCTTGGCACAGTTCGGCAAAAGTGGTGTCATGACCTACCTGAATGTGGACAGAGGTACCATCAGGGTGCGTGACACTAACCCAGGAAGGTTCCGCTGGCAAGCTGTTGACTGGTGGGCCCATGATGCTGGGGTACATGTCTTTGGCACACATGAACATGCGACTTCTGAATGCATGTAGCAGAGACTTGGGCAAATTGCTGGCAAGTCCAAAACTTGGTGAAACTTGGACACCACACACGCTCCGACCCACACCGCCTGGAGTGGGGACGCAAGCTGACCAATGGCACCTAGGCACAACCGCAAATCAGGGTGTTCAGGAAGGAACCACTGACGGGGTGGTGGCATGGCATTCAAAAGCCAAAGTTCACATGGGTGCAGATGCCGGTATGCAGTTGTACCATCATCTTTGGTGAATGGTATCACTTGGGCATAGATTCCACGCTGCTTCACAAGGTGCTCACTGAATCCTGTCGGCAACCACAAGGGCATTCCATTGCCTGTGAACCCCACGAGTGCAAGCCTGTCGGCAGTTTTCCATCTCCCTGCATGATATACCTACGCATGTTGGAGCCATCAAGGGTGAAAAGCTGTTCTTCAGCACTGGTCAGCACTAGTTCTTGCAAGACATCGGAAGACCACTGGCGGCTGTACAGCATGAGATCACGGATGCAAAGTCCAGGGCTCTTTGGCAAATCTGGAACATGGATGGGTCCCAAGGCCGGATGAGAAGCAACTACCCACCAATGGAATCTACGTGCTGCCCACTTGTCTTCAAGTCGAAGGGAAATCTCTGTCAAATGGTATCCCAATTGTGATTCCATAGCCTGTAAAATGGACTTCACAAAACGATTGGATCGAGCTTGGGTGACACATTCAACAATCAAAACTGGGCTTTGACAGAGATATGCAATTCGGACCGTGGCAGGACAGATGCAGGAAGGTTCCGTGATGTCTCCTGTGATCACGGGGATGCCAGCATGACAGGTACCATGCAACTTGGCGAGCTTAGGTCTCCATTCGACACTACCGATGTGATGAAATCCAGCAGAAGTCAAACCAACACTGGAACAGGACACACCAGCACACAACTCGACCAAATTCAACATGTCAGAGGCAGGGGACAGGCCATATGCAACAACCATGGTAGAGTCAGTCACCAAAAGGTCCACGGAGTCCGTCGAGAAATCCAGCACTGCATCCAAAGCTGTCAATCTACGACATCCCTTGACCTTATGGCTAATCTCACCGATTAGTCTGACTCTTTGGGAATCCGGTACAGTCAATCCCACCACCATGGTCTGAGTATGCACCAAACAGTCTAGTACCACGGAGATCACCGACCCCTTTTCTGTCTGTTTCCAGTTGGGGGCAAACATTTGTTGACCAGTTGGAACCCGATCCCATTCAGTGGAAGACATGGCGACAAAACAAGGTCACGCCGCCTGTAATGGCCCTGCTGTTTTTTCATCTTTTCAGTCGCAGATTTTTCTGTGTCGCATGACCCTCACAGCGTTTTCTTTGTCTGCCCATTTGTTCAGTAGCTCATTTTGGTCTGCGTTTTACAGTGTTTTGTGTCTGTTAAGTCGTATTTCCAATGCGTTTAATCATGAATTTGAATTCCTAAACGCAAAAAAAATGGAATGTTTCGTAACAAGCGTGTAGACATACGACATGCGACATGGAGAACAGCTCAGGCAGTCCAAGTCTTGTGCGCTATCTTTCCAAGTGTATTGGATCGCCAGAACTGTACACATACTCGGCAATTTTTTCATTCAGCAATCCATTGGGTGTCTTAGAACACAGTTCCTTTGGGATATACCGTTTCAAGGCTGACCATTTCTTGTCAATGCACTGCGTGCCATGCGTCTTGTGTCCCGTTTGCGCGTTTTACGCGTAAATTCCATTTTGACATGATTGACCTGAAAACTTTTTCGTCTGGCAAGAGACGAGAGACATGTTGCAGCGTAGCATCAAGAGCGTCTGGCAAGTGACAAGAGACATGCTGCAGCGTAGCATCAAGAACGTCTGGCAAGAGACAAGAGACATGTTGGAGCGTAGCATCAAGAGCGTCTGGCAAGAGACAAGACACATGTTGCAGCGTAGCATCAAGAGCGTCTGGCATGTTACAGCGTACCCCTTGCACCCGGTTCCCCCCAAAAAAACACATTATCCTTCGTGCACAAGTTCTAACTAACGGGCAATACTTCTAACTAACGGGCAATACTTCTAACTAACGGGCAATACTTCTAACTAACGGGCAATACTTCTAACTAACGGGCAATACTTCGAACTAACGGGCGGTTCTTCTAACTAACGGGCAATACTTCTAACTAACGGGCAATACTTCTAACTAACGGGCAATTTTTCTAACTAACGGGCAATACCACAGCAAAAAGCGTCATATTCCCCAGGGCCGGTAGGAGCGTCGTGAGCCAAAACAAGACCTCTCGAAAATTAGCCTGCGCAGCTCCCCTTTGAACTGGCAGGGTTTCGAGCCAGAGCTCGTGGTTTGTTGCGCCTGATACATCGCCTGATTCTCTCCAGGAGTCGGCTTGCCCGCTGTGGCGTGAGTGGCGAACCATTGCACACCCAATCGCAGATTGTTTGCACTGCTCAGCAGTACAGCACTTATGGCTGACCAAATGTTCTTCCACTCATTGAATACCTCCTGAGGAGGTGGAACCGAGTTGAAGCCGCCGAAAAGTCCAGGCTGGGCACTCCGCCCCTGGCGACCATAGGGACCACCACTCTGATTCATGTTGATGGCAAGTGGCCTTGTCCCAGACTGGCTGGCAAAAATTTGACAGCCACCAACCAGTCATGATAACTTTCTCTTTATGTGCAGACCCAAGGCTTCTTTCAATAGAGATTCACTTGGTGTTTGTCCAAAACTGGGTCACCATTACACTGAACGGATCATTGAATCATGATCGTGAAAATATCTTCAGAGTGATCAACATAATGACTATAAATTGAGGTATCTCATGGTATTCCCATTTTTGTGCCCAAGAATATTCATGTTCATCAATCCCTGGGATATCAATCCATCATGAAGTCACATATTCTTAGGCACAAAAATAGGAATGCCATGGCACAAATTGGTATACCTTCGTTTCATGATGGCTCACAGTGCCTAACAATATTCGTGTTCGTCAATGTTCCCTACATTTATGGCCCCAAATACCAGTCAGTACTTATAATCCCAGAAAAAATGGTTTATGTATAATCCGATTGAAATAACCAGATATAAAACACCATTTATCATTGGTATTAGATAAATAAGTGGATCCCTGAGATAGTCCATCCACTGAGGGTTTTCATGGTGATCAATTCCACCAAGAATTCTGGTGGTTGAGCTCTGCCCCGAAAAATGATGGACTTCGTCAGTTGGGATTTTATGACATTCCCAACTGAATGGAAAAATAATTGGCAAACCATATAGTTGGTATAGCATTAACTGTATTTTCCCATTATTGTTGTTATGCCATATAGTACATGAATGTTCCAGTCACCACCAACCAGAGAGATCTATATATATATATAGATATATCCCATTCTATCCCATTCATATATATATATATATACACCATTCATTTATAGATATAATATATATTATATACCAATAATTACTATTTTGATGGGATTATAAGTACTAACTATTCTAGTGACTAGTAGTGTTCATCCCAAATGTTCCAGTCACCACCAACCAATAATTGGTTTCCACCTACAGCCACAACGCATGGTTTTCCAAGCATCATTTCGTGGACTGCGAAGCAGCGGGATCAACACCTTGGCAGATCGGGGCCGAAGACCGAGCGATAGCGATTCGCGATTTTTTCGTAGCGTTCAGGTGCCTTACAAAAGTGGCTAAAATTCTATAGCTGATGGTAGATATAACATGATATAACATGATATAAGTATCTATTAATCATCTATTAATCATCTGTACCTACTATAGTTAATGGGGTGAAACTAAACCAACAAACATAACTGGGGGGCACCATCCTGTAAGAGTATAAGGTAAAACACAATTTTGAAGGCTACTTGGAGGGTCTGGGAGAAGATTGAGATTAGCATGTCTAGTTGATTTTCCCATTAACATGTCCATTCATACATGAATTGCCCAATAAAATGACCAATGGTAAATGACCTTCCCACTAAGGTAGATATGGAAAAACCAGCATAGATCACATTGGCCTCTCGGCTTCAATCACCATTTCAAGCCTTTCATATAACTCGCCATACCTACAAGGTGGTGCCCCATAAAGTTGGTTTACTACTCCAATAACTATGGTTTATGGTAGATATATACTTACTTACTATGGTTTATAAACCAACTTATAACTGGGGGGGCACAACCTTGTATAATTACTGCCGAAACTTCATCTTCACAGCTGAACTCACCAGCTGATTTACCACAAAATTTGACCCTTGAATCACAACCAAATTGCTTGGATATTTCATTGTACATCTTTAAACCAGCTTTCTAGTTTCCTTGTTCAGCAAGATTTTCTAGGTGAACTCCAGGATGTTTATCCATTTCTGTTGCTAAAACCGTTGCGGACCACCTGCTCCAGGCTTTGCTCCTCCGCTTCTGCGGCGATCTTCGCCAGCAATTTCTCTTCGACGCCACGGTGAAGGACGCGGCAGGACATGCAGAGGCACCTGGGAAACGCGAAAACATGGTGAAGTGATTGGCTAGTGGAATATACGTAGAGTTATCGTACTCAACTAAGTACTCAACTATAGTTTATAGTATCATATATAAGTATATTTGCCATTTAGTGATTGGAATCATACATGTTTACCAGTTATAGTACTTATAACCCCATTTATGGAATGTATAATCCCATAGAAATAAGCAGTTTTTTCAGCATGTATAATTGGTTTCTACGGCCATAACTGTAGATATTTTCCATGAACAGTAGGATTCCAACAACCAGTTTTTTTGTGTTTTAATTAACCATGGTTTTCATGAAAGGTGTGAAAATTGAACAGTTGAAGTTCTTGGAATGTCATTCCATGGGATTCATGAAATGAATATCATGGGATGTTCGCCACGGGCATATCATGGGAACTATCAACAGTAATGATCTGGTAAACATACCAAAAAAACTATTGAACATGGACATTTATAGTTTATAACAAACAAAAACTATTGAACATGGCCCATAGAAATAGTTGATTTACCAATTAATAGCATGGTGATTTTCCAGTTCGCAAACATGTTAGTTTACCGGAGGGTATTCTGATATTTAACGAACATATAATGGGAATGGCAATTCTTAGGGAATACGTAGCCATGGGAATAGTTCATGGGATGTTTCATTTAGTAGGGATATCACTTGGATATTCATAGGGATATGAACGATGGCGCTATCGTGTATACCAAATACTGATTATTAAGATATAGTAAGATTAATATATAATCACCCACAAGGAAACATACAAGTTTAAAAACAGATCTTTACTTCCCACTGGACCTTGGACCGGATCAAAGTGCCCCCGGTGTCTTTTCCAACTGTTGCTGGCCACGAAGTCTCTAGTTCTTGGAAGTCTCAACTTCCCAAACTACAGCGGTGGTGAAATGTCCTACGTTTCAATCTCGAGTCGAGATCACCTCGTCTACTTCAACGTCATGATTTTTCATCCCTTTGTGGGACATTTACCAACCCCCGTCCTACGACGTCCTACGACGTCCTACGATTCAAAATATCTTGAAGGCACTCCACCGATGGTGGGATCTTCCCCAAAATATCGCAGTCTTCTGACGAAACATCTGCTGCGAATCACTGCGCAAGTGATGTTTTTATGGCCAAACAGCGGTACAACCAAGCGCTATCCAAGCGCCAAAGCATGCTTGGAAACCATACGCTACACACTGGTTCTAGTTGGTGGTTTCAATCCCTCTGAAAAATGATGGACTTCGTCAGTCGGGATTTTATGAAATTCCCAACTGAATGGAAAGTCATTCAAAATTCCATATATTGACCATGTATTTCCATATATTAACCATATATATATAATATTCCAAAGCACCAACCAGGCTTGGATGGTTTCAAAAACATCCGGTGTTTTTTCATCGTGTAGCCTGGATGTCGATCCGGCCAAAGCTGTGGATGAAAAACGGGGTGTCAATGGGACAAACAGCCAACGGGATTGACATGTCATTCATATTGCTTGGTGAAAAACGGGAGTGATGCTAGTCCTCAATGTATTGGATATCTGGATATCGGAAGTCCTTTTTTTAAATTCATTCACCAACCACGGGATTTTGAACATTGCTCATAAATAGATTGAAACAAGCTGGTGATGTCATCCTCATGTTGCTACATACTGACATGCTGTGTCTCCCAGGGTTTTCACCCTGGGAGACAACTTGGAGACCTGGAAACATATAAGTACTCCGCCGGGGGGTGCAGTTCCAGTTATAAGTTGGATATACTTCACCATAGTTATAGGGGCCCCATATCCCAACTTAAGGAAGTTTGAATCCCATGGTTGTACAAATCCGCCGACCCCGGCCTTTGCCAAGGCAGGGGCAGAGCCTGGGACCACCGCAGGTGTGGAACTTGTCTTTCTTAGCTTCAAATGCTTCAATGCTTCGCGGCAGCTTCGATCAGATCAGCCTGCCGTTTGCCTCCACAGCCCTCTCTAGGTCACATCCATCGCTTCTTCTGGGCGGTCCAGCCTGCCGTTCGCCAGGCGTTGCGCAGGCAAAAGCTACCCCAAGGCCACATCCATCGCTTCTTCTGGGCGGTCGAGCCTGCCGTGGCATGCCTCATCCCGCAGCCAACAGGCACCCCAAGGCCACATCAATGGCTTCTTATGGGCGTCCAAGCCTGCCGTTTGCCACGCCTTAAACTCTTAAAAGGCTTAAAACCCTTAAAACCCTTAAAGCCCTTCAAAAGCTTCTTGGCACGCCCAACCCCGCAAGCAAAAGCTACCCCAACAGGCACGCCCGGGCGCAAAACCGCGGACCAAAGCTCCTCCCTTCAGAGCCATATACAGGACCCCCCAAATAGGGGGGGTCGGCGGCACCAGGCCGCTAGCCCATTCTATAAGCCTAACGAATCATGATCACCTATCACTGGCACTTACGCACCTTGCTACCTTTGAAAGTGCCCACATCTACGCATCTAATCACACATGGCCAAACTTGGATTTTCGTCAGGTTGGTGTTGTCAGTTTCTGGGGATGTTTCCTCCATGGATTACAAAGGTCGAAACTCAACAAAAGCACTATTAGTCAAGGTTTGAACCCAGTTTAGCAACTACTTGGAGGTTTCTTAAAATTAGTGATACCCAAGTCACCATGGTTGTTTCAATACTAAGTCATGGCCATCCATGACGACTGGATGATTTGTTGGTAGCCCCATGACTTTGGAAACCTCCAAATGTCTATCGAATGGTAGTCTTCCTTCCTTGGGTGATGCTATCCCAATGACACCCTGCAGTTTCTCCTATATGTTTTGACAAGGACACATGCACTTGTCGGTAAGGACACTGTTCGATCTGGCTAGATCTGGTAAATTATAATGTTTCACTAACCTGAATAGTTTGGCCATAAAAGGGGATGCTTTCCCATATCACCATGATTTCCCCAGGCTTCGCAACGTGAGGTCGCGATGAATCTTTATCCAGATGCTTTTCGTCACTCTGCTGGCTTCATGCGAAGAAAGGACCCTCGAACCCCCCAACGGATATTTGACAGTTTGCGAACCTGAAAACCTATTGTACAGTGGGACCATCCTTTATACTATAAGTGGGACCTCTGGTAATGACTGACAGTTTGCAAACTTGAAAATGGTCATAGACATAGTTGATTTACCGAACTTCAAGATGGTGGATCTTTCCAGTTCGCAAACTGAGTTTGTTTACCAGGCCGGGTTTTTGGTGAATGGATGTTAATGGATGTTTAATGGTTCAATAACGGATCCCAGTAAGATGTAGCCTCCATGGCGCCAGTACCTTCCCACAGAAGGATGATTGGCTCTACCGGATGATCCTTCTAGAAAAAAACTGATTTTCAATGCGGTCATATGCCCATTCTTTTTGCAAGTTTATATGATGTTGCAACTTTTACCACTGGGGACAAACGGAGGGTCTAAGTCATCTTGGTCATCTTGGTATCCCGTATTGGCCATGATTCTGTCCACATGAGACCTCTTTGAGACGCTGGCCCATGCTGCTACATCCCGCAGCAGGCGATACTAAACTTCTCGGAGGTGTTTCGAAGTGAACCAAGATCTCTGAAAAAACAAAACACACAACGTTACCGACGTCCCAGATCGTCCCAGCATTCCGCACCAAGACATTTTGGTTCACTGCGGTTCACTCTAAATAGGTTTGATGAAAGATCGTAGATTTTCATGCCCCCAATCTACGACAAACCCAGAAATCGTGCCCAAAAGGGCGGCTTATTCTACCAGGGTCACTGGGCACTGTTCAAACGAAGCCCACTGAACCTGCCATTTCCTGTGCATCTGCTTGGTTGAGGTTTGCCGGTTCATTTGAGGGAGGTTCGTGCCATTCGTCCTTGATCCTCATGAAATCGGGTGTTAAGCAAACATATTAAAGTTGTAACTTGCACTTATATAAATGTGTATATACTGTATATATATATATATATATGTGAACAATACACACACCTATATAATATATATAATTATATGTACATATACATATACATAAGTATATGCACACATGTAAACATATATATATATACATATAATTAAGTATACATATATATATATTTACATATATATATAATTATATGTACACACACACATATATATATATATATTATAGTCGCTAGCCATCAACCAATGGCCACTGGGCATTCCCCAGGTTGCCCCTGGATTTGCTTTTCATGCCCCGCGCTGCTTGGCAGATGCGGGACCAGGGGATGGCAAACATTGCTGCGTCGCAGATTCCCCGGAGAGGCTCCGGGATGTCACCACTTGGTCGATGATTTATCCCATTACCATGGTGAATCTTAGATACCTCTCAAAAAACTTTAAAAAATAGCTTGTTTAGCAAAAAAATAAGCTACTAGTATCTAACAATCTAACAAAGGCTGGCCCAGTTACTATCGGATTAGGCTTTCATACTTAGAGTTACGGCAGGATTTTGCCGAAAAAAAGTGAGAGTTTCATTGGGTGGAGCCCGTAAACGGTAGCTGAGTTGGTTTTGCTCCAAAAAATGTTAGGTTTATGGTAGATTTATATGGAACTAAACCATGGTTTATGGTAGATATACCAATTATAGATAATTATAGTAGATAACTATGGTTTATTGTTTTTGGGAACTAGTTATCATTGTTTCTAAACCCATTTTTCCTTTTATTTTCATCACTTTTAGCATTTCTATGGGTGGCATTGAAACCATCAATTTATATGGGTAGTTTATGGCAATGACATAATGATCCAATCACCAAGGTCTTCCTAAGCTACGGCTGGATCCATCCACCTTGAAGATGCCTTTTTTGAAGTGTGATATTCATGCGTTGCAAATGGGACACCGTTTGCGGCTCTGAATCTTAAACTAAGCAAACAAATTGGCTGGTTGGTGGTTGCGAAAACCCCTCTGAAAAATATGAAAGTCAGTTGGGATGATTATTCCCAATATATGGAAAAATAAAATTATGTTCCAAACCACCAACCAGAAATTGCTTATGTGACTTTCTTTGCATATGGCAACTATTGGCAAACATGGTGTGTTGCCCCAAGAGCAATCGGAGATCCCGAAACCAGGATTTCAATCTTTACTTTCTATTCATCTTCAGTATTCAATCACACCAAAAAAACACTTCCATGGATCCAGATATGCCTCTCAACATCGTCAACTCAAGTAAGCCCATATTGTTGTTGGTGATATATATACAGTGATTTCACTGTTTATCCCTGTAAAACCCCTGTAAAAAAATATGTTCACATGGGAAAATACCAGTAAAACCCATGAAATCCACAATTTTTGCTGGTGAAAATTCCATGAAATCCACCAGTTTACCATCCACTAAGATGATTTCTATCCACTTTTCTTGGGGATGATCCAGCCTGGTATCAACATAAAGGACAGCAAGGCCTACTTGGTGGCTCATCCCACGGCTTGTAAGTGGGTTATATATAACCCCAGTTTTTTGAATGGATGAACCCTACTTGTCCCATGTAAATCACTGGGCTTATAACCCTTCATTCCACCAAGTAACTGTGGCCTAACTCCATGGACCATGGACTCTTCAATGATCGATTCACTCCGGAGACGGAAAATCAGTTGATCAACCACCACATGGACTGGCGCTCCGCCGAAACGACGCCGAAACGTCCTGGTTTGGCCTCTTCATTCAGGGACCCGGATTAGCCTCGCAGAAGCAAACACGGCAGTGGTTTCGCACCTTCCTGGTTGGTGGTTGGTTTTAACCCCTCTGAAAAATGAGTTCGTCAGTTGGGATTATTGTTTCCAATATATGAACCGGTCATTCAAAATTCCATGGTTCCAGTCACCACCAAAACCACCAAGCAGCTTCCATTGATGGTTTTCCCATTTAGATGGCGACTGCAACTTCAGTGGATTTCCCCCGTAGGCCATCTGACTGAAACAACTGGAGGGTATCGATGTGGTGACACAGAACCATTGGACCCACAAATTTTTCGTTGGTTTTCCGGCCTTCCAGAAAACACTGGGCATGAATAATCTCGCAAAGTGTGGGGACTTTAGGCAAGATCATGTAACTTAGAAGATTCAACTTCGTAACTTATCTGGATGATTGGGATGTTTTTGGGTGATACCCTCTGGTAAACTGTTACATAACGAACTGGAAAATCAGCATGCCATTAATGGGTAAATCCACGCACTAAATCACCATTTTCAATAGCTATTTGTATGTTTACTAGGGGCAACAAATCTTGGGAATTTCACCAACATACGGGAGGTAATTTTTTGGGACCTGGTCGATGGATCTGGATGAATAAAGTCAATTCCACTTAAGGACAGTCGGACACGAGCATAGCATTTTCCTGGTGTACTATCATGTACTATATAACGTGTATGTTAAAAAATGACATGGTTCATCTTAGATGCCAACAAAAACCTATATATTTTTTTGCTGGGTAGTACATTTTGCCATTGATAGCAAAAGATTAACGTACTAAAGTTACATAAGTTACCAAGGTGGACCCAAATATTGAGTTCTGACTCATCCACAGCTAGCCCCTAGATGGTTCCATGGATCCTCGGATGCGCACCGCCTGAAGTGCTACCTTGAACTGCCATGATTTTTATGGTGAGTTTGACTCGTCGGGAACCAGCCACATTTGAGCAAGTAAAACATCCCCCTATCCCATCTCATGAAATACCGGTTGAAAACGCAACCTTCCACTCATATAATTTAGTTCGTTCCAGCTAGTAGAATTCCCTATGACCACCCCCAAGTTAGCTTTTCGCTTTTTTACAGGCAGAAAAAACCCAGTCCTGGTAGGTTTATGACATTGGGATTCCCAAATTATCGTTATACGACCCATAGACCCATCTAAGTTGGTTTATAATCTCCATCAATTATAGATAATCATACATATATATATATATGTATACATATATATGTATAGTATTTATGTGTACATATGTATATATATATATATGATTATATGTATATATATATGTATGATTATATATATATACAAACATACAAAATAAGCCCTGGTTGTTGGAATTATGAACCAACTTAGCTAACAAAGTGGGGCGCCACCTTGTAGTTTACAGTGGTTCGATTTCAGGTGAAGATAGTGGCGCCTTCTGTTCACAATGATGCAACACATGGCCAATCTTAGATATCCTACACATCAGGAGTTGGTTTACCCTAAAACTAGTTCAGCCCCATGTTCATGGTAAAACTCCACATTTTGCTGCTTTTGCATGATGACATCATGGTCAAAATCCCCAAAAAGCCTAAGCTCAACCCTCTGGGCCAACGGGACAAGAAACTTGGACCTCTCATCATGGTAAAGAAGTCACGCATGTTCACCTGTGACGAAGTGGCCATTCGACCAGGATCCCAGGGAATACCATGACATACCATGACATCCCAAGGAAATTGGGGATATTTTATGAAAACCTTAGGTAAAAACAGTTGTATTAGCTTGATAAATGTGGTAAACCCAATTTTCGATTGGTCATTTCATAAACCTGAAACTTGGGGATGGTGCAGATGACATTGGGTGAATCCCGCATTTACCTGGAATATCCCCGTATATCACCGTTCATCTGCAGGATCATGAAAAGAAAACACTTAGTGGCATGGCATGGCGGCTGTATCAATGATATACCAGGGGCTTGTTGGAGAATTTTTCCCTATACTGAACATGTCCCAAAATTCGACATATTTCAACTTAGATGTTCCATATTCTTCCCACAAAAATACTGAATCCCACCATATGGATTTCTATGGAAATAGGCTACCAGTAGGCTACCCACCAACCCCCCCTGTTTATCATCATTTTCCTTACTACATGACGCTTTTGGGTTCGTCAGGTTCTGGCCGGTGAACATCCACACAGAGTTGGGTAAACGACACACGATTGGGCTCAAAGATGTTTGGGGTATAACAATGGTGAGTTCACCATAAGTTAGGATCCAACATAAATAATAAGTTAGGATATAACCTATGATATTGGTTTTGGATACCCCAACTAATAATTGGTTTTGGATCCAATGTTCATATTTGGGGTAACATAAGTTAGGATCCAACATTCAAATATGACAACCTAATAGCCATATGCTCCATGGAATACTGACCAAGATTTACTCCTGTGGTTAAATGTACAAAAACATGGATAACAAATAGACAAAAACTATGACTGATATGACTATGGTATATTAAATCAGCTATTGTATGAAAATGTTATGGATTCCTCCTATCCTTGAGAGCATACAATCAGCTTAATCAACTTAGAACTGAAATTCCACTCTCAAGCTATATCTATTTGATTCTTTTTGGGGATCTTCGTCTACGCATGTGGATTCTGTCGTGGAACTTAACTTGATTTTTGGCGGGATTGGAATTAATTCCTCCTGGGTTTGAAAAAAACACATGACCGAATCAATAACCGAAACTATCCTCTGGTAAACTAACATAGCTATTGAACATGGCCCTTTATAGTGAGTTTTCCCATTAAAAAAATGGTGATTTTCCATAGTTATGTAAACGTTTACCAGGCCGGGTATCAGTTGCAGTAACAGTGATTCATTCACTTAACAACTTCAGTAAGTTGATACACTGTCACTCAAAAAGACAGATTCTGAGCCCTGGCCGAAGTCCTGTAACTTTGACCGCCACTTTACGACATGTGGACCATGTGGATAGATATGATTCAAATGGCAGTGTGTCAAAACCTTGTACCCCTGGTGAACATCAAAATAGCTGGTAAATGGATGTTCATCCCACTAAAAATGGTATTAATAGGTATTGATCCATACCCAAATGTTGCAGACTGGTTGCAGATGTCACGCTAGGATACTACTGGAACAAAAAAAAGTGTTTCTTTCCATGAGGGTTTTCATTGTCGAGCTAGATGGGGAATCCATTTCAAACTTTCAAAACATTATGCAAATATCTACGACGAGTTGGGAAATCTTCAATGTTCAGTGTGATTGCAATGTTGGATTTGAAGTAACTGCGGATAACTGCGGTCATTCCCTCAAAAACCAATCGATGCGTTCCTGGCTTTCTGCAGGATACCTCTGTGCAAGTCCAATATTGGATGCTCATGGGGTAAGCGGTCTGCACAACAATTGTTCCTATCTTTGTTTTTGGGTCGATTACAATACATCAAAATCCCCGTTAGGTTAATTTCCCTTATGTGCTGGCTATATCCTAAGTTGTGATGATTCGCGACATATTTTGTTGATCCAATTTTGGTTTCCCACGCCAGTTGGGTCGCAAGGATGCTGTCTCCATGTTTGTAGGCTATATCATCATGTTTTTTGTTGTAAAGTCACCAACTGGTTGGTGGTTGAGCCCACCCCTCTGAAAAATATGAAAGTCAAATGGGATTGTTATTCCCAAGATATGGAAAAATAATCTATTCATGCTCCAAACCACCAACCAGCCAATCATTTGCTGATTCAATCCGATCGTTTGTTCCTTTGGTTCATTCCAAAATAATTTGGCTCAACCTGCTGTTTGTGCTCAATCCGATGTGTTTTTTTGAATCCCAAATCGCCCAAATCTGATATGTTCTTTCGTTAAATCCGTAGATTACGGTCTGATCTGCCAGCTACCCCAAAGCTTGATTGGCAAAAAAAGGTTGTTTCATGACAAAATAACGAGGGTATCCAGCAATTTCAATCAAATCCACATATTTTTGATATCATATTGTTGGTGATTAATGAATGTATATTAATGAATGTATATTAATGAATGTGTGATTGATACCCAAGTAGCATCGTTAGCCCAGAAAAAACCCTCCGGAACCATCAAACAACGCGCTACGCACAAAAGTCCCCCATCCCATAAAATATCCCCAATATATGGTTCTATCATATAACAACTAGTAAACACTATTAACCACTATTAACACCAACTAACCAACTGTTTATGGTTATGGTTATGGCGGTTAATGGTTATTATATAACAACTAGTAAACACTAACTTAAACTTAAACCATTAACCGCCATTGGGTCATAACCATCACCATGTAACCATTGTATCACAGGACCTTTGATCGCGCTGCTCATGCTAGCCACCGTCGCCGTCGATCTGAAAAAGATTGACCAAATCTAGGAATGGAAATGAACCGTATTGAACCGTATTAACTTAGAATCGGATTCTTATAGAATCATATTTTTTTTTAAACAGTTTTTTTTAAAATATATATTTTTGTTTTTATGTATTATAATTCAGATTTTTTTAAAAATAGAATCAGTGTATCAATCTGTTTTAAAAAAGGCGATTGGCTGGCTGAAAAAAACACCATCCCTGACTGGAAAAGTTGTGCAGGGTGAATCCCACATGAAACACCATGAAAATATCCATGAATCATCATGAAATAACTGATAAATGATGGTTGATTAAGTTGATTAATCACTTAATCACTATTTTAATGGTTGATTAATGGTTAAATAAATTGGATATTCATGGTTTTAATGATGGTGATTCATATCCATTAATTATTAGTTAATTTAATCGTTAACCAACCATCATTTATCAGTTATATCATGTTATATCATGTTATATCATGTTATGTCATGTTATATCCACTTCGATCCTCATATGTTGATACTTAAAACCCCTACTAGATGATGGTTAAATGCCCATAGAACATCCCCGAACTACTGCGGAAAATCCGATTTCAGACACCATTCTGGTTTTCATACATGAAATCCCAATAGAAAATCTCCGAACTACCCTCTGGTAAACTAACATAACTATTGAAAATTTCCATTTATAGCTGATTTACCAATTAATAGCATGGTGATTTTCAATAGCTATGTTAAACTACCAGAGGGTAATGCTAATAACCCAACTATTCATGTACCAATTTCAGATCTTTCCAAGTCACAATCTTCACTTTGCTAGCCAGTAGCTCAATGGCCTGAAACGAAACGCAAACTTCGGCAGAAACTCGCTATGGACATGGCCAAAGTGGCTGGTTTCCCTATCGGTTTTGAAGCATTGCACAGCAATTTAAGCATCCCAAGTCCAGTTCCAGTACAGTACTTTAGCTGGTTGGTGGTTGACCTACCCCGAAAAATATCAACCAGATTGGATCATCATCCCAACTATTGGGGAAAATAACGCCATCTCCCAAAGCACCAACCAGTTAATAATGGTTTATAGTGGTTAATAGTGATTGATAATGGTTTCTAATGGTTACTGATGGTTCTATAATAGTCTTTCGCTAATTTTGTCGCTTCCTCATATGTTTTTTTTTTAATTGGTGGTCCGGAACGATCGCTGCCCTATGGTAATATGTTACATAACGATGGAACATGACCCATAGAAATAGATGATGACGCATTAAAATTGGTGATTTGTCAGTTCGCAAACTGTTAGTTTACTGGAGGGTGAATTAGCTTATAACTCTTAAATTTCACGATGACTTTAATGGTAGATATAGTTAAGAGATATAACATGATATAACTATAGCATTCATAGGGTTTATAAACCAACAAACATAACTCGAGGGGCGCCACCATTTGTACTCGCGGCTTAAACACTTGCTACGTGGTAGTTTGGCAACAATAAACTCCCCAGTTTTAATGATCGTTGCTGCCAAAATTTGGAGAGTTCACTATTGGGTTTACCACATTGGGTTTACAGCACGAAAACTCCAAAACTGGCTTTGGAAGCGGAAATTTGTATCTCCTATTCAATGTTGTTGGACCAAACCATTTATGGAGTTCCATGGGAGGTGTTTAGGGGAAGGCGCGCGGGCTACGATTTCAGATTGCTAAATCACCATGTGTGGCAGCATTTTATTCTTACGTCACCACATTTGCTACATGAAATCAGCATTCTTGGATTCTTAGACCAGCATTCCCATCATGAATGTAGAAAATTCATGAAAACTCGATAAAGAAACAAACATAAACAAACCATAATATCAAATCATCCAAAAACCTATGACCATTTTGAAGTAAAATCCATCATGGCAGGGTTTTCCACAGGTCACCTGTAAAGCTCCGACCTCTTGGTGAGAGCCACATCGATTGGCCCGACGCGCGAAGTCCAAGGCGGTCTGGCCACGGGAAGTTTGTTGCTCTAAATCCACTCCTCAGCGCTGTGTCTTTGAAGAACAAAAATCAGTTCTCACAGTGGTTTGTTGAATCCTCCTTTTCTGTGGTTGAATCCTGTTTTCATTCCCTTTGTTTGATGCTTACCCTGTGGTAAACTAACATAACTATGGAAAATCACCATTTTTAATGGGAAAACTCATTATAAATGGCCATGTTCAATAGCTATGTACCAAATTACCAGAGGGTAAATCATCAGTTTTGTTGTTTAAGTCCCTATTTTAGTGAAACCACCGTGTTGTTGGTGAAGTTCCTATTTCTTCTACCAGTGATGGTGTCACCATTCTTACCAGAGACCTCATCATCTACAGAAACCCTTGGTTACCAAAAACCATGGCTTTTGGATAGCAAAATTTCCTCAAAGTAGGGATTTTGTCATCCAAGCATGTCGGCATGAAACACAGATGATTTTACCCCGCGAGAGCATCTGGAAAACATGAGGGTTTGAAGATGTTTTACCAATCTATAACAATCTTAAATGTCGGAGGTTCATATTGGTAAAGCGGTCTAATCAACGACCCAAATGGAAACCATCTATGGAAATGAATGATTGATAAACCACCCATGTTGAAAACCATCAATCATATGAATCTATAAATTGATGGTTTCAATCCCCATCAAGTCTGAAAAGTCATTGGGGATGCTTGGAGGGAGGCAATTGTGGGATTGATGCCACAAAGCGAGATGGCTAGAATATTTGACCACAAATATGTTTAACGTATAGTTTTGGAACTGATAAATCATCATACTTTCAATTTTTCAAACTATACAAATTGAAACATGCTGCCGTTCTGCATAGTTGAAACTACCCACTAATATGTTCCAAATGTAACGAAGTGTGAACGGATCAAACATATGTACAGAAGAGCATTGATTTCCCTCTTATTTACCCCTTCTGTGTAGTTTCATTCATTCCTTCGTGTATGGGATATGCAAACTGCAAACATTTACCCCAAACATCACCAATTCACGTAGGGCCGGTCACAGCAAAGGTAAGCCATACAAGGGCCCCCAAATACAGGCCCAGAGGCTATGAACCAGGAGCAAACAACTCTGTCATGGGAAAAGAATCATGATGTTTAGTGATACAACACATATATACCTCATACATCTATTATATAAAATGGGATCACTCTCAAATCATGCTCATTGAATGTTGCAGCTCATGCCAAACCGCCTCCTGGTTTTTTCCAGCACAGATTCGCCTAACCATCTTGGCATGGCTTGGCCAAGGTTCTGTCGCTACCATCTAATACTCATTTTTGGCTAGATGACCATCCCTTTTTTTTCATTTGTAGATAAACAAAATAGTGGTTCAATCAAGATAGTTCATTTACTGCTTAAGAAAAACACAAGTCTTGTTGGTTAAAATAAATCAACATATTATTGATGTATTGCTTAAATGACATTGTTCGACTGGTCAAGTTCAGAATTCGACTGGTTAAATAACAGAGCATGTAGTTGATTGGATAAACATGTGTTATTGATGAAAAATCACAACATTGTTGGATGAAAAAAACAACATTTTTACTCAACTCCAAATTTCTATTCCAAATCAACATTTTATTCGCAAATTGACGCAATTTGTATTGAAAACAATTCCAAATTTATTGGTCATACCACAAATCTTGATTAAACATACAGTATTTATAGTCAATTCCAAATTTTTATGTCGTCAATTCATATCACAATGTGTACCCTCTGGTAAACTAACATAGCTGCAGAAAATCACCATGCTATTAGTGGGTAAATCAACTATTTCTATGGCCATTTTCAATAGCTATGTAACAGTCATTACCAGAGGATATATCAGTATATCCCATCTAGAAATCACCATGTTTCTTGGTTTTGTTATCCCATTCAAGCACCATTTTGTAGTGGGTAATGTTATAAACCCATGTATTGATGGAAAAATCCACCAGTCTTGATGGAAAAAAAATCTCCAGAATCTTATGGACTTTTCATCACATCCGAAAAAACTGACCGACGGAAACAACTCTGGTAAACATACAAAAAACTGATGGGAAAATCACCATGCTATGAAAATGGGTAAATCAACTATTTCTATTATTTAACTATGACCATGTTCAATAGTTATGTTAGCCTATGGTAAATAAACAGTTGGACCCTGAAAATGACAAATTTTTAGTGGTTTCACTAATCTTCCAACCCCGATGACTGCCAGGGTCTATGTTAATTTACTGGAGGGTACATACATAGATCTGGGTAAATTCTAATATTTCACTAACCTGAATAGTTCGGCCATAATATTTCACTAACATGAATATGTCTTTCTAGTATTTAACTATGACCATGTTCAATAGCTATGTTAAATATTGTTACATTGCCGGGTCAATCTCCATTTTTCGGAGCCAGGCTCCCATCTGCAGAAGGCGTCGCAGCACATCGACATCTCCCAGTCTCGCCGCAGTGTGGATGGGCCACAGCTCATCGGACCAAATGTTGCCGCGTCTGTGGGCCCCCGTTCGATCGCGTGAACCGTTGGTCATAAGTGGCTGAAAAAACCATGGTTTATGGTAGATATTGGTAGATATAACTTGATATAACTATAGTTTAATGGTGATTTTTTACCATTGATCATCCACCATTTTCAATGGGCAAATCCACTATTTTCAATGGATAAATCCACTATTTTCAATGGATAATGATTTTTTAAAAATCAATTAGTGGAATACAACCATTGTCAATGATTCCAGGTTATAGTTGTATCATTGATAATCTGGTTGGTGGTTTTAACAATCTTGAAAAATATGAACGTCAATGGGAAGGATTCTCCCATATATTATGGACAATAAAACATGTCATGTATTCGGGAAAATGGGATACAATTACTGGTTGGTGGTTGAGCCCTACCCCTCTGAAAAAATATAAGTCAGTTGGGATTATGAAATTCCCAACTGAATGGAAAAATAATCCATTCATGTTCCAAACCACCAACCAAGATATTCATGAACCACCGTGAAGAATGATATGAACCAAGTCATATTCATACTAACATATATATCCAAGTCACGTCTATTATTTCACAGTGGGCTTCAGCCATCTTAAGGAACTCTGACTGTGACCAATCTTCTGTGTAAAATATGTGGAATTTCATGGGATAAAATGACTCTCATTTGGTAATCATGGGGCAAGTCATATATTTGGGGATACTGGTGTAAATATATGATTACTATAATGATTACCAAATGTTACTGGTAATGATATAGTAATCATATATATTTACCAGTAATAATATAGTAATGATCATATTTACCAAATATATGATTACTGGTAAATATATAAATATATATGATTACTATATGATTACTGTCCTAATATTTGGGAAGTCATGGGATTCACTTGGGGATGGTAGGAATTTTTTCTTGCCATAACCGGGTCACGTTCTTGGCCTAGAATTTTTTCATGGCCAAAACCTGGCAAACATCGTATAGACAGATTTTGAAAAATGCTGATATTCAACATGTTTGACATTTAACATATTTCAAGGGATTTAATGGGATTTTATGGTGGTTTAATGGGATCTAATGGTGGTTTAATGGGATCTAATGGGCTTTAATAGGATATTACCCTCTGGTTATTTGTGCCAGTTCGCCATGGAAAATCACCACCCATTTTGAAGTTCGGTAAACCGGTAAACCTCTATTTCGATTAGGGCCATTGCTTAACCATGGCGAACAACGTAAAAGTCATAACCAGGCCGGGTAATGCTTTGGGCTTGGATCAAACATCGACGCTGGACCTGAAGACTACCAGATCACGACTTCCGGGAAAAACCCAGCGTGTTTTGCACATCCTTTTGTTTGTTGACTTGAGGGTATTCAATGAAATCACATTAAATCCCTTAAATAATCCATATTATGAATATAGATTCGCACGAAGTCACCATCAAATACCCATAAAAAACACCAGTCAATTCCATTAAGTCACCCCACTTTGGGCCACTCAAAAAACACATGTTTTATGTGACCCATCCACCTGGAATTTCACACCATTCCTGTCATCAAAAATCACCATGAAAACAACATTTTTTTCGAGCACTCCACCTTGGCGAGGTGGCATCCTTGTACTTATACCTGCGCAAGAAGTCTTCCTCGGCATGGCATGGCGGTACTTGCGTCATTGGTTCCATTGGTTGTTCCCCCAAAAAGGAGAACTGGATGAGAATCACCAATCGAAAAGAAACATGGTGATTTGAACCCAGATTTTTCCATGATTTATGAATGAGAAGATGAACTCTGATATGATAAATCATGGTATTTCTAATTATGATTTAATGATTAATGATGATTTACTGATTTATTAAATGGTAATAGTGGGAACATATTGGGATATATAAACAACCTCTCTCTCTCTATGTATATATATATACAACACCTGTAGCACCAAAAACCTGTAGAATTCCACGAGCGCAAGAAAGTATTGTAATGATATTTCCACTTGTCGAGGAAAACCTCGGGTTTTATGTGCAATGGTCAGTATACATGATGCCCTCTGGTAAACTAACATAACTGTGAAAAATCACCATTTTCAATGGGTAAATCCACGATTTCTATGGCCATTTTCAATAGCTATGTAACAAATTACCAGAGCGTAAACATGTTGCCAACATGTTGCCAGAAGTTTGAGGATGAATATCACCCATATTTGAAAATTGGGGGCAAACGGCAGGGTTTTGCAACTATTTCACCGGGGAATCCCATTGATGGTGGTATGGTCATACCATGTTTTCACCATTAAGCATGGGCAATTTCATCAAGTGGAGATATGCCCAAAATTCAGGGAATAACTTATGATAACTTGATCTTTTTCCGGCGCATGCATGTAAAATGCCACATGGTTTTCCGAAGTTGCTAAATGATATAATGCCACTTGCAGCTGGTTGGGAGTATAGCAACAAGTTGCTTTCCCCCGCGATCCTGTTTTGAGGATCTATCGAACCATCCATGTTTTGAGGGTGTATACAAACCAATGGATTACGATGATGGGTTTTTGATTTGTCTTACAGTTACGGCCGTAGATTATAAATGGTGAAATAACTGGTTATTTCTATGGGATTATACATAAACCACAAATGGGGTCATAAGTACAAAAATAAGTGGTATTGCCATAACTGTAGGTATTCACAAACGGCTTTTACCTTATGCTTTCATTTCCAGGACATGTCCTAGAAATTGTCAAATGCCACATGCTACGCAAGCATCCTTCGAGGGTGCAGAACCATCATAACTGTAGTGCGTATAATGCTGCAAACAAAGAACACAGCTACAGTCCATTTGGTACCCTCTGGTAATTTCTTACATAGCGAACTGGAAAATGGCCCAGGCGAAATCGTGGATTTACCCATTGAAAATGGTGGATCTTTCCAGTTCGCTATGTAAACGTTTACCAGAGGGTAACAACTTTGAAAACAAAATTGGGATTGAGTCGCCAAAATGGTACCGTTGCGAAGTGGTTTACAACCAATCACCAAATCATGGCAACTTAAATGGTCGTGTTGAGCATTTGAACAGATCCCTTCCTCAAAATATGATCATATATTGTAACATATTCTAACATACCTAGACCCTCTGTTTTTACCCGGAAAAATGATGTTTTACCCTATAACCACTGGTACTTATTACTTTTTTGTTGATTTTTGTTGATGTATTTCGAGGCATATTAAATATATTCCATGCTCCAAAACGAAACAGTGGTTGCTTTTGGATCTGTACGCTGCACCCATCAGACCGATCAAATCTAAGTGCTTTTGCGGTTCATTCTGTTCCCCCTAAGGTTAACACAATTAGATGTGAAAAATGGTTCATTTATATCCATTTACAATTGTGAAAGGAGGTGCACAGCCCTTAAGGTGCACGCGTCACATGAGTAGAGGCAGCCTTGACTAGTGGCTGTGCTCACTTGTGTGGGTGGGTAGAGAAAACCTAAACGTAGGTTATGAGCCCAACGCTCACGCCAGTCAAGGCAATGATAGGTCCTTGATGGCCCCTGTGCATCGTGGAATGTCCTTGGCGTGGTGTCGAGCACGGGCGCGCCTGAACCTTGGTAAAGCCAGAAGCCTTGGCTAACGCCAGGTGGAGGGCTGAACTGAGGGGAAGGTTTGCGTAGCCGGCCCACCACCGGGGATTGGAGACGTGGGGCTTTGCAGCCGGGGATAAAAAGAGATTCTCCACACAAGAACCTGCAAGTTGCCGCAGCCCGGGGAGCAGAAAAGAAATAAGCGACCTTGGCAAAGGAACATAGCTGTGGCCTTATCTCTAGTGCAACCTGCTGTCCAGGTGAGGTCAGCAGGTTGGGGGGAGTGTGAAAGGAGGTGCACAGCCCTTAAGGTGCACGCGTCACATGAGTAGAGGCAGCCTTGACTAGTGGCTGTGCTCACTTGTGTGGGTGGGTAGAGAAAACCTAAACGTAACAATATTTATAATTATAGATAATTAACTGTTCAAAAATCGTGAATTTCCCATGAAAATCCAGGGGGACAAGGCCAAACACCACGTTCATGACCACTAAAAATCTGGCATCCAACATATGAGGAAGCTCGATAGTTTATTCCTGCCGCGGCCCGCTTACAAAAGTCCATCAGTGGGATATGAGACATTTCTCTGCAACAAAAACACGTGGGCGTTCCTAGAGACCCCGTCTCGTGGTGAAACCGCTTTTTTGGGCCCCATGGCTCTTCGTGGCTGCCGCCCCTGTTTGGCCCTTCGGCCCAGGGTCGAAATGGTCCAACTGCTCTTGTTTCTTTTGCAGCCGCTTCAAGTCCTTCCTCGACTTCGCATGCCTTTTGCCTAGGGGGTCATGGGATCGATACGCGAAGATCCGGCCTCACCAAATAGAGGCTCCATATGTATTGCGTGGGGCAATGCTCCATCGCTTTAGGTACCCCGATGTACCCCATAGAAACATGTTGGTTGCTCCAATGTGCATATTCCTACTGCTGAGAAATAGGTTGTCAACAGGCCAAAACAACGTTACTGCGCGCACTTTGGTGGCAAAATCAGTGTTGATTCCTTTGGTGGCCTCCAGTGAACAGTGGGTTATTGGTTTACAAAATCCAGAAACCATGGTGAAACAATTGCCATACCGTAAACTCTAGCCAATGCTTAGCCATAGCTATACAGGCCCACCTTGTACGGAGGTTTTCCATCATCTGGAAAGCTTTCAGATCACCAAGCTGAAACAATTTCACGTTTCAAAGATATAGTGGTGATTTAATGGTGATTTAAAGGGATTAAAAGGAAATAGTGGGAACACAATGCTGTATGTATATATATATATATAAACATATAGGGAATAACCCTAGGAATTAATGAGAACCGGCCAATTCCATGGGACAACCAACTTGATATGATGTATCGGGCATGAAAATGGTGGATTTACCCTCAAATGTCGTTTTTTTTTCATAATGCGAATGATTATCTTCCATCAAACAATTTTCTGGTTGGTGGTTGACCTACCCCTCTGAAAAATGATAGAGTTCGTCAGTTGGGATGATGACATTCCCAACTGAATGGAAACATAATCCAAATGTTCCAAACCACCAACCAGATATCCTCTGGAAAATGGCCCATTTATAGATGGTTTACCTATTAAAAATGGTGATTTTCCATGGCTATGTTAAATAACCATGTCCAATCTCAACTATCCCTTTCTTGTGCAGGTGCCAGTCTATAGGGTTAGAAATACCCAACATCATTACAGTAGTGTATTGGCATTACAATGCAGGGTCCCCAAAATAGGCAAGTTGGTTTACAAGTAGGACTGGGTAGTTAAAACTAATGGGTTTATAATGGGATAGATATTTTTTTTCAATCAACAAAAATCATTTTTTTGGGGGCCAACAAAATGTGTCAACATTCAGTGATTTTCGGCCATAGATTTACCAATTATTTCTGTGGTGTTCTTAATAACTGGTGATTTCTGTGGGATTAGAAAAATAAACCATATTTTTGTGGGATTACAACTGGTATTTCGGGCCATAACTGTTCCAATCCCATTTTGATTTGTTTAGGATAATTTTGCCCCTGTTCTCTTTTTCCCCTTGGCAAAAGTTCCAATTCAGGCGCAACATGTGTCCCCTACATACATGGTTAGTATATATATATATATCATAATGATTAATATCATGAATATTATCATGATTCATATAATGATTAATGTAATGGTTAATATAATGCCTAATGCAATGACTAATACAATTAATAAAATGATTAATATAATGATAAATATAATGATTCATTTCATGATTCATTTAATGACTTTTAAAAAGACTAAGATAATGATTAATATAATGATTTTTGTAATGGCTGGTATAATTATTAATTTATTGACTAATATAATGATTAATATAATGATTAATTTAACGACTAATATAATGATTAATAAAATGACTAATATAATGAATTATATAATGACTGATATAATGATGATTCATTTAATGATTCATTTAATGATTCATTTAATGATTAATATATAATGATTCGTATAATGATTCATATAATGATTCATATCATGATAAATATAATGATTCATTTAATGACTTATATAATGACTAATATAATGATTAATATAATGATTAGTGTAATGACTGCATGGAAAAAAGTGCACTCCCACAGCGGCCAGCTCTCTCTCTATATATATATGCAGTATATGATGTGTATATGTACAAGTATGTGTAAATAAATATATGTTATATATATAAATATATACACATAATATCATTTGTACTATAGTATGTATATATATAATATGTAGATGCAAAACTTATTGATGTGTACATATATGTATATATGTCTATATATATATATATGTATGTATATGTATACATATGTGTATATATATATGTATATACAAATTTATACATATACATATGCACAAGTCGTGTTTCACCCACTTTTTTTGCCTCCAATCCAGGCTGCAGATTTGTCGATTTGGATTTAGCACCAGGTTCGACTCCATGGGCGGTTCTGGCTCAAAGTCATCGAAGAAGAGGATTTCCGGCTTCGTGGGATCTGGCACTGTATCCATCCTGTGGTGAATTTCGACTGTGGCTGTTGAATGGCGGAGTTTTTGCTATGGAATATATTTCAGGTTGGGAATAACATGAGATTATATATATATATGTATATGTATCACTACAATATATATAATATAATATATATATATATTATATTTCACTATAATATATGTATATGTATATATATATAATATCATTATAACAATACACACACACATATATATATATATGTAGTAGATACCAATAGGGATTAACTATAGGAATTCATGGGATTTTCCCCGGCCCAGTTCCCTTTTTTCGCATTTGACCGGGGAGATTAAACCGTTTAAACCGGTGACATCCAGGATAAATCCAGATAAAATTGGTGATATATCCATATTCCAGTATATATCCATTATATCAGTGGTAATATATATATAGTTATATTAATTAGTGGTTTACTATAGTTATATTACTGGTGATATATCAGTTGGTGATAATTATGGTAAACCGGTAATATATTGGTGATATATAACAATATATAACTATAACCAATCCATTTAGTTGGTTAGATATAAATCCAGAACTAAAGTACTATATCCATTATATACACATTTATATAGCCATTATATATATAGCCATATCCCAACTGGTTGGTGGTGCAATAACCATCTTGAAAAATATGAGTCAATGGGAAGGATGACATCCTATAAATGAAATGGAAAATAATTCAAATGTTTGAAACCACCAACCAGTAAGGTTTCCCAATATTTTCTTGCAAGACAATCTCTTAAGTCAATAGATTGGTGTTTTTGGGAAAATTTACACCGGAAAGCCCCATGATCTTAATGGGAAAATATATGGTTTCCTGTAGATTTTCTTTTAAACCAATCCATTGATTGAGGGTAAACTTCACATAGTTGTGCGCTTAGATAGTGGTAAAATTGTCCTATCCCACTTCGCTAGGTCTTACTCTCCACGCATGGCAACACACCCTCATTGGATGATTCTGGAAGCAAAAACCTGATGAAATGCTTTTGCAGCTGGCCTCTATTTACCTAGAACTGGAAGAGTTGACTTTTTATCATCATTATAATCCAATCATATCTGAAGAAAAATGTCACAGATCAAGGAAGCCTTGTTCATGATACATCGTTTCATGTTTTCACCATGCCAATTCTAACTGGCAATGTCATTTACATCCCCTTCTGATGGACCCAGCCCCAATCTCTCTAAATTTCCTAAAAAATAGACTAGAGGCTCAGTCAGAGGGGCCGGTTTGCCATTTGAATCATCTCCTTTTGCGTGTTGAATAACGGTTACAGGCAAAGGAGATCATATCCCATTCTGTTCAATTATCTTACCATCATATCCCATTATATTCTCATTCATGTTCCCTGGATGTTTCTGTTTTCTTACCACCAATATCCACCAATTTTAATACGGTGGAAGACATCTTGCACCATCAAAAGGATTGTTTTTTTCGCCAAACAAAATAATGGGATGTTTACCTCCTATCAACTAGTGCAGGATTTCGCTGGCCCATCCACTGTAGTAATACATAATATATCATCCCAATATTGTTATAAGGTGGCGCCCCACCCAGTTATAAATAGATTATAATCCCATTAACTATAGATATATCACCTATAAACCATAGTTATTGAGATCATTTCGGGCAGTCCCCTTTCCACCATCCGGGAGACAAGTAACGCGTCGAAAAATGTCGCACGGGCTGCACGCCCAGAAAGGTGGATCTACTAGATGTTGTTGGGGTTTCTGTATGAATATGTTTATATGCATATACGTGTATAGTATATAATATACACACATACATGCACGTATAAGATTCTATAACCATATGTGAATATAATTCATAGTGTATGATATATAGATACATATGTGTAAATGCATGGCATGTACGTCTATTCATATGCAATGTATACTATTAATACACACTACATAGACATTGGAAGACGTATTCGAAATGATCTCTCAGTACTAGGGCCATGCAGTGCAGGGAAGGTCTATGATATGTAACATGGTTAAAAACACATCTTTGCAAAGATTAATCGCATGATGAAAAAACTGGTTGGTGGTTTCAACCCCTCCGAAAAATATTAGTCAATGGGAAGGATGACATCCCATATGTTATGGAAAATAATCCAGTCATGTTTGAAACCACCAACCAGAAAATCACATAATTGACATACACCATTAAAACACATGATGAATCCATGGTGGATTGTTTTATCGTTCCCGTGACCTCTGTGTTCTCGCTGTGGGGCCTGTGGGGATCAACAGCAGTGAACCACCTTGAGCACAAAACAGCTGAACAGTTGGCCCAGTTGGCCACGGAAAGTGGCCAACCATCCCCAACAAACTGGGGTAAATCCGGGCTAGCCTTACTCGGAAGAAAACAACCTTGTAGCTGGTGCGGTGCGTTTATACATATTATCATATAATTATATATGTACACAACATGTATTCCTATTTATTGCAAACAAAGACAATATGAAAGTGTGCAACCAAGTTTTCCCCAGAAATTACCATCCAAGTATAGCCTATGTTCATTGTGGGTCACCAGTGCACCCAGCAAGTCCCATCAGCCCAAAGTTTCAGGGAAATCCCATTCTCATTAGGAAGTGGTTATGGATGGGGCCCCCAGTGATGTGAACGTTGGTTTATAAACCATCATAATTAATTAATCCCCATGAACTACAGGACGGAAGTTCGTAAGGGAAAACTGTTGTTCGTTATATCCACCATAAACCAGTTTTTTAACAGCCACTTATGTTCACCAACTTAGAACGCTATCGCTCGACTGGGGGCCCCATCCTGTTATATTTACCATAGTTTTTTACCTCGGCCAAAGATGTTTGCACCTGGGATGCAGATCCCAAGCACCGCAAGGGGGCCCACAGTTGACATGAAAAGTTGATATTTAATTTTTGTACTTCTTTCCCTGCGCAGCTCCAAATTGAAATTTCCCAAATAGCCTGGTCCCCCCAACGTTTGTTCAGAATTTTGAAGACCCCAGTTGGTCCAGTGCTTGGTCGCATCATAGTAACAGCCATGAAAGTGCCATGTTTGGATGGAGGTGTCCATTACACGTTTTTTTTTTACCAAACTTTCAGACACCCCCAACTCTCATTGTTGCTGGCAAAAAAACTCATGTCCGATCATGTTCCTGTCGTGCGAGTCTGCAAAAAGGAACTTGGCCCTGGGATATATGTCAATATTTTATCATGATATCCTATGATGTTCAAACAAAAACATCGAGATCTCAATCTTAATCCATTCAAAAACTCAATCCACGAAAATGTCAGGAATAATACATGATAAATGTACATAATTATTCATGAAAAATCATGATATCATGCAAAACATGGCAACTTAGTCCATTATTCATGAAAATTCAAGACATGCCATTGTTGCTTAAACCCATCTGGGTCAATTTTTTTCACGTGTTGTTGGGTATAAAATCCCATGAACTATCCCCATGAGGATTCGCAAATGGGTGGTCTAAACCATCAGAATGTGGGTGGCTTATTGTTTTACTAACACTATATCCATTGTTGCTTAAATCCCAGTCCCATTGTTTGTCAAATCCATCTGAGTAAATAAATATATAAATAAATATATATATATATTGTTGGGTATAATTTCTCCTGAGATATCTCCATCAGATTTCCGAACATATCCCAACAATTACCCTCTGGTAAACTAACATAACTATGGAAAATCACGATTTTTAATGAGAAAACTCACTATAAATGGTCATTTTCAATAGCTATGTTAGTTTACCAGTGGTAAATTTCAAATCTGTTAAATCAACAAACTCAACTGCCCATTCTTCGTTGCCCCAAGTTGATTTCTCGCCGCAGGCACTCCACCAGCGCTGCCTCTGCAGCGGTGGAACAGAAGGCGCAGGCTACTAAGCCGTAGTCCCCGTAGCGATCCTTAGGTCGAAAATGGGGCAGCGATTTGAGCGGTGATTTCCATGGGAATTTCGAGGAATTTAGAGATGATTTGAGATGGGCTTATAGTATATCATGATTTATAGATACTATATAGATACTATATATCATATAACTTTAGAGATGATTTGAGCGTATTTAAAACCAGCCGGCTGAGTTTTCGGTGAGTTGGTGGACATGACTAGGTGAATTATGGCCGTTGATCAACTATAAATGGCTATCACTGGTGATTTCTATGGGACTATACATTCCATTTTTATGGGCTTATAAGTACTTATTATAACTGGTATTTTGGGCCTTAGCTGTAGTGGATATATGGAACTAGTTAACAGGGTTGACAAACCAACTTCTAACCAACTGGCTAAGTTACGTGTCCTGGCCAATTTGTTGTAGTTTAACCGTTTATGCCAAACTTATGAATCATGTTTTTTTTTAATCGCTGAGTTCAATGGGATCTTGAAATTACTGGATCATCATGGGCATATATAATGGGGATTTACTGGGGATCTAATGGGGATATAGTGAGATAGAATGGGAATATCATGGGATATAGGAAACGATATTGACTTTTACAAGCTGGTGCTATATTCAACTTTCCGTTGGTTTTCGACTAGTACAACTCATAACACATGCTGATATCAATCGTTTCACCGAACAGTGAAGTTGAACCAGGGGTTGATAAACCATTACTATTACTGGTTACCATCCAGATTTGATTATTATATGGAATCAATCATGTTTACATACCAACAGAAAATGGAATGAATCATGGGGTCGATAAACCATCAAGCAGTGAAATCTGGATGTAACATGATGTAACCCCCAAACTGGGTGCATGTCGGACCCCACCAGAAGAGCATCTAGAACTGGGGGCATTCCAGGCATGGAGGTTCCTAAAAATTCGGGTACCCCTAAATCATCCATGTTAATGTACCCTCTGGTAAACTAACATAGCCATGGAAAGATCCACCCATTTTTAAGAGGTAAACCATCTATTTCTATGGGACATGTTCTATGGCGAACTGTTAGTCATAACCAGAGGGTAAGATCCATTTATAGATGGATTTTCCCTTATAAAACCATCCATAATATATGGGATGATATATGGGATAATATTCCTACATCCTAATATATAGGATTTTCCGTGAAATAAACCATCCAGTGTTTTTCGGGTAGCCCCATGACAGCCCGGAAAGCCCCACTTTTCTGGACACATGTTGAGTCATGTTCCAACCAGGGGGGTGGGCGCTGAGATTCAACCAACTCCATGCACAATCATTGCGATACCCTCTGGTAAACTAACATGTAACATGTAAAACCTATTGAAAATTGCCATAGAAATCGTGGATTTTCCCATTAATAGCATGGTAATTTTCCATAGTTATGTTAGTTTACCAGACGGTAAATGGATTAGGAGGGTGCTCTTACATGGATGTAAACTCATGGTAATTCAAGCATTGTGACTCATGGATCTGAGATGGTCTGGTTCTAGAGGCAAGAATTAAGTGAATGAAACCATGCTGTTCTTTGTCCACTTGGGTCTTCCGAGCATGGAGCATGAAGCCATGCCGAAATTTGCATGTCAATAAAGAAAATGAGAACTACACTGTGGACTCATTTTGGCTATCCAATTTTGAGACAAACCCACATCGACAGTCTCAAGGATTTCACCTCGACGGCAGCTCTGTGGTTTGTCCAGTGTCTTCCTTGAAAAATCCTGTAACTTCAGGCTGCCCCAAATGGAAGACAGTGGAATGTTTGGATCCCAGATGGCCCAGGGGCAGTGCCCAGACATCTAGTTTTGAGTGTTCTGCCTAAAGTCACCAATTCTTGTTTTCCAAGGAGAAAATACGCTGGAACCACGCCAGAACGACGCTACAATATCGTTTTTCCACGCTAGAAAACGGCGTTCCACGCGGAACCACGCGCAATTTATAAAACATGTTGCTATCCACCGTTTCAGCCAAAAGGCGACAAGTGGAATGGGGTAGGGGGCATGACAAATGCAAATCAACATGCCATGGCGTAGCAGCAGGGATGGTTGGACCAATTTATGTGACATGATTTGACACTAACTAATAAATAGATAATAAATAATAATGATAATTGACATTGGACCAATATTTGACACTATCTAATTTATCTAAACTTCATCTAATAGATAACTTCGACGCCAATAGACCTGCAAGTGAGATGGCTTGACCATGACAACGTTCTAAAAAGTATTCGCCCGTGGAAATTACCCAGTGTTGGCTTTCAATACTAAATTGCATACAACCCAGGTCAAAAGGCTGCATAGTTAAAATGTCCAGGAGCCCCATTTAAAACTTCAGAATTTGCCAGAAATCGTCTTTTCCAAAGACCAGTTTAAAATCGTCTTCGACCGTCAGGGTATAGATATCTGTAGTAATTCCCGAAACAAAAAAATCAATCATGCAAGATTTTTGAGTGGGATTTCACAAAAAAGTCTTACCCTTTGGTAATTTAACATAGCTATTGAACATGGCAAACACGGTCGATTTACCCATTAAAGATGGTGATTTTCCAGTTCGCTATGTGAATTTACCAGAGGGCAATATCCTATTAAACCACCATTAGATCCCATTAAACCACCATAAAATGCCACTAAACCACCATAAAATCCCATTAAACCACCATAAAATCCCATTAAACCACCATAAAATCCCATTAAACCACCATAAAATTCCATTAAACCACCATAAAATTCCAGAAACTGGTGTTTTCCTCAAAAAAAACATGCCGAAAAAAAATTCAGGCGGCCGAGTTACAGAGACCCAGGCGGCCAGGATCCATCGACCATCACCTGAAGAACGGGATTCAAAAATGGGTGGTTTCTTGGGATCTATAGCTATATCTATAGCTAGATCTATATGGTATATATCTATAGGATGTTGAATATCTATATCTATATCTATATCTTTTCTAGAAATCCATGGGTAGATTATCATAATTACAAATTGTTCTCATGGGTGATTGATAATATTCACATTGATTTCAGTGGTGATAATATATCTGCGTGAATTTTTGTAATATGTCACCGACCTGAAATGTTTCTACCTATTTTACTAAACATCATTCCGCGAGGTCGCAGTGAGATCGTTGCAATTTACCCACATCTGTGATATTTATATGATAATCACCAACTGGTTGGTGGTGTACCTACCCCTCTGAAAAATATGAGTTCGTCAGTTGGAATGATTCTTCCCTATATATGGAAAAATAATCAACATGTTCCAAACCGCCAACCAGATATTCATGAAAATCACCCAATTGGCCAATGAACATTTTGGGTTGTATCCCCTGAACTAATCATTAACCAACCAACATTGATCAAACAAATGGTACTGTTCAGAAACTGACCATCGCGGTATGGAGCGGGTCAAATTGGGCACCCCAAATGACCAGTCTGCGTTTGGAATCATCTTTTAAGGCCGTTTATTAAAACAGCGCCCGGCAGCTAGAACTAAAACCAGCGATTTGCCGAAACAAAAGCCTCAAGAATTTTTCAGTTCATGGCTCTTCTCAAGGAAATCGGAGTTTCTATTTCATAGCCGCTATAGCCTTTTAACATCTTTTAAATCAACCCTAAGTCCCATTGTCCTCTTGTCATGGCCCGACAGAACCCCTGCACCCGCGCCTGCGGCCCAGTCCTTTAAGAGTTCTTCATTCGCGAAGCGAAGCCTTCAGCTGGGAGTTGGCTGAAAATTGGGGCCTTTTAGCAGTAGAAATCTTAGATACCCTGGGAAAAACTAAATTGTTAGCTGGCTAATGGATACTCCTTATTTCTAGCACAAGAGAAACGGATTTAACATCTTAATCCATCCCAGGTTGATCTACTTAATTAAAACGTTTGTTGAATAATCCATCTAACTAATCGGCTAAAGGTAAAATAATCCTGAACATCATCCTACTTAAGCACTTAACGAGCTGAGACACCACCGGTCGTGGAATCCTTGATGATTTCTCGGAGCCCAATGTCTTCGGGCATCAGGAAAGCTACAAGCGATAGTTTCCAACCGTGAAGTGAAGCAACATTCCTCACGTGGACTTTGGCTCTGCCTCTTCGCCCAATTTTTTGAAGGCCTGCGACAGATCCAAACTCATCACCGCAATGCACCAAGTACCGGTTTCGAGCCCGTTGCTATTGCAGGGTTCCTTCTCCTTCTCCAACCCCAAAAAAACAAAACCTGGCCCCAAAAAAATCCAAAAACTATTCTGCGCCCCTTAACTACCCCCCGCCAACTGTCTAGTTCACAAGCAGTTTGGCCATGGCTCAATTCTCCCCGGGGGCACTGTCGGCATGTCGCCAGCGGCAGCAAATTTGGCAGCGTCCGCATTTTCAGCATCGTTGTGTTTTAATGCCAAGCTCCCTGCCAAGCTAGCTTTCGTCCCTTACCCCGCCTTTTGGGGCGGGATCTCCTTTGAGTCTCAGCTCATTCTTTCGAACTTCCCTTCCTCGTGTGAATAGAGGATTGTGCCAGGTTTTCCAGGCGCAGCCCATCGCCTTTGATCACCAAGGTGTAGCCACCAACAGTGAAGACCCTGCAGGCACTGCCGGGCCGCATGTTCAGCGCTTTAAGCAGTCCCCAAAGATGAGACAGGAAGCATCCCGCAATAATGAACCATTGCAAAGGGAACCCTTACAATGGATATAAATCCCTAATCACATGAATAATATCAATTAATATCATACATATACATATTCCTCAATAAAGGAAGTCAAACATTCGCAATAGGGGTGTAACGGTGTAACCACGAAACTCTTGGTACCAGCATATTGTTGTTTACAAATGTATCTATATGTGTATATACATATATGGAATACTCAAAAAAAAAGGTATGGATGGGGCCTCCCCTTCCATCCCTCAAAGCATTCTGCTAGTTCTCCCAATGTCATGGTGGCAATTGAGGTTTCCACGGCGGGTACTAAAAAACATCCAAGTCATTAGGACCCATCCCACAGGATTTTTCTACCGTACTACCGGCTATCCAAGACTTGGAGCTGTATTAATATCCATTAGTAGTGGTTAATAGATCCATTGTATCCATGATGATTATTATATCAGGATAATACTGTGGATGTTTTGTTTTTAAAATCCAGCACCGATGGCAGAAGCCAAACAAAATCCTGGTATAAATAAAAAAAACACCTATCTGGGTAAATTATAATAAGCCCATTTGGGGATGATTTTCCTTATTAATCATGATTCCAGTGAGGGAGAACAGGGTTCGGTCAAATCCTATCGGCTGGTGATTCGGATTTCGCAACGGCCCATCCACAGAATCCCGAAGCCATTTTCACGCCGAGGAGCTGGGTTGAGTTCATCTGATTGGTCCGTTGTGACAATTGACACACACGCGCCTTGGTCCGGCGCCCGGTGACAACGATGGGAACATCAAGACAAAGTGGATATACCTCCAACTTCGTCTCTGTGTCATTGAGATTACTAGATTGATATACAGCACCTAAGTGGAGAGTATTCATAGATTTCGGTTTTCGCAGGGCTATATACCCATGTTATAACCCATGTTATACCCATGTTATACCATCACAATATCTTCCTCCAGGTGTTCAATACAATCTCCAGGCCCAGGCCGGGGTAATCAACAAAGGCCCATGGGGAGTAAAAACTTTAACCATTTCATGGGGATGAGAGTTTTAAATGGGATGCAATAGGATATTTTTAGGCCAACCAAGAAGAAATCATGTATGTCCCAAAAATCAGACCTGAATGCCTTTAAGAATCTTTAAGATAAGTTACTGTCACATCATACATCAATCTGAAAAGGACACATGATGACAATCCGATTTGTTGTATATATCCAATCCTCAAACACATGATTCCTCACAAGGTTCAAACGGAGCTATGAACCTGATTGGGTGTATCATGAGCCCAGCAAAAAACTTGTAACCACCTAGCTCGGGAGCAAAACTATGACAAACAAATCCCGTGTCAAAAAGAAAGTGGAGCGTTTTTTTCTGCTTCCAGTTGTGTAGCCGCACAGATATAAATACATTATAGTTATAATACAATGCCAAAAACTCATACAAAATAGAGCCTTGCAACCTTGCGATATAGTGTTTTGCTATCCTCTTATCGGCAAATCGTTGATCTGCCGATCTGCACGTGCATCGTTGTGATGATATGGGGGCTACCTCCAATATCATCCAATCATCCAGGTCATGAATGGCCATGAATTAGTATTGGTTACAATGGGGGATCGCCCATAACTTAAGACACCTCCAGTGGTTTGTTGTCTTGTCATTTCTTCTCATGTTTGGAAGTACCATGCATAGTGGGATAAGGTGACCATTCGGACCGTCACCGGTTTCGAAGCGCAATTCCTCCAAGAAACTTCACTCACAGACCCATGGGTTTGTCCAAACATGGGGTGAACATCGAAAATGACAAAGTTTCAAGGGGCAAATAAATCATAAACATTACAATACACCATGAAACTTTGAGAGTAGCTTATGTTCTATGGTCTATTGAGTTTCCGGTACCCTATATTCACCAATATTCGTTCAACATGCTGCCATACTATCTAAAGAACTCTACGGCTACCTAGCATGCCAACTGATAACTTGGTCGCAAGTCACCCTCCGCGGTTTTTAAACATAGCTGTGATAAATGACCCATTCATATTCTGTTCAATGGTTTCGCTATTCAAACTTCTGATGTTCCAGTTCGCAAAGTGTAAATCCCATCACATTCCATTGGTATTCTATATCCCCATGATACCACCATGTTTGGTTGGTTTTGCTGTCCTCTCCCCGCTACATTGGCGTAACATCTGCGATCATCCCAGCACTTGGCAAGCGAAAAAGTGGTGAAACCAGATATAAAGGTTGACACATGTTGAAACCATTGGCAATAATGCGGTTAAAACAAGAATAAACCATCGCCCAAATCACACTAAATAGGTGCTATAAACCATTCCTAAATGGGCGGCTTATTATTTGTTCCACCATATTAACCATATTGACTATAGTGATGAATCCACACTTCATGACTTTTGGACCTACGGGATTTTCCCGCTTTTTCGACTCCCACACCTCCCGATTTTCTTCCAGGGCGCCATCTCTGAAGCATTGGGTCTCCGCAAATCAATCCGGACCTAGACAGGGTTGTTTCCAATGGATTTGACCTATTAACACACAAAGATGATAGTCAATGGATTGATTCAAGGGCAAAACAAAAAAAGTTTTCTTTTCAATGAATGATGCGTCGAAATGTCCTCACGGAAGCCACACTGTCGATTCGCAGAGTTCTTAGATCTGCGCCACAATATAAGTATTTGATTAACTATAGCCAAGGTGGCAATGTATCCCAAAACAATAACAGTACTGGTTAGATGAAAACTCACACGAATCTGCCAACCATAACTTTATGTTTACAAGACTGCACTTAAAAACCAACACGGTTTACGGTTATGAGTCAAAACCCTGGTGCACCATTTACCCAAGAGTAGTTGGTGTATGGATATTTAGTTCCAAAAAGAAACAACATTAGGTTTTGACCAATCTCTATATAACTAATAACTAGTAATTACCAACAATATATAGAGCTAATAATAAAGTAGTTTTATATATAAATGAAATGGGTAATTTTAAATAATTAACTAACCTGAAATAAGACTATCTTGCAAATGATTCCTTTTATTAATCATGATTATAGTGAGGTCGCAGTGAGGTCGTTATCATTTACCCAGGTATGTGATATTCCTATGATAATCACCAATGATAATCATCATTAACAACCATTAATAACCATTAATAACAATTAATAACCATTAATAGCTAATATCACCATAACGATTAATAACTAAATACTTTAATAATGATACTTGTTGTGCCAGAGACTTGCTGCCTGCAGCTGCTGTAGGAAGACCTCGAAACTCGGAGCCTGTTGCCTCGCGGCTTTGCGCAAGACCTGCTCGCGATACCTGCGCCATCTGGGTTGAACGAGGCATTGCGGTAGACATATGGAAGGGCACCACAACGGTTTGAGAACAAACTACGCTTGACAGTAGTTAAGTTATATGGTAGTTATTTGTGATGATTTTGGGACCGAATTTGTGGTTCGCGAATTTGTGGTTCGCCCTCTAAATATTATGGTTGGCCGGAAAATCTTTCCATTTGTTCAAAACCCAATGATTTCCTATTGCCATGTTTGATGACGAGAGGGCAAAGTGAACACCTGAGATTTGAACCTAGTGGTAGAACCCAGGGCATCATTTCCAATTCACGGAACGAAACGATCATCTGGTTGGTGGTTTCAACCCCTCTGAAAAATATTAGTCAATTGGGATCATTATTCCCAATATATGGAAAATAAAAAATGTTCCAAACCACCAACCAGTCATGGTTGGTGTATCTGGCCAAATGGTTTCAATGGTTTTGGATGATTCACCAGCCTGGAAACAATTTCGCCAAACAAACAATTCAAATTCGAATGAAGACGTAAAATACGTTGCAGATTGTGTATTTAAACATATATAAACATAGACGGGGCATTTGGGAGGATCTCCATTTCGGTGATGTTATCGTGTTGATTGCAGAATATTACGGTACATGCATGTTTTTTTTTGTGTTGCTTAGCATTTACCACCAATCATGCAATTTAGAATCAAAAAGCAACCCCTCAGCCAAGGTTCACCAGTGTCTTTGGGCCTCAAATGCGTCAGACTTTATTGTTTTCTGTTCATGCCGATATCCCCATGGTTTTCCCCGGCTGGGGCACATCTGTGTGCGTTGGGTATCCTCTGCAGTGAGGCTGCCTTTCCTTGCTACGGATCCGTATGGGAGTACACACCTTTCTTATGGCTTTATGTATGCATACAGTTATGGCCATGGCCCTGTTACCAGTTATTTTTGTACTTATAACCCCAAAAAAACTGAATGTACAATCCCATAGAAATAACTAGTTATAAGCATTTATAATTGGTAGACAACCATAACTGTATGTATGCATACATGTATGGATAGTAAATATTGCAAGTATCAATAGATAAATCCTGTACAAACAACCTTGATTTTCGTTAAAACAATGTACATGTATAATCATGTATACATGTATGTTTTCACATCGACAACGTGTAAATGTGTAGAAGTGCATGCATTCAATGAAATATGCGAATGGATACACTAGATGTAATAATGATGTAGTATATCATGTGCACATATGTCAATACGTATGTTGCAAAATATGCAAGAAATATAGGCGTAAATGTGGGGATACGTAAATATGTATGCATGATTTGTTTCTAGGTATAATAATACTTGCATATATATAGGTATGTGAAAATATTTGTACATACACATAGATACATACACGCACTTATAGAACTTGCAGGTGTCCAGATATGTAGATATATGAACATGTGCGAATGAAAAAGTCAATGCGTCAAAAACATATCTATAAAGATATTCTCGTCAGATACTAATCATGTACCTCGTATATATCAGCTGTTGCGCGTTAAGTCCAAGATGTCACACTTGGCTGATATGGGTGTGCCTTGGCCACATGTTTCGATAATCGATTAATCTCTGATGTTCGGACAGCACATTTGATCACATTCTCATGGCCAAATCCTGGTACTTTTTGCGGTGGTGAAGGCTAGGAAGCTTAGGGGCATTTATGAGCCATGGAAATTGGCGTGGGGGATAATGCTACTGCTAGTTAAAGAAGCCCCGCGCTCAATAAAGCAAGTTCCTAGCAAAATCATCACCATGACATGGACTCCAACCTTCCGTGCCCAGCGTCCAGCGGTCCAAGGCCCAATGTCTGCCTAGGAGGTCGCTGAAAGCTTCGCGATCCGAAGGGATGGACAGGGTGATCACCTGCCGGGGAGGAATTGCTTAAACTCTTTTGACATTGCCAATCTTCGATACCCTGCAAAAAATAAAGTGTTCGCTGGTTAGTAGATGTATCCATCTATAACAAAAGGTTAAAGGATTAAACTACCCGTCCAAGGTTGACCTAGATTGTGCAAGGCACGCTGTGCGTTTTCTATTGCGGCTTTGTAATATTATTTGCTTTTTTTTCCAGCACATAAGACGTTCGAAGGCTGCTCTGGTCACCTCCTCCAACTTTTGCTCATGGTCCTGCTTCGCAGCTTGAAGCACAGCTGCATACTTCATGTTGTCCAGGCCCACTTGGGATGTGATCTCTGAAGTGCTGCCCAGTGGCCACCTAGCAGGGCACAGGCAGCACCACAGCTATACACATGGCCCATCACGCCTCCGTGAAAAGCACCCAGATCGTGCGAGCCACCACTTCGCTCCAACCACCACTGGTATTCCAACCGCCGCTGTTATTGCCATTCCTGTCCTGGCCACCACTCGCACCAGTGCAGCCAATCATGTGTCCGAGCGTCGCGTTTGCTCCATGCGTTCCTGAAGCCGATGAAGTCCTGCAAGGGATTCAGAGTTTGAGTGCTTGAAGACATCGTTCATGCGCAATCGGCTCAGGCTGCTGTGTCAAGTTCAAGCAGCGTCAGAATCGACGCGTCACCCTGCACCCGTTGCTGCCGGTTGCATATGCCATGGGTGGCCAGCCGGGAAGTTCCTTACTGCTCCTTGCACCTCCAGCCGGCTTTGGGTCTGGTGCACGCGCGGGCAAATCTCGCAGTGGAAGCTTTCCAGGGTTGTGGTACTGCACGAAGTTGTTCCTTTAAGCCTCCGGCCAAGCAGCATGCAGTTGGAGCTTCAGCAGGACTCAATCTCCAAGATCTCCATGGCCTTCCGCTCAGTCTGCGCACGCAGAGCTCATGGGAGGCATCTCACACAAGAAAGTGCACTGTGATGATGAGGCCACATGTTATCTCTTCCAGCTGCTCACTAAATGGCATGAAAGATGTATGATAAAGTTTATTGAGAGTATGATGAAGTGCAATGATCACGCATATGGGGTTGTGACTGAAGGAGCGGGAAGTACTTGGTTATCTCATATGGCTAGACTAGCCTCACTTGCAAACCAGGTACTAACATGGGTAATCCTACAAGAATCCCATGAAATACAGGTTGGGTTGTAATAACTCCATAAACCAGGTAGGTGCATCACCCCCTATTTCATAACCAATCAACAGTGGTAGTTTTTTGATGGCTCATCTGAAACAAACATGCTGGTCATTGGGAAAACATCATCGCACATTTTGTGGTAGAATCCAACTATTTTATGCTGTCTTTCCCTTTTTAAAAACATGATGGTAATATCTTGGGGACAGTTCATCTCATGGGTTTAGCGCACGTATTTTTTATTGAAAAACCAGACTATCTTTAAAATCACCAAGCAGATTTTAGGAGGTTATGACATGTTATAACCTGATGTGCTCTCCTAAAATCCACCATGGCAAACTTGCCCGTCTTATCTTACCAAAGCTTGTTCATCATTGTTCATCTCTGTTCTGATCAAACAACATCATGCAAGTTCCATACATGTTTCATTCTGCATCACTCTTCAAACATATCCCGCTATCCCATTGAATATCGCCAAAAAAAACACAGCAAAAATCAGGCCAGGAAACCCATATGAGATGGGAAAACGATTCGTCATCCGAGTTTTTTTGACATAGCCAACATAGCTATGAAACATGACCCATAGAAATCGATCATCAAGAACAATTAATTATTTACCATCATTTAAAATGGTGATTTTCCATAGCTACTTCGCTACTGAGCGAAAATCACCAGAGGCTACCTATAGTCTATAGTTCATATTTTCCATATCTACATATGGGGATGGGTCAAAACCTTGTACCCTTGGTGAACATCAAAATAGCTGGTAAATAGATGTTCATCCCCCTAAAAATGGTATTTATAGGTATTGATCCATAGCCATATAGCTACATTAAACAAGCAAAGGCAAAGTGTCATGGCACAAACGCTTTCCACCTCTGGCAGCTGCTGACGGACACTTTCGAGCTCCATGGGATTGTCGTCCAGAAAAACGAAGGCCTTGAGGTGATGTCAGTGGTACTACCCAAGGGCCCCCCCGTTTTGAATTGAGATAAAAAGCAAAAAACATGTGTTTTTTTCATGGGGATTTCATGATATTTCATGGTTATTTTTTTGAATTTAGTTAGTTTAATGGAATTTTCATGGTTCTTTTTTTGAATTTAACTATAGTTTAATGGGATTTCATGGTTCTTTTTTTTCTATTTACTTAGCCAAGTTCGTTTATACTTGCTGAATTCTATGGTTTCATGGCATTAGACTATAGCCAATAGGGTGAAGCTAAACCCATGTAATTAATACATAATCTGGATAACAGGTATGCAATGGGGACATTCGATTTATGTAACCATTACATCAACTGTATCATATCTCAAACAATATTGACAACTAGATAACTAAATATAAATATATATATATATAATAATGTAATATACTCATATTAAAACACACAAGAATTGGTATTATTGCTCATGGTTTTTGATTGGAAGGTTAGTTATCCACAATAGACAATGGTTGTTTCTCCGTTGTTTCAAGCTATAAAAATCCTGGAACACGCGTCCAGCTATGGAACTACTAGTGGGCAGTGAGTAACAAAACAATGTGTTTCACTACCCGATAGTTGGTAAATGAATGATGCACAAAATTCACGTGATTAAACTCAAACTAGAGATGATTATAAATATATGAAGAAATGAACAAATGGCTTCACCACTCATGAACAACAAAAACCATCAACCACCTATCGACTATGGACTAGGGCCCCACTTCGTAGATGTTCAGGGAAAGTTTACAGGAATACAGGAACTTTAGAGATGATTCTCAGTCTTTGTCAGTCGGATTTTGTTTAGGAACCAGGAGTAGGTTTAACACAAAAACGGGGCTGAAACAACACTGGTTGGTGGTATACCTACCCCTCTGAAAAATATGAAGGTCAGCTGGGATGTTGACATTCCCAATATATGGAAAGTCATAATGCAAATGTTCCAAACCACCAACCAGAATAATATTACGGAAGCAAACCCGAAGATATGAATCAGGTGCCGAAGTTGCCCAAGAATTTACCGGAATTGGTATGGCAAACAAATCAACATGGCAATTTACATGAGAATTCAACAAAACCACGGCGGTGCAACCAGCAATGGAATTTCATGCTTTCAGAAACTGGAGATCCCCTACCTGACCTACCAATGGTTGACGGGGTGCATCAATCACCTATGTTTTCAGTGGGGGTTCTAACGGTAACCATATATGGAGTTTACACGTATGTGAACATGTAATGAAGCAATGTATAGCAATGTTGAAGCCCAAGTACCCAATGAATCATGGCCCAAGACCCGCCATGTTGATGGACGTTATCTATCTATGTGGTTTTCTAACATGAATTGCCATCTAGCAAGATTACCCTCTGGTAAACATACAAAAAAGGATGCGAAATCACCATGCTATTTATGGGTAAATCAACTATAAATGGCAATTTTCAATGGCTATGTTGGTTTACCAGAGGGTATACCATCATAAATCCCAATAAATCCCATGAAATCCCATTAAATCCAATTAAATCAGCATTTTCCATAGAGATCCGCACCCATTTAAAACACCATAGAAAAAACAAAACCTTTACCGCATGGTCCAACCATATGTGGTATCTATTGCCGACAGAGCGTCTATATCAGTCTCGTTTCAGGATGGTTTAACCACGATTATTGATTCTGAGGGGGAAGAGACTAATATCTTCAGGTTCCCAACTGCACCTCCAAACCCAAACGGAGTTCGGAGGCAAGACGTCGTAGGCTCGTTGCTTTGGAGCCCCAATGAATCTGCGCACAATGAAACCAAGAGGAGGACTGGCGTTATGGCCGTAGAAACCAATTATACACGGTGAAATAACTGGTTATTTCTATATATTTCTATGGCATTATACACTCCACAAATGGGATTCTAAGTACTTATAACTGGTATATGAAGGGCCACAACTTTAGATGTTGGCAACACATGGCTTTGTCACTGGAAAAATCGCCAAGGTTTAACATGATATTCCCCATTAAAGTGGCGGTGGTGTACTCCGATGCACTCCATTCTCAGACTCACCCGAATGATTGAATGTATACCGTGACCCTCCAAGTACCTGGAAAAACGAGAACATGATAGAACATGTATCCATTATTTTGGGACCCTTATTGATTTCAATGGGGAATTGAAGGGTCCAAGTAGTGCTTTAAAACCAATCAACAATTTTTTGTATCCAAATGAGCACATGAAACAAAATCGTCTTAAAAGCATAATCATTATAAAGGCCATATAAAACTACAATGAGCCGTAATGATTTTTTTAAAACCACAATAAACTTACTGGTGCTAAACGTAGGGAATGGATGGGAATGGGGGTTGCTGGGATGATTATTACTAGTGATAATGGATCATTCCCATCCATTCCCTGCGTTTAGCACCAGTAATTAAAAACGATGATCTCCATGATCCCCTCGGCAGGGCGAGCCTGCCACGCTGCCAACTGCTCCTTCTTCAGAGCCATGGAAATGGCCCGTTCCGAAAAGACTCGCAAGACATCCTCCTGTGGATCCAAGATGACAAAGTATCGGGTATCCACAATATGAGGTTTCCTAAAAATGGAGGTTTCCTAAAAATGGAGTAACCCCAAATCATCCATTTTAATAGGATTTTCCATTATAAACCATCCATTTTGGGGATCCCCCATTTTAGGAACCCCCAATATGTGTCTACCACTTGAGGGTCAAAGGATTCCTTTCATTTGGCCCGGAGGGATTTGGACATCATCTCCAAAGGTATGTTGAAATTGCCTCAAAGTTTTTTTCAATATTTTTTTGCCATTTGTTTTGACTGTTATGACCTCTTATCCCATTATCAATATAGTTAACTTAAGTTGTATCTCATTATATCACCCATGATTTCTTCCATATTTCATTGGATTGCTTGAAGCAAACATTTGCAGGGAACCTCTGAATTTCATGGTAAAAAGATGCAAAAACATGTTTCGGAAAATTGCGAGATGGATACTGGGTCAATGTTGATTAGATACTAACTAGTATTTACATGTTTTACTATGATAAAATGTACATTCATCATTTTTTTTCCGACATGTATCTATTATCTAAGATTCACCATGCAAACGTATCGATTGAATGGTTGTCCTAAATATGATGCAAAGATATTATATATATACATATGGATTTATATGGATCTTAATGTGAACTATTGTGACCTTAGATTAATAAATGGAGAAGGGTATTATCAGTGGGTCTGTTGGATGCTATCATCACATTGGTTTCCCATGATATCCCAATTGTTAACCAGCATTAGTGTCCCATCTTGGTTACCTTTGCCCCTCACAGGCACCCTTTCATCTCATCGATGAGAACGGTGAGAGCTAGTTGAAATATGAAATCACATCACTATGGGGATACATTGCATATACAACATCTACATATATGAAGATCATATATGTATGTAATTACTCAATAGAATATAGCATCAGAATAAATTATATATATAGTACCCTCTGGTAAACTAACATAACTATGGAAAATCACCATGTTTAATGGGAAACTCCACTATAAATAGCAATTTTCAATAGCTATTTTGACATAACCAGAGGGTAAATATATGTAAGTCTTCTACAGAAAAAGAGGGAGAAACTGATCACATGTAATGGTGTACTCCGGCCTCATCGTTGCGGGAAGCCAGGCAAACCAAACGTCCTGACTCCTCAGCAAGAGATTGAAACGCGAAGGGATTGGAGCGATTTTTTTCGCCTTCCTTTGGTTGATTTGGGAATAATGATGGGTTAGTATTTCCCAATAATCAGATCATCAATGACAGTGATTCTCCATCAAAGAAATGTGGGATAATGGCAATATTAATGTGGGCTATACATGGATCTACTGGCTAGAATATCTCCAAAACATGGTAGGATATATCATCATATATCATAATAATTATATCCCTTTGATTTGGGTGTCTCTAGAATATCTTTGGGATATACTGGAGTAATTCATCAACTGGTTGAATTGGTTGGTGGTGACTTAACCATCTTGAAAAATGATGGAGTTCGTCAATGGGGTTGGGATTCTCCCATATATGAAATGGAAAATAAAAGCCATGTTTGAAACCACCAACCAGTAATATTGATATATAACAATTACCCTATGGTTATTTAACATAGCAATGGAAGCCATGGCCCATTTATAGATGTTTTTTGATGATAGATATATATATACCAGCTGTATTAATGGAATACCCCTCTATATATATATATATGATAATTTTCCATAGTTTTTTGTATGTTTACCAGAGGGTATGGAAAACAATCCACATGTTTGAAACCACCAAGCAGATCAAACATGGTACCACGACATCTCCGGCGACACATCTGCCAGTCGTCCTGAAGACGTGCCACCTGCCCGGATTCGGATCCCGGATCCCGACGTTCGCCCCTTTTCGGAGCGTCTTTGGCAAAATGTGGCTGCTTGAAATCCCTACAGTTATGGCCCGAAATACCAGTTATAATCAGTTATAAGTACTTAGAATCCCATTTATGGAATGTATAATCCCATAGAAATAACCAGTTATAACATGTTATAAACTTATATAACAATTAAAAATTGGTAAACGGCCATCACTGTGTGACATTTGGGAAAATATAGGACAACATTGGAAACTATGGGAACAACAAACATTGTATTTTCTAATGTTTCAATCAAAAAAACACATCAGAATCTATAGATTGTTGATGTTCCACTGCCATAAACTGCAGGATTGTTGTAGGATTTTGGGGGTAAAGTTGGGCTCATTAATGGTTGCCCTGGGATTCTAACCTCCATAAGTTGGGACATAGGGCCCCTATCACCAGGTTCACTGGAACTGCACCCCAAAGTATGGGGAACTCGTGGTGGGTTGGCCGTTTGTTCGAAGATCTGAACTTCAAAGATGTCTCATGTTTCACTCAAATCTGACATCTTTTGTGGTTTAACTTCCCATGTTTTCCAAGCGGAAAACATATGGCATAGATATCAACTTATCAACTCTGCCATGCTTGGCACAAGGTGGAGAACCCCACCATGCCCACAGCAAGTTTGGGAAACCCGAAACGGGAGGATCAGGAAAGTTGATGAGGTAGATTGCTTGAACTTGCTTGAGCTTTCCAATTTTTTGTGATCATTTTTTTTGGATTTTACCATGTTACGTGTTTCTCAAAAGTGTTCAAATATGTTCACATGATGTTCAAATTCCATGATTTTTTGGGGAGGATCATCCACGCATCAGCTACTTGTCAACTCATAGGTTGGGCAGGCGTGACTTGCACTCCCAAGATCCTTTTTGCCCTGCCATACGCCTAGATGTCCATGAACAGATCTTGGACTCTGGAGCTGTCAGCACCAAAGTCTTCGTGGCCCCAGGTCACAACACTTCCATCTGCCAAAATGGCAGCAAAAGCAGACCCCGTGGCAGAAATCTGCTGGACATTCCTGAGCTGATCTTGGACTCTGGAGCTGTCACCACCACGGTTTGGATCGCCCCAGGTCACAACGCTTCCATCTGCCAAAATGGCAGCAAAAGCGAAGGCCGTTGCACAAATCTGATGAACATTCCTGAGTTGATCTTGTACTCTGGAGCTGTCACCACCACGGTTTGGATCGCCCCAGGTCACAACGCTTCCATCTGCCAAAATGGCAGCAAAAGTGAAGCCCGTGGCACAAATTTGCTGAACTTTCTTAAGCTGATCATGAGCTTGAGAGCTGTCACCACCGCCCAGTGAAGCGCCCCAAGTCACAATGCTTCCATCTGCCAAAATGGCAGCGAAAGCAGACTGTGTGCCACAAATCTGCTGCACATTCTTGAGCTGATCTTGGACCCTGGAGCTGTCACCGCCTTCCTTTGGATCGCCCCAGGTCACAACGCTTCCATCTGCCAAAATGGCAGCGAAAGCAGACTGTGTGCCACACATCTGCTGCACATTCCGAAGCTGATCTTGGACTCTCGAGCTGTCACCACCCCAGATAGGATTGCCCCAGGTCACCACAGTTCCATCTGCCAATATCGCAGCGAAAGCATAGTGTGTGCCAGAAATCTGCTGAACGTTCCGAAGCTGATCTTGGACCCTGGAGCTGTCACCGCCTTCCTTTCGATTGCCCCAGGTCACAACGCTTCCATCTGCCAAGATCGCAGCAAACGCGCTCCATGTGGCACAAATCTGCTTAACACTCTGAAGCTGATCTTGGACTCTGGAGCTGTCACCACCACGGTATGGATCGCCCCAGGTCACAACGCTTCCATCTGCCAAGATCGCAGCAAAAGCGAAGCCCGTGGCACAAATCTGATGAACATTCCTGAGTTGATCTTGTACTCTGGAGCTGTCACCACCACGGTTTGGATCGCCCCATGTGGCAACTCTGCCAACTCCACCAGACCACAAAGCAAACGCATACGTGGTTGCAGCTACCTTTGGCTGCTGTGCAACAGCTGCAATGCTCTCTCGATCTTGAAGCCCAGAAAGCCACAGAGACTTCGTTGGATCTAAAAGGCGTCCGTCAGGCGCAGCAAGCCTCAGGAAAGGTCGCCTCAATGACAGTTGGGCAGCTTTGGTCAGGTCAGCAATGGTGCCAGACTGCGAAGCCGTGACAGTTTCACACCGTCCACTCGGCAAATAGGCCTCAATTTCGATCAAACTGTCAACCATCTGGCCGCTAACTGGCCTCGACCTCCATTGCACGGCTGCGAAGGTGTAGTGTTTTTACAAGGCTAAACAAACCAACAACACAAGATTCAAAAACCATACTCGGGCCGAACGTTTGAGGCGTTGGGATGCTTGTAGATCACAAGGCCATTGAACTGAACTCTTCCCAACGGATGTAGCTGTACATCCGCTGACATGCTAAAGTCTTGAACCTTTACTCTGCGGCTGGGTACCTTGCAAATTTTCGCGCGGTCAAAGATGTGGTTGTGGGGGCCCTTGGCATTCCTCATAGTTGTGCGAGTCCATATATTTTGTGAATATGGCGTTAAATGACCCACAACCATCATGGGTTTTGCTCGGCCGTTGTCCTATGTTTCAAACACCGCTGTTGAAGGTTAAATCCTCCTTTTGCTGCTTACTAACTTGACTGTCCCGCGTCAACATCTTCAATCCTTAAATTTCATTTTTGCTGGGTTCAACACCCTATTTCATCCACTTTGGACCAACAAAAATTCACGCAATAGATGTTAATAGTGCTCATAATTAGTAACACCACTTTGTTTTTTTTCGAAACTCTTCATATCTTTTTGGGTGCTACGAAACTGGCGTTTTTGCCGGATTTTGCCGCGCACCTTTGTCTGCAGAAGTCCAAAGGGCCCCGTCATATCCAGCTGATGCAGTCCGTCTTCGGCCACCACACCGCCCCACCTGGGCTTGGCGCCCCACAAGTGCTGGCGATTTTCTGAAATCTCATACCCATAGGATCCATGTATGGTATATATGCTAACATTTGGGGTTATTGATGGTAAATGTATGTAAATGTTACCATATATAGCATACATGGATCCTATGGGATAGAGGTTAGACGTAATTTTGGTGATAATCCTTCTGAAGGACGTTTTTTTTTTTATCTGATAATGGTGATTAATTCACAAAAACCTGTATTTGTAGAGTTAAACCCCGAAATACCTGTATTGTTGTAAATGGGGTTATCATGTCATAATTTTTTCGGTTAAATTTCACTGATTTATCACTGGGAAAGGGCTATTTTTCTGTGGAGGTTGAGTAATTCTTGGGACATGTTATCGAGGTTTAGAATTTGGAAGAATTTGTTTGAAACAAGATGAGTCATTGGGGTGAGGTTCCCCAGGATAAAGTTATATTTAGAAAAGTGGTTTAGTAAAGTTCGGGAAATGTTCGAAATATGATGGACAACAAGAAACACATTACATTTGGGGAAATTGAGACGAAGGCTTTTTTTTAATGTTGTTGTAATTTTGGGAAATTTGATCTGAGAACTTCAGAGCCACATATGTGTTTTTTAAAATATTTTTTGTGAAAACTATTTCGAATAATGTCAACCCTAGATTAATAAACCCCTAGGCTGTTTAATTGGGGGGTACCATTTCAGTATCAGATTATGACTATTGGAGGAGTACCCCCTAATTAATAAACCATACTTTGCACTCTTGATGCTTAGAATTTTCTTCATCCAATTCGCGGTTCACCGGTCATTTTCTCCACGGCAGGTCACCATAAAATTTATTCATCGATCCCGTTAAATCAGTGGCCTTGTGTTTTTTTGGCCGGCATTAATCCTTTCATACTAGAGATACCCTCTGGTAAACTAACGGTTAGCTATTGAAAATGGCCATTTATAGTGGATTTACCCATTAAAAATGGTGATTTTCCATAGCTATGTTAGTTTACCAGAGGGTAAAGGATTCCTGGCAAAATCCTGCATCTACATGAAAAAGAACCAGAAATCACCCCATCTCTTCACTAATGCCGACAATGATTAATCCCTTCACTCTTCTTGGAAAAAAACTATATAATTCCACCGTGACATGCTGTGACTCTCTTCATTTTGGGGTCGGGAGATGCGATTCATATATGCTGGTAAATGTAACATCTTGCACGCACTGAGATATGGGTGTCTAAAGATAGTTTATGCCAGCTATGCTTCAATTTCCAGTGATAATTCAGAAATCACAAACCCAACTGATATATTCCAGTGATAATTAGATAATTCAGGCGTATATCTAATTTCGGCACAAACCCAACTGATATTGGTGGGTGATATCCCGGCATCCTCCAAAGCACCGAACAAACTCTGGGTGCACCGAACAAAGTTTGATCGCAATCACACACGAAGACTGAGGCAGGTCCGATGTCAACGATGTCAACGTTGGGAATTTCTTGCTGGAGTCCTATGCAACAAATTTAATCTTTATGTGTCATGGTCTTATATATATGGTGTATAAATATATATATATAAATCTATATATGGGGGGTTCTCCATTCATGTTTTTTTTTTTTTCCGATTTTGAACCATCCAGCCATTGGGCTACCCCCATTTTAGGAAACCTCCATACTCATATATACAATATATTAACAATATAGTAACCATATATTAACCATATATTAACCATGTATTAACCATATATTAACCATGTATTAACCATATATCATAAGTATATATATATATATACATATCATAATATACACATTTATGGTGCGTCTGAAAATGGGAGATACCCCAACCAACTTATTGCGAGTTGGACATGGGGTTCAGCGTTGGAAAATTTTAGGGGGTACCCGGCTGTTATTTTGCTGTGTTTTTTGGATTGTGCTGATATGCTTTTTGGTTTTTCCTTTTTTTTTGCATTTGTCTCGGTTTTTTTTCAAGTTGATTCTTAGAATAAACTATGGTCTGGTGAACATAAACGTACAGTATTAGTGTGTCGCAAAGCAACCTTTTCTGCCACCTCGTTTGTCTTTCTCGGATGAAATCCTTAAAGTGTTACTGGCCAAATTTACTTCCCCAATTTGAAAGGATCAGAGCACTGTTAAAGCACCGCGGATAAAATCATCGTCTTCGTTGGCTAAATAGGTAAAATATGGTAAACTCATGTTGAATCCCAGTTGGTCTTTGTCTGCAATCCAAATTTTGCATAGTGTTGCTGCTTTGGATCCCAAAATAATGTTGGTTGAATTGAGAAAGCCGACAGTTGTGTTGTTCAAAAACAAGTTTCAGATAGTTTCAGGGATACATCCACCAGTTTTGATGGTTGTAGTAAGCCCAAACAAGATAGAAAACGGATCCATATATGTTTGATTATGTTTGTACAATGTGAGGCCCCCCAGTTATAAGTTGGTTTATAAGCCCCATTAACTATAGTTATAACTACCATAAACCATACTTACTGGAGTTATAAACCAACTTAGCTATCTTGGGGGCCCCACATTGTAGGAATTCACCAAATTCATCCAATTCTTTGGGGTGTTGAAATCCTACAGTTTTGTAGTGGATGAGATTGGTTGAACTTTCTGAACCCGAGATTTGGACCCTTGGATGTTTTTTTAAGGGTTGCCATGCACTGTCCATGAAATATTCCCATTACATCATTACATTCCCATGATATTCCCATTAAACTACCATGTCTCATAGTGAAATCTCCATTTGGGTTTCTCAAATCAGCATTTCTCACCTCTCATGTTTAAATCTCCACCAACCCGTTTGGTTAAACTTGCTGGTGCTTAGTAGGGAATGGATGGGAATGGGGGAATGGGATGATTATTGATAGTTATTGTGGATCATTCCTTCATTCCCTACTTTTAGCACAAGTAAGTTGAATAACAAATGGGGTAGGCCTATGACCATGGAAAATATCATATAATGCAATCTATGGTTAATCTATGGTTAATCTATGGTTAATCTATGGTTCATCTATGGTTAATCTATGGTTAATCTATGGTTAGTCTATGGTTCATCTATGGTTAATCTATGGTTAATCTATGGTTAATGTAAGGGGATATACCCCCAACATATGGCCTTATATGGTACAGTACCTCCATTGTAGGATCCTGGAATTCCCATTGATTAAACCACCATTTTTCATGGTGAAACCACCATTCTTCACTTTCAGATCCTTGGCGCACCTTTCAGTCGCTCTCTGAGATGCCACGCCACAGCGCGGCGCAGGGCGTAGAAGACCAGGGCACCAGGCGCCGCGGCGGCGCCTGGTGATGTTTTTCACGTCAAAAATGATGGTTTCACTGGGATTTCATCATGATTTCTATTCCATATGCGAACCATGGTGCTGGTATTTTCACCTACAGAACTGGGTGATTTTCAGGGCAAATGTTGGTAAATATTCCAGCACCATGGAGCATATGGGTATGGGATTTAGTGGGATCTAATTGGTTTTGAAGATCCAAAGTGATGAAAAATTGGGTTTTGAATGCGATTTTGCCAGCCAAATTGGTACACAGAACTGAAACATACTTGGATTAGGCCCACGTTGTGGCACAACTATGGCAATAAACTCGAGAAAATGTACAAGTCCTGCTCTGCGGCCCTTTCGGGAGGTTTTATTAACAAACCTTGTGGAAACTTGGGGAGAGAAGATGCCCAAATACCTTCTGAACTTGTATTTGGTGGCTGGTTGGTGGTATACCTACCCCTCTGAAAAATATGAGTTAGTCAGTTGGGATTATGACATGCCCAACTGAATGGAAAAATAAAAAATGATCCAAGCCACCAACCAGGTTGTGGTTTTGGAGGCCCAAGGCTTTTTGCATTAGGGCTCATGGGATACTAGTGAATTGGGACCATCGTGAATCAGGGAGTGACAAGGATATACTGGGAATATGATGGGTGTGACGTTGGATATGTTCGACTAAACATTGCTATTAACAAATGAAAAACACTACATATTATTCTCGTCAGTTCAATCCTTCCCATTGTATCCCCTCCATACAGCTTTGTCTAATCATCATTTTACCATCTAAACATCTTCGTAAAATCGTTATCTTTATACCACCGTAACTTTGTTGGTTAATAGCCATAGCTATAATAACATGGTTATATACACTTTTATCCACACAAATTCAACCATCAAACCATTGAACAATGGAACCATTTGAGCAATCTTGAGTTCTTGAACAATGGAACATTGAGATGTTGGAATGTAATGGTGCTAAAACAATAATAAACAACCCATTTGGGAATGGTTTATACAACCTATTTTATGGCGAAATTGGGGATTGTTTATTATTGTTTCACCCAAATTAAATAGACCATTTCCCATGTCTATATTAGTTTACTGCAGGGTAATTAGTAGTATTTCATCAGAAACCACTGGTGATGTTTGATTTATGTTGATGGTTCATGGTTTACCCTTTGGTAAACTAATGGTTAGCTATTGAAAATGGCCATAATAGTGGATTTACCCATCAAACATGGTGATTTTCCAGTTCGCTATGTTAGTTTACCAGAGGGTACCAACACTTATCGTTGAAATATCCCCCATGTTTCTTCCTTCAGTGAACTCCCCTAACGGGCACTCCATGTGCTGCGCCACATCATCTGTAGCTGTGCCACATCTGTAGCTACCGACCGACTGGAGCTCATCTCACATCCGCGCCCAAGGTCCCGCCGTTCTCAAGCTGAGGTGCCAAAGTCTCCCAATTGTTGCTGGTTATGGCCCATTTCTTCCCAGTCAAGTCCCTAATGATCACTCGAATCGGCGAATTCCCACGGAAATCCCACAGAAAATCCCACGGAAAATCCACACAAATTCATCCCATTGAACTCCGGTGAAATCTCCCGCGAAATTTTCCCCACATGTTGCTGGTGAAAAATCCGTTACAAGGTGGTGGCCCCCCCCCAGTTATAAGTTGGTGAAAAAAAGCATGAAAATTACTTCGATATAGCACCAACATTCACCAACAAAAACCATAGTGAAATTGGACTTATAATCCAACTTAGCTAACTATCATCCCATTTATATCCGGTTAAATCTCCATTAAACCACCACATTTTGCTGGTGAAAAATCCGTTAAAACCCCAGGTCAACTGAAGAAATTCAGCACCTGGATCTACCTGCACTTCGCGCCAGGAGACGACCTGGTGTTGGGGATGAGCTGAGTCACTATTGATCCCATAGGACTGCCATAGAAAAATGGTGATTTTGGTGATTTTTGACCAAGAAAAATGGTGGGTTTAATATGGTTTAATATGGTTTAATATGGTTTAATGGATTTTAATGGATTTTAATGGGATCTGGAGCTTTTTTATCATGGCTAACTTGGTTTATGACTTGGATAACTAGGGTTGATGGGGGATATAACTATACTTCAGGGCTAATGGACTTTATAAAGCAACTTATATTTCAGTTCGTTCGACTGCACAAGCCAGAAAACTTTGACTCTGGCTCGACAGGGGAAAACGAAATGTGGTTCACATGTTGCTCAACACCCTGGCCCCGTTGGGGGGGAATGAACAGGGAGCAATGTGTCAAACAAATCAAAACAGAAAAACATGCAGATACAGAGTGTCACCAGGAGGCAAGGCTACAAAGGACGGCGTTGGCCAAAAGCCAGGAGCCAAGCCCGGAAAAACAGCCCCATGGAGTTGCAATACGTGTATCGCGTGTATCGTTCAGGACACATGACAAAGCCAAATACATCTAACAACGTGCAAACCTTGTCTCCTTGAACATCATCACAAACTCCTTGATGGATTCATTGGTCATCCAGTGACGCATGTGCTTGTCACTCTCTATATCAATCTCAATGACTAGGGAGGGGGCACCACTTTGTTCTCTAGTCATCTTGGAGACCACTTTGGGCGATTCTTTGCGGTATATCATAGAGACATACCTGAATTTTCCATGGGAATGGGAACTTGTGAATTCACGAACCGAAAAACATGGTTGTTGTCATAAGGCCATTTTATGGGATCATGTGTGTTACTAAGCATCATTCCAGTGATGTTACAGTGAGGTTACTACAATCCATCCAAATATCTATGTGCTATATAGAGTAATATATATATGTATATATATATTATTCACCATAGCCTAAATTTACACTATTAGTATATGCCATCAATACAATGTGTACTATAAATGGATGTTTAAACATAAAAAATCCCTGTTTCCTGGGGACTTGCTTGAAAATGCCATACTGTATCTACCGCAAGATGACTAGATATATACAGTTTGATACAGTTTGCTATTTATCATAATACATATTATATCAATGTATATATGTATAAAATACGCAGCCACTTTCAGTTCTACTTCACAGCATGTGTCTGGGTTTAAACTTATAACTCCAAACATCCACACATCCATTTCAGCAAATCAGCGTATCTAGAGATAACCTGTTGGAACAATGCAACATAAACTTACAATGTAGGGCCCACCCGAACGATAGCTAAGTTGGTGAACATCATCCTCATGAAAACTATGGTTCTGGGCGAATTATAATATTTCACTAACCTGAATTAAGGCCATTTGGGGATGATTTCCCTTACTAACCATGATTTCCAGTGAGGTAGTAGTGAGGTCGTTATAATTTACCCAGATGGTTACTAGATGTTACTAGTTTTTTAGTATCACAAACCACAGTGAGCTTGGAGCTATGCGGCCACCAACTCTATGCGTTTTCGTCAACGGGGGCCCCACTTTGTATGTTTGTTTTACGAAGCTATGATAAAGTGAAGTCATTGTCTGAGGTGACATGTGGCAACCTAATTTTTTGGAGGAAGTTACTGCATTGTGAGGAACTGGGGTGATAACTGCCAAAGTGCCTATCAATTTGATTTTGTAGGGGTCACAACCCAGCATAACCCAGCAAAGATTCAAGGCCGTTCTTAAAATGCGAGACCCCCAAATCCTCCAAGTTCTTTGTTTGGTTTAACGGGGAAAAAACCTGTATGTGTATGTAATGAATTTTGGGTTGGCCAAATTGGACAAATTTTCATTGTTGGTGAAATGGGGATTCCGATAGTGGATTGTGATCATGCAAAAAATATATGTACCATCTGGTTATGTAACATAGCCATGGAAAATCACCATTTTTAATAGGTAAACCATCAATCTATAAATGGGCCATTTTCCATGGCTATGTTAAATAGCCAGAGGGTATATCGAACAAAATGGCCGTGGCTTCCATAGTGCTTTGTTAAACTACCAGGGACCAGCACGATGTCCCTCCAAAAGTTATCAACCAGTGCTGGGCTTTTTCTGTTCACTGTTCACTTAAATAATTTCAAGTACAGCAACCCCAAACTAGATGTCGAAACGTGTTTTGGATGTTAAAAGACTCTATGCGTTCCCCATCATCTCCAGCTTTCCAAACTTTGCTATTTTGAGCTTGCTATAGATCATCCAATTATGACCCGAAGCACCTGCCACTTTCACTGTTCACTCAGCGCCTCACGTCAAAAGCGTCACCATCTTCACCTGAGCCGCATGTCCCGAGTCGGTGAGTCGGTGAGTCAAAACTGAACCATACACTCTGGTAAACTAACAGTTTGCGAACTGGAACATATCACATCACCATTTTTTAAATATAAATCATGGTAAATCATGGTAAATCAACTATTTCTATGGCCATACATATAACATCACCATTTTTTAATATAGGTAAATCAACTATTTCGACTGGGCCGACTGGGCCATTTCCAAGTTCGCTTTGCGCGTGACCAAAACCGCTATCCCAGCACGGTGGATTTTCCAGCCATAGATTACCCGGCCTGGTAAACATACAAAAAGCTATTGAACATGGCCATAGAAATAGTGAGTTTTCCCATTAAAAATCGTGAAATTCCATAGTTTTTTGTATGTTTACCAGAGGGTACAGGAGATTAATTACCCATATGCGAACCATGGTGCTGGTATATTTACCTACAGAACTGGGTCATAAAAATGGGGTAAATGTTGGGATTCATATTCCAGCACCATGGGTTGCATATGGGTTACAGGAATTTCCGTGTGGGATTTACCCATGAATTAGTGGACAACTCTGCACTTTTTTTCTCTTCAACCAAGTCTGAGACACTAAGAAAACATCACATCCCGAACACCTGCATAGACAAAAAGTCTTGAAAGATGTGGCATTCCAAAAAAATTGAAGAAACAGAATTTCAAAAACACACACACCCTCGATTCAACACTTTGCAAATTGGAAAATCCAGTTTCTTTCCATCTAAGTTCATCGAACTGCGTAGACCCTCCAAATGCCACCAAATACCACCAAATACTAAGATTGTGCGGGAAAAAACATCATTTTTGAGGCGAAAAAAAAACGGATGATGTATTTGAATTTGTGAGCCACGGCATCCCTGGCCGCCCCTGGCCTGCAGCCAAGATCAACACTGGAGCTTTCGTGGCTTGCAATGGAGCCCGCCAGGTCTCTGGAAAGGCTCCGCTCTTCAGACCTGAACTCAGTGTTGTTCGTTGGTTTAGAGATCCATCTTACCTTTAATATCCTTTAAGTTACTTTAGTTGTAACATGTTGTAACAACTTGTAATCACCCCATTTAACTTTTTTTCACCCCTATCTATCTTTAATCATCACATGTTCGCACGATAAACCTAGTTGTACCCTCCGGTAAATTAACATAGACCCTGGCAGATAGGGGTTGGAAGACTGGTTTCCACCAAAAATTGCCTATTTTCAGGGTCCAACTGTTAATTTACCAGAAGGTATTAGGTATATAAAAACGAATTCAGCGAACGATGGGGCACCGACACCTTCTACGAACCGTGGGATGCACATCCAGATTCGTAGCGGAAAGAGTTGACGAAAAGGGGGCGCAACGAAGTAGGGATCTATGGCAATTAATGTTCAATAACCTGTTATCAATGGATTATATGGAACTAATGTTTGTTGATGTTTTCAATATAACACGTATCAAGGTCCCATGAAAATCCATGTAACGCAAGAAATGAGGGATAACGATGATTCCTTAACGCAACAATGGACACAGATTTCTCCTTCAAAACTGCTACGAATCAACAAATTAGCCAACCATCTGCCAAGGTTTTTCCGGTGGCACTGGTAAGAATCACTGGTACCTTTGTGCCCCGTTTCGAATAGAGGAACTCGACCAAAATGACACAGCTATGTTGGTAAATGTACCCCAGAACACAAGGCTCTGACTCGAAATGGGGTACAGCATGCTATAGCTACCCCAATTTGTTGGCATTTTATGGCATTTTAATTGGGACAGTGAGGCTTTGATTTCAGGTATGTTGTTCCTTGGGTTTTGCAAACCGAAAAAAGTACCATATTGTTGGCTACATATCATTGCCCCATTCTCTCCCGATCAATTGTAATTGGTTCAGCTACTGTATGGCCCTAACCGTGACAAATGGGATTATACTCCTGTAACTAGATAGGGTTATATAATATATAATATATAATAGATAATATAATATAACATAATATAATCTAATATACAAGATATAATATATAATATATATATATATTATATAATATATAATATGCAATATATAATATATATATAATATACAATATATATATATATCATTAAAAAGGCAAGGTATAACATGTTATATCTATTAAATCTATGGCTGTCCTCGTAGGGCCCCCGACCCACCACAACAATGCCATCCCCGGCTTTCACCGGTGGCAGCGCGGCGCCGGCAACGCCCACAGCTGTATGGCAGAAGTCGATACCTTGGTCAAGCGACGGAATACCTTGGAAGGGATGGGGATGTACCATGATTTACTCATAGGGTATCTATATCTCATATATATATAATTTAAGTATATGTATATATATATATATGTATTTGTTTTTCGGGTTAATTCCTATATTGACTTTGCACGATATGTTGAACATCGATATCACCATCTGGATTGCCGTAAACCAACTTTTAATGGTTGAAAAATTGCTTGATGTGCGGGACCCCAAGCGTTATAGTGGTTAACCAAATATGGTTATATATATATATTCATAAATATTGCTTATATATTCACTCTAACCCAAATGTTTTATGTATATATATATGGGCAAATTATCATATTTTACTAACCCATAAGGCCATAAAAGGGGATGATTTCCCATATCTAAACCATGATTTCCCCAGGCTTCGGGAGAACGACGTGGGGATTTTCAGCGCTTACCTATCACGTTTTTGCTGCACAGGTCCTTGCAAACTGGACTTCACATCCAAGCAGATGCTCAACGAAATAGATGCGATTTCTACCAACGAGTATGTATGAAATTCCATTTTTTTCCAATTTTTTTTCCTTTCACTTCATGGTTTCCTGAGCAAAAAAAGGTTCTATTCTTGGCTGATCTTTCTTGGACTGATATGGATTCCACTTGGCGCCACCGATGGACGTTCGAATCGCCGAGGTGGTCTACGCTTCGGTGTTTGGAACATCTTCTACTGGCCAGTTCGGAATCGCTAAGTTGATCTATACTGAATACCCATATGCTCCATGTATGGTATATTTACATACATTTGGATCATTTATGGGGTAAATGTTGGTAAATATTCCAGCACCATGGAGCATATGGGATATGTATATAAGATTATTAATCACTAGTCTTATGGTGGTCATGACTGTCATGACTATAGTTCGATGGGCTGTCAAAACAACTTCTAACTCAAGGGCACCACATTGGTTCGATGCTCAAAGAAAAAGAAAACAAATGTGTATCTTATGGCAATCTAACAGTTTCCCATAGAAAACGGTCATGTGCAATGAATGAATTACATCATGGTACATTATTTACAAATCGGCAATTGTCCATGGCCATTTCACAATTACCAAAGGGTGGCATCATTTCTAGATTGTTTCATCACGTTATATCCCCTTGTATTGCCATTGCATCACCATAATGTTCCCACATTTGCTAGCTAAATCCCATAGAAAACTATGGAAGATGATATGTTTCACCCTGAAACTTTTCTGGTTTCAGTGATGTTTCAAGCTCCACCAATCTTGTTCCAAAACGCCAGCCACATTGGCCGAGGGCTATGCAATGAAGAGTTTCCTATGGATTCCCCTGAAAGTTGAAAATCTGTGTCTGGTTGGTGGTTTTTCGCCCTAGCCCAACCTGAAAAATGATGGAGTTAGTACGTCAGTTGGGATGATTATTCCATTCCCATATATGAAATGGAAAGTCATGAGTCATAATCCATTCATGTTCCAGTCACCATCAACCAGGTGTTCATTTCTTGCTGAAATTATGAGTATGAAATGGTTCCAGTTTTCCGGAGCTGAAGTTTTCCTGAGCTGCTGACCCACTTTCCATGGGTCCAAAAAAGTCTGCCATCCTTAGATCAGCCAGGGATTCTCAAAGCAAAGGAACCTGAAATGTATTAACAATAAGAATTGGAAACTCACAAGGTCCAGATTAGAACTAAACCTGCGAAAACGGGTTTGAGTTGTTGCTAAAACATGTTTTGGGTGAACAGGAAACAGCAGAAAACCCTAAATATAACGTTGCTTTAAGCAGCAATCCGCCAAGAACGTATGGACTCATGGTAAGTGTCCAGAAAATGACGATTGTTAATCAGCAAGTCCAGGGAACCTCAATATTTGAACCATACTACATATTCCAGGAAAAGAAGGGCCGCGACACCTTCTGACAATCCTGGGATTGTTTGGCATTTCATGTCCGCGAGTTGACGACAAATCTTCTCTGACTAAGTATCCATGTTCATGTGGTGAAATCTAACTTTTTGAAAAACTAGAATTTCCATTTCTCATGGGTTAGCCTGGTTATTATCCCCACGTCGCTCAACACCTCGACATGGGTGTCTGATGGCTTCAATTCTAATCCCTGGATCTGAATAAGATCCAAGCCATATCCAACTCCGGTGTTTGGACCGCCATGTTTAAGTTTATGTATTTACACACAGATATTATACTTAATTAACTCAATTGCATCATATCTTTGAAGAATAGAATCATTGTGTTTGATGATGAACTGGTCATGTTGGATAACATACAACTGTTTGACAGCAGAATCACCATTCTAAACTGAAATCTCACCGTGATGCCCAGGGGACCGCATTCTCATCTTCTACACAGCGTTTGCCATGTCAACGAAGATTTGCTGTGTGGCTGTTGGCTCTGGCGCCCCTATATACGTTAGAATATTTATATATATAATTATACATATAATTAAACATATAACTTTATGTAATATATATATAGTTGTATATATATATACATACAATCAAATAAAACAATCAGTGCTAAGATATATTCATACTCATCTTGTTGGATGTGCCTCATAGACTGCTGCATCTGAGCCGTGATTACATCAGGAATACGGACATCAGTGAAACCACCATCCCGGACTGCGCCAGCGCTAGGGACCCAGTAGTTCAATGCAATAAGTCAAGGTTTTTGTGATCATCCTGTAGGAAGCATGAGAAAACATATCGTCCAAATGGTTGGGTCGTTCCCGTTTCCTAATTTCTTTGGCTTTTGCATGCAGCGAAAGGACGAATTGCTCCAAATTCTTTTGGAAAGTTTGACGCTGCCTCTTGGTTCTGGAAGCACTGCTCTTTCCACGGCGTTCGTCGTCAAGTCGTCTGTGATGATTTTCAGAATCACAGTTTTCAAAGTTGCTGCTGGCGCAGCACTTCCTGCACAAAAGGCGCAGAACTTCCCGGTCCATGGCTTGCCCAGGCAATTTCACCAACGGGCCTTGGGCCAAGAAGCAAAAAAAATACCTTTCAGAGTCTGGGGAAACGATCTGTGAAAGAAAAACAGTTTCCCTTGAAAATAGCATTAGTACTAAGTTTCCCTTGATGTCGCCAAGCTTCTCTGCACTGCTTGGAGGATTAAAGCCTGCCGCTGGGACGGTAATGGGCTGTGTCAACATAACGTGGCGTTCAGGCCATAAAAAGGATGGTTGAAGCGTACATACGGTGGATGGAAGAAATCCTACACCAGTTGATAGGTGGTTTATCCATGTTTATGCCATTATTTATGGGTTCAACCATCCTTTAGCTGGTGCAGGATTTCGCAGCCATCCACAGTATCAAGAAATCAGTGGAACCTGAAGGTAACATAGAAAACAACCATGGTAAACCTTGGAGAAACAACGTACAATGCGGGGTTTTGCCATGGTTGAAGCTGCCAAGATTTGACAGGTGGATTTCACCATCCACGTTTTAAGATGAGAAAAATGGGGCATCATTGGGGGCATCACCATATCCTGAGTGGGGCAATTTTTGAACCAACCAGCGTGCTATTGGGGTACCCCCATTTATGGAACCACCCATATGGGTATGGATCAAAACCTGGTACCCCTGGTGAACATCAAAATAGCTTGTAAATGGATGTTCATCCAACTAAAAATGGTATGTATAGGTATTGATCCATAGCCATATGTTTATCCATTTACGGGTCCATCGTTGATAGTTCCTATGATTTGAAAAAACTCCACTTCATCCATAAAAAAATCACCCTATGTTCACCATTCAACATCCTCCTGCAAACGTGCGGATGTGGAAAACCAAAAAACAAACGCCTCTAAAATCTCTACCCTCTGGTTACTTGTTACATAGCCATGGTATAGATGGCCCAAATCGAAATAGATGCTTTACCGAACTTCAAAATGGTGGATCTTTCCATGGCAAACTGTGAATGTCATAAGCAGATGGTAATATCCCAGTAGTACCGCACAAGGCGGTGGCGGAAGTTTCAAAAATAGGAAACCTATAGGAGAGGTTGGTTGTTGTGAATCAGGGATGGCAAAGCGAATCCACTGATGGACCGAAAGGTGCTTGAGGTCTCCTCTCTGTCTCTCTCTTTCTCTGACTATCTACCTACCTATCTATCTTCTATGTATCTATCTATCTATCTATCTAGCTATCCATCTCTCTCTTTCTCTCTTTCATCTAATTACCTATCTACCTATCTACCTATCGACCTATCTACCTATCTACCTATCTATCTCTCTCTCTCTCTCTCTCTTTCATCTGTCTATCTATCTATCTGTCTATCTGTCTACCTGTCTATCTGTGGTGCAGTGTCATTCAGTGTATTGTAGTGTAGTGTAATGTAGGGTAGTGGAGTGTAGTGGAATGTAGTGTAGTGTAGTGTAATGTAGCGTAGTGTAGTGTAATTTCGTGTGGTGGAGTGTAGTTGTGTAGTCGTAGTTGTAGTTGTAGTGTAGTGGAGCGTAGTGTAGTGTAATGTAGTGAAGGGTAGTGGAAGGTAGTGTAGTGTAATGTAGTGTAGTGGAGTGTAGTGTAGTGGAGTGTAGTGTAATGTAGTGTAGTGTAATTTAGTGTAGTGGAGTGTAGTGGAGTGTAGTTGTGTAGTTGTAGTTGTAGTGTTGTGGAGCGTACTGTAGTGTAATGTAGTGTAGTGGAGTGTAGTGTAGTTTAATGTAGTGTAGTGGAGCGTAGTGTAGTGCAATGTAATGTAGTGAAATTTAATGTAGTGGAGTGTAGTGGAGTGTAGTCTAGTTGTGTAGTTGTAGTTGTAGTGTTGTGGAGTGTAGTGTAGTGTAATGTAGTGAAGTGTAGTGGAGTGTGGTGTAATGTAACGTAGTGTAGTGTAGTGAAGCGAAGCGGCGAAGCGACATCTGAACCTCCAAAAGTGGTCCGAGCATGGTGTGTTTTGTATTTTGACTTGGAAATGTGCTTCGCGCCACAACGGCGTGCACCTTTTCGACATCTCAACTTCCAAAAGTGGTCCGAACCCCTGGTGTTTTGTACATTTTGACTTGGAAATGTGCTTCGCGCCACAACGGCGTGCACTTTTTCGACATCGCAACTTCCAAAAGTGGTCCGAGCATGGTGTGGTTTGTACATTTTGACTTGGAAATGTGCTTCGCGCCACAACGGCGTGCGCTTTTTCGACATCTCAACTTCCAAAAGTGGTCCGACCATAGTGTGTGTTTTGTGCATTTTGACTTGGAAATGTGCTTCGCGCCAAACGGCGTGCACTTTTTCGACATCGCAAACTTCCAAAAGTGGTCCGAGCATGGTGTGTTTTGTACATTTTGACTTGGAAATGTGCTTCGCGCCACAACGGCGTGCGCTTTTTCGACATCTCAACTTCCAAAAGTGGTCCGAAACTGGTGTGTTTTGTACATTTTGACTTGGAAATGTGCTTCGCGCCACAACGGCGTGCACTTTTTCGACATCTCAACTTCCAAAAGTGGTCCGGACGCTGAGGTGTTTTGTACATTTTGACTTGGAAATGTGCTTCGCGCCACAACGGCGTGCAATTTTTCATCTCTCATCTGGCCAGCTGGCTCCGCACCCGCCGCTTTAGCAAGCCTACTTTTCGACCCTCCGGAGCTCAAATCATTGGAAAAACACAGTGTTTCGCGACTTTCCTACCTTTTCGCGCATCTGCATCTTCTTTCTTCTGACTCTTTCTCTTCTGATCTTCTCTCTGCTAATCTTCCTCTTCTCTCTGCCTCTGCCCTGCTCTGCTTTTCATCTGTCCATACTGTCGGAAGTTTGACTTCTAAACTTCCTTCGACTATTAAATCCCATTAGATCCCATAAAACCACCATAAAATCCCATTAAACCACATCATTTTCCGGACATCAATGCTTTACCCCCGGCCATGTTTACCCCCAATCCTGACCTCATCCAGGTCACTAAAGCAAGTGATTTCTAGACCTCAGCGGTGCTGGAGCTTCATCATGTGTTTTGTGTGTACAAAAAGACACGAAAAATTCCCATGGAAATTCCAACCATCAAACCATGGTTAATACACTTTTATACACACAAATTCCAACCATCAAACCATGGAACAATGGAAACATTTGAGACATCTTGACTTCTTGAACAATGGAACATTGAGATGTTGGAGTGTAATGTGGGTAACACAATGCCATTTTTACCACCCATGACTGGGAGTGGTAACCATAACACCTATAAAACTGGTGATGACCGGGGGATGGTGCAAATGGCATTGTTTTACCCACATTATGGGGGTTTCCTATGAACATTATTGATTTGGGTGTACCCCTATTTTAGGAAACATTCATATAGAAATATGTCTAAGAAAAGTAATAACTAATGTTGTTTACGATCATGAAAATAGTGATGAGAATAATGGTAATTGACATGAGCATAGGGATGAGAACAGTAGCAACGTGATAAATAATAATGAAAAAAAACAACGGTAACTAGAAACATACGTTATCACGTTTGTTGTTTTTTAAAGATACATGATTAAAACAATTTACAGAGAAACTATTTGCTGACGCATACCAGCTACAAGAGACTATATCCCAGCGAACCACACAATCTCTTGAAACTGAACTACTGCTTCTATTGAAATCTCTCTGTAGTTGTTTATTACTTCGTGTGTTGTTGTTTTTTGTCAGGAATTTCAGGTGAGAGCCAACCATTGAATTGTCTATATAGTTATATGGGCCACGGTCAATATTTGGTATATAGCTCCAAGCGATCAATTTTTGAAGAGTGTATTATCGTTTTTCAGGTTTTGGTATATAAGCAAATATTATCGTTCTTTGAAGAGTGTATTATCGTTTTCCAAGCCCCAGCTCAATTTCCGAAAAATAAAGACGTCTCGAATACTACTCTCCATTAACCTAAATTTTGGCTGTAGCTCAAATGTATTCAGCACCATTGAGGAACTATCACAGAAAACATCATCATACATCAAACAAACATATGTTTTTTTGAACTTACAACATCATGAAACATCAAAGTAAACAGCACATTTCTCCCTATTATTACCCTATCACTACATCCCTGCCACATCCTGCCACGCATCATGCCACGGCACACGCGTCATGCTGCACCTTTGAAGGCGCCGCGCGACCCTCTTTGTGGCCGCGGGCTGGCCGAACCCAACAAGTGCAGCTGTCACCTGCGAAAAATGGTGATATCGGTGACGGTATAATTGAATGGGTATTAAAAAACAATAATGGTATCTTTGATAGTACAATGTGGTGCCCCAGTTCGTTAGCTAAGTTGGTTTATAACTCCAATAACTATGGTTTATCATACTTATAACTATAGTTCATGGTGTTTATAAACCAACTTATAACTGGGGGGCCTCACATTGTATGAATATTAAACTAATATATATATACATATATACACATATTAACAGTTCGACCCTGGCAGGGGTTGGACAATTGTAAGGAAACCACCCATGGCTGGGAATGGTGATGACTGGGAGATGGTTTATTATTGTTTTACCCACATTGATATAGATATTGATACCTATGGATATGAATATTTAAAGTATCATATTCATATATACATATATTTAGATATTCCTATTCATCTAGATATAGATATATTTATATAAATCAATAGTCAAGATCAATTAATAATAGAAACTAATGAGAAATATTGGACTTAAGTACTTGGGAATAGCTAGAGATACAATCTAATGTGGAATGACAATAGAATGTGAAATAATGAACATAATCGATGGTTCTAATGCTACTGTCAAAGGGAAATACTCAATCAGTATACTATATTACAGCATATAAGTATATAAATATACATACGTAGTTTATTGTTTGTTTTCGGCAATAAAATAGTGGAAACAAATAAACAATATCTGAGCAGTGGCTACTTAACCGCAATATATTAGATAGTATTCAGTATACTGTGATAAACCCAAGTTCTTTGATGATTCAAGGGAAATTAACAATGATGCATACTACTAGGGGGTTTAACATGTTTTAACCTATACTTAGATAGGCCATGGAGTTAGTCAACTGATTTATGAGTGGGTTAGTTCACCCATGAAACTATATACTTGTCTTTGTATAGATAACCCAAGTATTGACTACTTAACTAACTTGGATCTGGGAGTAACTGGACTAAAATTGAGGATAGTTCGTGGGTTATGACCCACTTACTAGCTCACCAATGAGCTAATCCCATGGCCCATCCAAGTAGATTGAACCAACATTGGGAAATAATGGGAATCATATGGATTGACGGTGATTTCTGATAGCTAATATAGTTTATAGCTTGAATAAACGATTTATGTAGATTTTTGATATCTGAGTTGATTTATCGAATCTGGAAATACCATCTGGTTATTTAACATAGCCATGGAAAATTGCCCATTTATAGATGGTTTACCTATTAAAAATGGTGATTTTCCACGGCGAACTGTTAAATAACCATAGGGTAATTGTTTGTACATAAATGGATGTTCGAATTTCAACTCTCGCAAACAGGTGATATCAGGTGATCTACCCCAAAAACATATACGCTCTGGTTATTTGTTACATAGCCATGGTTTTTCCATGGCCCTAATCGAAATAGATGGTTTACCGAACTTAAACATGGGTGGATCTTTCCATGGCGAAGTGTGAATGTCATAACCAGATGATATTCATCTTATTCGTGTTCGCTCATTTTTCCGCACAGCATATACCTGGCGTGGTCCAAAGATACGGTACTCCAAGATCCAGCAGCTTAGCAGATACCGTTGCCAGTTCACGTGCCTTGGTTCTAGCTGGATCATCTGCCTGCCATCAAATCCTGATGAAAATTTCCAAGGTCAGACGAATGTGAAAGTTCTCAGCATGCCTGCGACAGGCATGCTGATTCATGGCGAACATGCAGCTTTCGATCGGTGAAAAAAGCTCCATTCCATGAGCAAATTCATATGTTTGCATGGTCAATCTTTGGTACCAGCAGTCAAAAGTGTAATCTGTTGTCATCAAACGTTGAATCTGTTGCTGGTTCTGAACGGTTTTCTGGTTATGTTCCATTTACCCTCTGGTAAACTATACAAAAAACTATGGAAAATCACCATGCTATTCATGGGAAAACTCACTATGTCTATGGTCATTTTCAATAGCTAACCGTTGACAAATTACCAGAGGGTACGTGCAACAAAAAACTAGAGGATTAAACTATCCATCCCAGGTTGGGGATGTTTGCTTATAATAATATATATGGTTAATGATGGTTAATGTATGGTTAATGATTGTTAATAATGGGGATATTTTAGCATCAAAAAAATATCTGGTTGGTGGTGCAATGTGCCCATCTTGAACAATGTGACTTCGTCAATGGGGTTGGGATGACATCCCATATTTGAAATGGAACATAATCCATTCATGTTCCAAACCACTAACCAGTATATGTAATATGTATTCCATGAAATTCAATGTCCTATTAAACACCAACAAAACCTTCTTAGATGTTTCCGCATTTTAACGATGTTTTCTTGATGCTATTTTGCCCCATAGTTCTTTTCTGACCAATCCTTGGATTGGTTGACAGCATAGAAACTGGTGATGTGACTCTTTTTACCACTGAGTATGGTTTGTCTCCCCGGTTGTAAAAGTATTTTTGACCAACCAGTACGGTGGAATGATAGAGAGTTTTGAACTGGTTATATAGGTCCTTATCAAGTCGGTTAGTTACTAGCATATAGAATTACGTTACATAGTTATGTCTATATATATACACAGTATATCATGCTACATCCCATTTGCCCTCCTATGATATCCAAGTTATCAACCACAGTTTGTTGGTAAGAGGACTCCCGAACTTTAAAGATCAACCAGCGGAAATCACGACCCATCCCCTACTTGAGGTGGCCATATCCCAACTGGAGGCGAAAGAATCGAACGAATCCCATGCTTATATCCATTTTTGTCATCCCTGGCCTGCACCCACGAAAACGTCATTTATCCCATTCTATTTTGATCTTCCCATGATCTTCCCATGAAAAACCACCATTTCTCATGGTTAAACCACTGTTTTTCATGCTTAAACCACCATTTTCCCACCATTTTCCCATGGAAAAACCAAGTTTTTGCGGGTCACCAAATCAACCGCCGTGGCGTAACCCGTCGTCCGCCTCGCAGCCGATACTGCACTTGGCCATCCGCACAGAGCTGGGCGGCTGCGGAGCTGGACAGCCAGGCGAAACCTCGGAGGTGGGGAAAAATGCCAGGGATGGTGGGTCATTTAGCCTAGAGGATTTAATGGTGGTTAATGGTGGTTAATGGTGGTTTAAGGGGATTGAAATGATGATTTTAGCCTAGAGTGAAAAATGCCATGAAACTCTATTCGAGGGTTTCTAGAGTTATGTCCCGAAATACCTCTAATTTTTGTACTTATAATCCCATAGAAATAACAAGTTATAACCATTTATAATTGGTAAACGGCCGAAAGTGTAAGAAATTGTGATTGAATGAATTGTAAAGGGGATTTAGCCTAGAGCTGGGGAAAATGTGAAATGTTATAAGATAGACAAACAGTATCTCCCCAAGTTGTTAGTATAATGATCAATAATAAACTCAATTCAAGTAGTTCATAGTATATTCATGTATGTTCATGTATATTCACAAAAATATCCGTGAATTAACCATAGTTAAAGACCCAGTTATCACAGTATCACAGTCTCACATACAAAGATATTAAACTGTACTTATATTGAAATGTTAAGACTAATGACCATATCATAAACCTTATTATGAATAACAAATCCACGACATGTTAAGAATGACCATAATATATCATATTGAAACATTCATAATGACCATATCATAAGTTACTGTATCTGAATAAGAAAAAAATATTCCATGTAGTACACAGATACTATCAGGCTTATAAAACTGTTGAGGACGATATGTTAATCAGGAAATAACATGGATTGAACACATGAAAGTAAATGTGTATATATATATATACGTATGTATATGTATAAACAATACATAATGGATACTGATATCTTATTAATCATCATTCTACCACTTTTAATCATCAATGTTAGGCATGTAAGGTCATGTGGTAAACAACATCTAATGACACATGTTTATTGGGTATGCCTGGCAAATGGCTTACAGTAAATTGGGATGATTTTCCCAGAGCAACACATCACTCTTTAACTAATGATATATGATATGTATATAGGTCACAAGATCATTCATAACGGTACATTTTCACAGTAATTTGATTCGATTTAAAACCAGTCATATATTCAGTTTACTCTCTGGTAAACTAACATAACTATGGAAAATCACCATTGTTAATGGGTAAATCCACTATAAATGGCAATTTTCCATAGTTACGTTAAATTACCAGAGGGTATTCAGTTTAGTGTCTTTGTGATGATGGACCAATGGATGATGAGTCATGGTGCGCCCCCAAGAAGACTGCGGGAGGTACGTCCGTCCAAAACCAGCTGTTTGGTCATTCATCGTTGATTTACGTATAAAAATTATGGTTACGCCATCCATAGCAAGTTGTGTTAGTTTAGAAGGTCTTATCCTCTGATTGTAGAGCAGTATATAGACATGTACCATCTGGTTATGACTGTTATATAGCCATGGAAAGATCCACCCATTTTTAAGTTCGGTAAACCATCTATTTCGATTAGGGCCATTGCTTAACCAAGTTCAAGAAACTACTGGCCGTCCTTGGAGGTTCACAGCTGCGTGGCGGCTGGGGTGCCCAAGCCGATTACTGGACGAATCCTACCTGATACCCGGCCTGGTAAACGTTTACGTAACGAACTGGAAAATCACCATGCTATGAAAATTGGTAAATCCACTATTTCGACTGGGCCATTTTCAATAGCAAACTGTAAGTCATAACCAGAGGCTAAATCCCATCTAGAAATCACCAGAATTTTGTTGGTTTTTTATCCCATGAAACACCACCATTTTTCATGGTTAAACCACCATTAAACCACCAGGCAGAGGGTTTCTCTGGGGTGAACTACCCCACTGAGCTGAATGATACCCGCCCTGTGATGATTCAACACGAACTGCGAACTGGAAGCCCTGGCCAAAAGGAACTAGATGATGAATATAAAACATATCCAGCTAAAACCTCCATTTACAGAGGATTTTTCATTTTTTACCGCATTCTCTATGCGTTTCCTACTAAAACGATTATTTTCTATAGCTATATTAAATTCCCAGAGGGTAATCGTCATGGAGATTCCCATAGAAAAAGATCATTTGCATGATGGTTTACTTCTTAAAATTGGGTGGATTTTCCAGTTCGCAGACCGTAGTCATTACCAAAAGGTACCATAAATTTGCTGGTTACATCACTTCTATCCCCATCATGTGTATATATATATAAGCACTATTGAACTATTATGATTATCCCAATTCTTATCCCAACTCTATTCCCAACTTTTTTCCATATTATATCACTACATATATATATATGGGTATGGGTCAAAATTAGGTACCCCAAAATTATGGATGGTTAATACTAAACTAGACATTCACATCTGTGGTCCCACATCGGTCTTCCATTTTGACCCACATCCATATATACACATTAAAATTAAAAAAATATATATATATAATTATAAAAAACATAAACATATATATATACACATATAATTCCATATATATATATACACATTAAAATTATAAAATTATATCCCCATCATGAAACCAGTCACTAAGCGTTAGTCTTCGAGGCCAGTGACCATAGCCAAGTCCAACACCTTCTGTCCTGGCGCGCGATTTTTATCATCCGGATCCATCAGACATGGCTGGACAATGGCCAAATGAAATTCACATATATACCTATATACATATGTATATATATATATGTATATATACCTATATACATATGTATATATATATATGTATATATCTATATGTGTATATACATATATATATTTATAATATGGATAGTTCAATGATTTTCCCAGCTATACATAGCTATACACCTCCATTTGTTAACAATTTCCCAGCAAACCATGTTTTCTGACCGAATGGTAATAAAGAACTTGTCTGGGAGTAGCTTTGATGACCTGGCACAACCTGCATCTTTCCGGCAGGTCTGTCTTCATCGAATCCTTTCGAGCAATCCGGAAGAGCTCCACTGGTGTGTCTGAAAATAGTGTACCCCTAAACCCCAATGGTTTTGCTGATCATTATCCCTATGAAAAATGGCTATTTCATTGGGAAGATTAACCCAACATTTTCAGACACACCCAAATGGAAAAGGCCTTCAAACATCTGCTCCACGGCAACCCGACGTTGCCAGGTTTCGCCGACGCAACGCGCAGGGCCGGTATTCTTCAATGGTCAAGACGTTGGGACATGTAGAATCCCCAAATCAACAACCATCAACATTCATCAAACATCATTTAGCACTATCTATCCTGGTTGGTTTTGACTTAACCATCTTGAAAAATGATGGAGTTCGTCAATGGGATGGATTATATATCCCATATATGAAATGGAAAAAACTCTTCCAAACCACCAAGCAGTATCTGTGTTATGGCTAGTACCTTCTATAAGCTTCCAGAATCAGGACATTCCGCAGGATCGCCCCATCTTTTGGTCAAAACGGAATGATATGGAAATCTGTGGACCCACATCTGTGGTTCAAAAAAATATCATACTATAGTACATATCATTTATACTACCAATATATATATATATTATAATCATCATAAGAATAATAAGAATAATAATAACCCAAGCAAGTCAACATAGTCAACTGTGGTTCACGACTTACCAAATCGACTGATTTTATCCATGTGCGAACCATGGTGCTGGAATATGCACACCAACATTTGCCCGAACAACATCACCCAGTTCTGTAGGTAAATATACCATACATGGATACATGGAGCATAATATGGTTATATCTTCAAGCGCTGACTGTTGACTGTAAGGTGAATCCCGGTTGGGAAGTCACGAAAAAATGGCACCCGGCCCCTGAACATCAAAGCATATTGGAGATTTCATGACATATAATAGGTTATATGACGGGTTCTATAATGGGTTATGCAAATTTATATAATGAGTTATATATATATAATTAATGGGCTATAAAATGAGACATCATGAGATATAAGAAGTTCATGGCTTCAAAAAAAAAGGGACATGAACGGAATATCTCATGGAATATGGGATGATTCTACAAGTTCTTGCAGCCAACCAACTAAGTTGCAGCCTCCAAAAATATGTCGGAACCGTCCGCCTCCAGGAACTGTGAAGTCGAATGCGAACCTGATGCTTCGAGACCATGGAGGCCGCCGATAGCAACCCTTCAAAAAGTCGAGGCAAATCAATGGATTTTACCATCAAATATAACTATGGAAAATCACCATTTTTAATGGGAAAATCCACTATTTCTATGGCCATTTTCCATTGCTATGTTAGTTCACCAAAGGGTACATGATATTGATATTCAATGGATTGGTTTTGTTGGGAAAATCTAAACCGGAAACCATGGTTTTTACCATCAAATTGATCGGGCTTTCCTGTAAAATTTCCCATCATCCAATTCTATGAGCAAAGCGTTTTGGGGATACCATCTGGTTATGACATTGCCACTTCGCCATGGAAAGATCCACCCATTTCTAAGTTCGGTAAACCATCTATTTCGATTAGGGCCATCGAAAAACCATGGCGAACTGTAACAGTCATAACCAGGCCGGGTAAATCCCATCAAAATCATAATTTTTGTTGGTTTTTTATCCCATTAAACCACCATTAAACCACCATTATCAGAGGGTAATCCTCCATTTTCCTATGGTTTTCCCATTAAACCACCATTAAACCACCATTTTTCATGGTGAAACCACCATGTTTAACCAGAGGATTCTCCATAAGTTTTGCGATGTCCACCCGAATCCAACAAAATTGATGGAGATATTTTTGACGACAGAGGAATCTATCAGTGGGAGAGTTGATAGGAATATCTCACTAAATGTATTATCTATATAGATAATTAATGGTATACTATGTTCATAACATTGGTTATATCCTATTAATGTTATATAGGTATATCCCATCTATATATTATATGTATACTATGTTCATAATGGTATAATGAAAATGGGATATAACATAGTATAACTATAGGTTATGGGATTTTTGACATAGGGTATTTTTTCTACTATATACATATATCTGGTTGGTGGTGACTTAACCATCTTGAAAACTATGAAAGTCAATGGGAAGGATGACATCCCATATATGAAATGGAAAATAATCCAACTGTTCCAAACCACCAAACAGATATATATATATACATGATATAATGGAATAGATAATGGGATGGTTTATGGTCATGCCACAATCGCTTGGAATCCGATTGTACGTACGTACCATGGGTGAATCTCAACCAACGGATGACCATGATGACCATCTCCCATGGCTATGGGAAACAACAAAATAGATGATTTACCCATGAAAAATGGTGATCTTCCATAGCTATGTAATGAAAAAAAATCAAACTTCTGGAGCAGAAATACTTGATACACTAACTATATCTAACTATTGCCCTTTCTTTGCGGTGTTTTTTTGGTGTCATAGCCTCTGGTAATGACTAACGGTTAGCTACTGAAAATGGCCATAGACACAGATGATTTACCCATTAAACAGGGTGATCTTTCACAGCTATGTTAGTTTGCTCGAAGGTAGAATCCAACTTTGGACCATGCATCCTGGGCGCCAAATTACCTCCAACTTTGGCCTCGCGAGAATTTAACCATTGGCGATTTTTTGGGTATGGCTTCGCTGTAGAACAAGGGGAAATTGGTTTAAGTATGTTGAAGTCTGAAAATTACCCCTTGCTAATTTAACATAGCTATGGCAAATTGCCCACTTATAGCTGAATTTACGAGACGGAAACCAAGAACCAACTGCCATTCACGCACCGCAGCTCAGCCCACCTGTGCATTCTCAGTATCGGTGAAGGTTGCAGCAAAGTCCTGTGTGGAGAAGCGCCCTCGTTTCGATGTGCATCAACGTTAGCCCAATAACGGATTAGCCTCTGGTAAACATACATCACCACTTTTAATGGGTAACTCAACTATATAATTATACGTGATTATTTTCAATAGCTATGTTAAATTACCAGAGGGTATCCCCATCAAATCTCAAATGTTGATGATTGTAGTTCATCCCAGCAGCAATTCGATGGGGGATTGGTAGGCTTAGTCCATTCACAATTGGGTAAAGCCACTTATGACCTGCGATGAGCCAACAAGTTACTATCCCAGTCACTGCTTGGTTACCCTCCGGTAAACTAACATAGCTATGGAAAATGGCCCATTTATAGTTGATTTACCCATTGAACATGGTGAATGTTGGTTTACCAGAAGGTAATTCCCGTTTTCGGTGCTTAATCCCAACTGATATCAACCAAGTGTTTGTACTTACCACATCCTATTCATTCATCATTATCGACTGTATTGGCTATATATTCATCATATCCACAATTCATTAACAATTATAATTTAGTCATATTTTATCCACTTGATATTCAATGATGCTGGTTAATTCATCCATAATAACAACACGTTTATTAATCTACATTTAGTTATCTATTAACAATTAGCTTTTGAATGCTTTTGATGATTATTAGTTGCGGATGAATTAACAATAATTTATGGATGGCTCTAACCAATCCTAATCAACTATTTATCGATACCGGTACGCATTATAAAAAGGTATATACATTCTAGTTTAACTACAGATCGATAGTAGTTGGTCCTTTTGGTAAAAATAGAGGGGCCGGTTTGGTATACCATCTATCATCATTTACCTGTTGTTAAAGGGGTAAACAAGCCGCTCTCTTAATCAACCAACCAATGGGAAAAGGACATCTATAGTTGGAATTACTATGCATAAGAAGTAAATCATTAGATTCACTAACTAGTAATCGAATTTATTGATGATTGTTACAGGCTGGTGCCCCCCTCCCCCCAGTGATGTGAACGTTGGTTTAGTTTCACCTCAGCTATTCATCATCATCAACTATTTAACATGATTAACTATAAACTATTAACTGGTTGGTGGTTGACCTACCCCTCTGAAAAATATGAGTTCGTCAGTTGGGATGATGACATTCCCAATATTAATGGAAAGTCATAATCCAACATGTTCCAAACCACCAACCAGCAATGATCTCTGAAAGATCTGTATCATAAGTATCTAAGTTATATACAATCCATTAATAATAATCATTAATAATCATTAATAATCCATAATCCATGAATACACTGTTCTACATCCCCAATGCGAGCACCACCTGTGCCAGCGTTCAGCCTCCAGTGCCGTGCGCAAAGCGAGCTCCAAGTCTCCCAGACGCTCCCTGGGCTCGTGCGGCAGGCCTGGATGGGAAGATGTGCGGTGTGCGGTGTGGGAGAAAGCCATAGATACCATGGAGTACCCTCTGGTAATTTAACATAGCTATGGAAAATGGCCATAGAAATAGTTGATTTACCCACTAATAGCATGGTGATTTTCAACAGCTATGTTAGTTTACCAGAGGGTAATCATCTATTGAACCATTATAAGTTAATTATAATTCATTGAACCATGAATTAATAATAATCCATAATCCACCAATAATCTAGAATCCATTCAATCTATAATCTATTAGATGAACCATTTAATATGAACCATTATAATTCATTGAACCATTAATAGTTCTTTATGATATTATATAATGGTTCATCTATTAATAGTGAATAAAATTTAATGAACCATTATATAATATAATCCATTAATAATAATAATCTATAATCCACTAATAAGCATGTTTCCATGTTATTGTGGGTAGATGTGGGTAGATGCACCTAGAAAGTGACACCATGGATCCATCATCTGATGGTTTATCCATGGGATGATATGGGATGTTTATAATCCTATGAAAAACCCCATTCATAGTAATAAAAATCAGAGTTGTTTTTTTTCATCTAGTAATAGTGGTTAATAAACCATTATATATAATCCATTAATTAACCATTATATATAATAAGTTGTTAATAAACCATTATATAACTTTAATAGTGGTTAATAAACCATTAATAAGCATTTTTTTCTCCAGCATCTACCATGATGGGTGCGGATATGCGGATCGATTTCGGAGTCCCAGGTCCCATGGTGAAACCATGGGGGGATACTCCTCCAATAGTCGCCTCATCGAATACTTCAAAATTGTAGCCTCCCAAAAAAAAAGAGCCGTGTAAACGGGGATGATTCATCCAGGCTTGACATTGATGATATTTGATGATTAGAACTTAAGTTCCCAACTTCTGTCAGAACAGGTAAGGTATCTTAAATATAAGTTCCTTATAATGGCGGATGCAAAACCACAACAATTCCCAACCGGCAACGGATCAACAGTTCGCAACAGCTAACCGTTGACGGCCACCTCCCAGGAAGATCTCGCAAGGGTCTGCCATGGCAGGCAGCAGGCATTGGCCCCATCCACGATAGGCAAAAGCGAGCGGAAAGCAGCCGGAATTTCCATGACATGACATGACTATGGTTTATAGCAGATGATAGTAGATGTAACTGTAGCTACTGGGGTTTGTAAACCAACAAACATAACTGGGGGCACCATCCGGTACTAAAATTATGGCCCGAAGTACCAGTTATTTGTGTACTGAACCCAATTTTAAAGGGTTGATGTGGTTGATCCTATAGAAATCAGCAGTTATAACTCACCGTTTATAATCTGTTTCTACGGCCGTTTAACTGTATCATGTGGAACCAGGAACCTCCATTCCTAGCTCCAACTGGCTCCCCATGGCTAAGGAGCCTCCTTTCACCACTGGATGGGCTCAGCTAAAGCAAGTTTGGTCATCTGGAGGCGGAAAACTCCCACATGGTATTCTTAGTGAACTGGGAATCAACATCTCAAATAAGCATGGAACATCTAAAAATCCAAGAGTCTACTAGATAAACGTTTGGACAGATTGAAATACTACAATACTAATACGGCCGTTTTGGAGTTTCCCTTCCAAACCATCATTTCAAATAAGTTCGGCCAAGTCAGGTCGTTCTAATGTTGTGTTTGTTCTTGCTGAATTAGAACCATTCACACACCTGACATATCCTCACATTCCACGGGCCAACCGTGGCACCAGCAGAGCCGAAAAGGCCACTAAGCGTGGATACACCGCATCCAAAATGTCAAGGAGTTAACATCCAAACCGCAGGAAAACAGCAACCCATGATCCAATCGTGGCATACAAAGCTTGACTATGTAAAACTGGTTGGTGGTTGACCAATCCCTCTGAAAAATATGAGTTCGTCAGTTGGGATGATTATTCCCAATATATGGAAAAACAAAAAATGTTCCAAACCACCAACCAGTGTAAATTAGTTTCACGATGTGTTACTTTTCGGTCTTATCTATTCCGAGCTATTTCCCTGTTTTCAATGAACTGCTTTGCTTTGCATCATAAGGCTACAGATTTAACTCCAAATGGACCGTCAAGCTGGGGGCCGATCCTGTCGAGCCATAGTCATGAAATTGCCAGTCTTTTTCACCAACACCACAACATTTGCAAAACATTGCGCATATTTACTGGCTCGCTTACAACTTGTTCAAGCAATTGCTCAACCATAGGTTAACCTCACTTATATAGGTGAAACGTCATTTAGCTTAAACAATTTCAATCACTTATATAGATTAAACACCATTATTCCACATCATTTATAGCTTAAACCAAGTGTTGGCCGACGCCAGCGCTTATCCGACGCGCACGTGGCCAAAATGCCAAGACCTGGCGTTGTGCAAACGTTTCGGCGCGGTGAATTCGACATGGATGGTACGTACCAGTCGTCGTGGTCCCGGGTAGACCGGGACAAAGGGTCAACTTACCCTCTGGTAAACATACAAAAAGCTATTGAACATGGCAATTTATAGTGAGTTGTCCCATTAAAAATGGTGATTTTCCATAGTTATGTAACAGTTTACCAGAGGGTAGCAGTACGAATCCATCACAGGATCAGATTTTTTTTCGAACTTTAGTGGCTTTCAATGTTACTAACATTAGTTTGTATCTAAGAGGTGAGATATCACAATGATATTCATATAAGAATTCCGCATTCACCGCATTCTAATGGTTTTTCAATTATGACTGTGGATAGTGACAGTCATAACAGTAGATTCATAATAGTTATCAGTTTGATTAGTTAGATTTTGACACAAAGAAACACCAATAACAGTTAGATTAGAATAATACCATTCCACATTTCTTTGTAGCTTCCCGTTGTTGATGGCATCTTTTTTCTCGGTCCCAGCAGCTGGAGATGATGACTTTTGAAGGGTCCCGTTTCAGAGAGTGGATTAGCTAGAGGGTACAGTATATGCTTTGGATGATGGTGATGATTATGATGATTATGATGAAAATGATGATGATTATGATGATGATGCTGATGATGATGATGATGATGGTGAAGACCATGTTTATGATATCACCTAGAATTTAAACCAATCACTAGATTGAGATGTTTCATGATATCACCAACCACCATGGAAATGTATGTAGATGTGTGATATCTTTTTTTATGTTCATCCAAGCTAGTCCCCGGTTCGGAACTGCTTGGGAACTCCGCACGTTGGATCCCTGCAACCTCACGAACTTCGGAAATGAAGCCAGTGTATACTTCCCATTCAAATAACCCATATGGAGGATTCCATAAATTGGGGTACATGGATGGTTTATAATGGAACATCCCAGTCTAACATGGATGATTTGGGGGTACCCCTATTTGAGGAAACCTCCATATATAGGCAATTAATGGATATTATTGAAATGTGCCATTCGGCAAGTTCGGACATGCGCAACACAAGGGCACCCTTTCCGGACAAAGATGACCTCCCAAGCCACCAGTGATCAATGCCATGGCTCAAACTCTCGCTGTAGTTCTTTCAGCACAACGAACACAAAAAACACATCGGACAAACGATGCCTCCAAAAACATTTCATTATGGTTCTTGTCTTGCCATTTCTTTCATTCATTTGTGCCCTATCCTTTTTTGCATTTCCGGATTGGGACTTCTTTCCCTGCGGGCAGTCGAGCTTCAGACCGCGGCCACGTGGCGATGCTATGATGGGCAATTTTTTTGGCAAAACTCAATCGGAAAATAAATGTATATATATATATTATAATTATATTATACCACCACCTTAAACCGCCACGAACCTCTGGCATAAGATAGAACCATATGAAAACATACCTTTTAAATCTTAGATAATATATATATATGGCATGGTTCAGAAAAGTGCTGATCAAGTCCATCATTTTTTTCCACGGATTTCCAGATTTTGAGACAACCCACTGGCATATCACATTCAATGGTAAAAAAATAGGGTATAACCCATGATCTCTTAAAGATTTATGGGATGAAATTAGCCAATGATGATCTCTGAAGGCTGGAGATAGTTGATCAATGGTTGGTAAATGCCTTGTAATTTTATCTGCATCATTTAGAACTCTAATATGACCCTTTGAATCTAGGACACGTTTGAAGTCTGAATGTACCCGATCATTCACAGAAATTTTGATTCACAGAGGTCAGAACTTACACTTTCAACCCGTGGGAAGTACGTGAGTCAAGGGTAACTTGTCGTGTTTCAAAGAGGGACAGAAACAGAAACAGCGCCAGCCATGTTCTTTTTCAACCGCAACTGGACGCTTTGCCACAGTCGGGAAGCGAGTCTACAGCTGCAGCCATGGATTGTGACCAGCCTTGAGATCTAAGAGATGTGATTCTGCATGGATTGGTTCAAGGGATCGGAAAAGCCATGGTAATTTGCCACCAAATCTGGGGCTCAGAGGCACATGTTCACATCAAGTCCTGGAAAAAAATGATGTTGGTAGAGCGAACTAGGACAACTGTGGTGCATGGCATATGGTACTTGTAAATTGCTGCAACAAGACTTATATAGATAGCTTCATCGGCCAACTTCAAACCGGCCTGCTCACATTGTAGGGACCACCATATTGTTCATCCATCTACTAAATTCATCCGTTTTGATCTACCATTCATGCCTGAGTTTACCCAGTATATTGGGTAACACAAAACCGGGCGGTGGTGTCAATTCCAAGTAGGGTGGACGGGTGGACCACCAAAGAGATTTGCAAAGTACCCTCTGGTTATTTAACAGTTCGCCATGGTATAGATGGCCCATAGAAATAGATGGTTTACCTATTAAAAATGCTGATTTTCCATGGCTATGTTAAATAACCAGATGGTAAATGCTTTTGCTTCAATGGCACTGGAGACGACTTGCCACAGCACATCGAAGATCTTTTAGGCTACGCTCACAGCATGGTCGTTCAGCACGTTCAGTGACCCTCACAGCATTCGCCACCACCTACAGCAAACTGCTGAACTACGGGACCATGATCATGACTGGTTGGTGGTTTTAACAATCTTGAAACATATTAGTCAATGGGAAGGATTATCCCATATGTTATGGAAAAAAATCCAAACCACCAACCAGATGAAGTGATTTTGATGTTTCAGAACTTGTGGATACCATGATGACTCCACCATGTCACTCACCTGGGGATTCAATCCTCCAGTTCCGGCTATAAAGGCAGGGGCCAGTTGGGCTTTGATTGGGGCCACAACCTAGCAAGTAATTTCACTACTGTACTATGTAAAAAACATTAATTAAACACATTTAATAACTATTAAAAAAACTAACGGGATTGAACAACCCGCATGTCCACACCAAAATAGCTGGTATGACAAATGGATGTTCAGCCAAACGATGGTGCTATGGGATTTGACCCCTTTAGGACTGGGTCTTAAGAGAAACCAACACAAATTATCCAAAAGAATCTTTCGAATGGTGTGACATTGACAGTGATAAATTGATAAACTAAGCCATGTATCCGGGTAAATTATAATATTTCACTAACCTGAATAGTTCGGCCATTTGGGGATGATTTTCCTATAAAAAAACATGATTCCAGGCTTCGGTCGCGACGTGAGGTCGTGATGAAATGTACCCAGATGTATCAAACCATGAGATCCGCTAGTTCACAACGCACCAAAACGCTGCAAGTTCCAGGAATTCCTCCCGCAATCGCATCATCCATGGGGCTGGGTCGCTCAGTCACCAAGGGCCCGACAATTGCAATCGTCCCCGCACTCAGCGGCCTGAAGGCATGATGTTTGCTGCTTATTGAAACGACCACACATGGATGTAAATCAAAAGTGTTTTTTTGTTGGTTCGGTTAATACTCAACTGTTTTGTTTATGGTTGAATCCCCATTTTCCTTGGTGAACCCATGGTTTGCTATGTTTTGAAAGTTGAACTCTCGTTTGTGTTGGTTGGACCCTAATGATATCTAATGCTTGAGAATGGTTCATAACCCTTTATAAGGCGTCACACAGTACCTTTTTGTTGTGTGACATGAGTGCGGGGACAACCCAGGACTCCTACATCCAATTTTACGTGTCATAGTTATATATTTGTTTCTGTTCTTGAATCATCCTATGAAACTACGTTCACGCCAAAATATGATATGTTTTAGCCTAATCCTAATAGATACGCGCTCAAACCAAAGGCTATGTCGCTGCAAACATAATGACTTTGCAGCAGTTCATGAGTCAGCCCATCAAGAAAACCTTTTGTTTTGTTTCCCAATGGAGCATGGCTTGGGTATTCTTGGATTGGGGTGCAAACAATTCCTACGAAGTTCCTTAAAACATGGCTTTTCTTGGAGTACCATGCTTCATTTCAGAACTTGACCAACGCCCCCCACGAGGATAAAGTGTGGGAAACTTCCGTTTTTACAGGGCTTCTAAAATATAACATGTTTCCGGACTGTTGTATATAATATAACATCAACCGTTCAGTGTATCTGCTTTCTGATTTCCGGTTCTTTCAACTCAAACATTCCCCATGACTTTTCACCATCAGTAAAGGTTTTGGCTGCCAGGCCTGCTGGCGACTGTCTGGCTCCCCATCTGCAAGGCGCGATGTCCCGGGGCGTACAAGAACTGGGGATTGGGCTCACACAGCACGGTGGTATGATTACTGTTGATTCAATAACCCTGGTTATTAAGTCCCCTAAGTGGGTTATACCGTTGTACCGTATATGTATATATATATACATGTGGTGTATAACTATGATTACTATTGATTACTAACCAGTTATTAAGTGGGATGATCAGTTATTAATTTTGTAATGTGTATATATATATATGTATATATCAGCTATTGATGATTATTACTATAATTATGGTCATATCACTTGTCAATAACTACTACTATTTCTGGGTGGTGGTTTCAACCCCTCTGAAAAATATGAAAGTCAGTTGGGATGATAAATTTCCCAACTGAATGGATAAAATAATCCATTCATGTTCCAAACCACCAACTGGTTGGTGGTTTTAACCCCTCTGAAAAACAGCTTTATAACAATCATTATTAATAGTTATTGTTATTGATTTTTACATTGCTAATAGTCAGTTGGGATGATGAAATTCCCAATAATGTCAAGTTAGGATTAATAAACCCCGCGGTATTAATCAACCCCCTCTGCCCCCCCAAAAAATGTAATTTAAAAAAAGGTGGTCCCCCAGGATTAATAAACCCCCCCGATTAAAAAACCACCAGTGCTGAAATCCATTTTTTTATCCAACAATTTTTATTTCCAATTCTATTTATTCCAATTATTTTTTACCTTTTTTTTATCATCACTGAAAATTTCAAAAAACAACTATTCCCCAAATGATCGATTTCTAATTAAAATCTTTATAAAATTCATCAGTTTGGATAGCTCCCAAAGGGTACCCCCCATGAGCCCATGTCCCCCATTGATAATCGAAGGAAGTTTAGAAGTCAAACTTCCGACAATATGGACAGATGAAAAGCAGAGCAGGGAAGATGCAGAGAGAAGAGAACGATTAGAAGAGAGAAGAGTAGAAGAGAAAGAGTCAGAAGAAAGAAGATACAGATGCGCGAAAAGGTAGGAAAGTCGCGATTCACTGTGTTTTTCCAATGATTTGTGGCTCCGGAGGGTCGACAAGTAGGCTCGCTAAAGCGGCGGGTGCGGAGCCAGCTGGCCAGATGAGAGATGAAAAATTGCACGCCGTTGTGGCGCGAAGCACATTTCCAAGTCAAAATGTACAAAACACACCATGCTCGGACCACTTTTGGAAGTTGAGATGTTGAAAAAGTGCACGCCGTTGTGGCGCGAAGTACATTTCCAAGTCAAAATGTACAAAACACCTCAGTGTCGGACCGCTTTTGGAAGTTGCGATGTCGAAAAAGTGCACGCCGTTGTGGTGCGAAGCACATTTCGAAGTCAAAAGTGTAAAAAACTGGGGGTTTTGAGCCTTTTTGGAAGTTCAGATGTCGAAAAAGTGTCGAAAAGTGCACGCCGTTGTGGCGCGAAGCACATTTCCAAGTCAAAAGTGTTAAAAACTGACGGTCTCGGACCACTTTTGGAGGTTCAGATGTCGAAAAAGTGTCGAAAAAGTGCACGCCGTTGTGGCGCGAAGCACATTTCGAAGTCAAAAGTGTAAAAAACTGGGGGTTTTGAGCCTTTTTTGACGTGAAGATGTCGAAAAAGTAGACACTGATTAACTTAACTAACTTGACTAACTTAACTAACTTAACTAACCTACCCTAACTTCGACGACAACAGCAACAGCAACAGCAACAGGAACAACAACAACAACAACAACAACAACTACAACTACAACAACTACAACAACAACAACAACTACTACTAACACACTACAACTACAACTACAGCTAAACTACAACAACTACAACAACAACACTACTACAACTAACAACTACAACAACTACAACTACACTACAACTACACTAGTACAACTATATGACTGCAACTACACTACACTAATTACATTACACCACAACTACAACTCCACTACGCTACAACTACAACTACAGTTGCAGTACATCACACTACATCCAGCAGTTGTGGGTGAGGTGACCACTGCAACCATTGCAACCATTCCAGCAAACACAACTCCAACCACCTTTCGGTCAATCAGTGGATTCGCTCTGCCATCCGTGATTCACAACAACGAACGTCTCCTATAGGTTTCCTATTCTGAAACTTCCGCCACCGCCTTGCGCGGTACTACTGGTAACCAGGGTTTGCCCCTGATTAATCAACCACCTTTCTGATCCATGAGATTTTAACAAATCCAATAGAATTCTATTAAGATCTAATTGACGTAAGCCATATCCAAAGTTTTATGGTTCAGAAAGTGGCTTATTATTCAGGAAAGACCTTGCAAGGTATACCCTGACCTATATGGTGGGGGGGGGTTGATTAATCCGATGTTGGCATTATATGGATAAATAATCCATAAATGTTCCAAACCACCAACCAGATAGTAACTAGCGCTATTACTGTTACTATTACAATTATAACGATGATGATCCTCCAAGTACATCCCCAACCTCTGGCGGCAAAGGTCCCAGCATGCGCGGCCGACAAGGACGCCTGAGCTTTCGCTAGGTGCCCCCGAAATTGTGGAAAACCACGGGAAAACCATGGGAAAAGCATAGGAAAATCACGGGAAAATGGTAACTTAACCAAGAAACATGGATATAACCAATGGGGTTTATAAGTGGTTTACGATTGCTTGGGATTTGTCACCGGAAAAAAAAAGGGATCTACATAGATCTACTATCCCCCAAAGCCGTTCACGTTTCCTCTCTTAAATAACCGCCCAAAGGTCGACCCCACCAGCAGTAAGAGTTGCGGATCCCCATTAGATACATAGATACCGTTTGATGCTGGTCTGCTGGTCCCTTTGTTTCCAAGAGAATAAGGGTTGTAAGGCTTGAGGAGCTGGATCCTCCAAGTCGTCATTAAACCCCTAGTCCAGTGTGTTGATGAACTTGATGGTTTGTTGATCCTGCCTCTGCCAAAAAAGGAATCTGGGTAAACTATAACAATTCACTAACCTGAATAGTTCGGCCACAAAACCAACCATGATGAACCAGGGCGAGGTGGTCGAGGCAGGATCCAGAACTGATTTCCCAACCATGATGAACTAGGGCGAGGTGGTCGAACGACGGCTTCGGTCGTGATCTAATTTGCCCAGATACCTCCACATCTTCGGCATCTAAACGATGCTTCGCCCAGAAAGCGCCATTGATATGAAAGACCGGAATGTCACACCAATACCTGGCCAACTAAAAGGGACAGCCACCAAGATGGGAAGATGGACTGGTGAGATTTGGTGCATTGAAAAATATATGACTGGTTGGTGGTGACTTAATTAACCATCTTGAAAAATATGAGTTCGTCAATGGGGTTGGGATTATCCCATATATTATGGAAAATAAAAAATGTTTGAAAGTACCAACGAGATGAGGATGTGGTAGGATTTAAACCAATGAAGAAAGTGGTTTAAGTACCTCAAAAGATGTATTTGACCACACAACATCACACAAATGGTATTCAAGTGAGAAGCATTCAAATAAAAAAAACCTGGGGGCATCACTAAGATGAGGTGAAACTTCTGTGGACAATTCATGCACATTGAACCAACAAAACAATGGTAAGAGGCTTACAAACTGGTAGATGATGGGATAATAATTTATGGACAAAGGAGATACCCTCTGGTAAACATACAAAAAGCTATTGAAAATGGCCCAGTCGAAATCGTTGATTTGCCCATTAATAGCATGGTGATTTTCCATAGTTATGTTAGTTTCCCAGAGGGTATCATGTCCAGTTGGAATGTCATTTATGGCTGCTTCATCAAGCCTTACCCCCCTTGGCTTCATCAAGTCTCCAGGTGCGTCGTCGCTGGATTGCTCGTTTCCCCATATCTCCAACTTTCCCATGATTTTCCCCATGTTTCCACAGTATCCCATAAAATGGTTATACCTCCCATAAAATCTGGTTGGTGGGTGAGCCACCCCTCTGAAAAATATGAAAGTCAGCTGGGATGATGAAACTCCCAACTGAATGGAAAAATAATCCAAATGTTCCAAACCACCAACCAAATAATGTTTGCTATTCACATTACCTGGCATCATTGCTTGATCCTCGGGAAATCTTGCCAAAATGGCTTCGTATGGAGGATACCCTCTGGTAATTTGACAGTTTGCTATTGAAAATGGCACATTTAGTTCGTTGATTTACCTATTAATAGCATGGTGATTTTCCAGTTCGCAAACTGTTAGTTTACCAGGCCGGGTAATATTCTATTAAACCACCATTAGATCCCATTAAACCACCATAAAATGCCACTAAACCACCATCATATCCCACCCAATCCCCTTTCTATCCACATGTTTGCACTGCTTTTGCTTGTTACATCCAAATGTGTGTTGCTTAAATCCATGTTGGCGAAAATCGATCGAGGATCATTCCACGGATCGACTGGTGACTGTAACCCGATCGTTGGGACCCCCATAAAGAATAGCTTACCCTCTGGTAATGGCTAACGGTTAGCTATTGAAAATGACCATAGACATAGTGGATTTGCACATTGAAAATGGTGATTTTCCATAGTTTTTTGTATAGTTTACCAGAGGGTATCCCTTGTACAAATGGCTGAACTAACTCTGGTTATTAACCACCCAATCCACCCAATCTACATCTTACTTGGGATGGGCTTAAGAGTAGCTAAAATAATCCAGTTCCTAATACTGTATTCTCCAAATAGTTCACCATATCAGTTCCTAATGGTTATCATCCTATCAACATATCATTCCTTCAAATCCCAGGGTATATCCTCCAAGTTCCTAATATCCTCCAAGTAGTTACAAATCTGGTGGTTTTTCGCCCTACCCCTCTGAAAAATGATGGACTTCGTCAATGGGGGTGGGATTATCCCATATATTAATACATATACAATATATATATATATATATATATATATATTATGGAAAAATAATCCATTCATGTTCCAAACCACCAACCGGAAATACATATACCCAGCAGTTAATCAGCCTCCACCAGTCCCACAGTAGCCGCAGCCACCTTGATTTCCAGGATTCATTGCCAGGCGCTTCGATGTTCACCGTTGACAGCCTGAGGTTTCCCTAAATGTTTCCTGAGGGGCTACCCAAAGGGGAAATTTTAGCATAGGGCTATAGATGATCTATAGATGTTTAATCCACATCTTTATTGGTTGCTATGATTGGAGGGAAACCCCTAAAATAGGGCTACTCGGAGTATCATCCATTTGATTGTCGGATTTTCCATTACAGACTCAAATCATACCCTAAATGCTTCCTCAGAAGGTAATTGGATCCATAGGGATGTATATATGTGTATCTAATGTTAGTAGAGCAATAATAAACCACCCACCTGTTGATGATATATATATTTACACTACCCATTTATGGTAAAATTGGGGGTAGTTCATCTATTTGTTAGTATTTATTACTGGCTGACATCTTATGGGGATATCTTGCGAGGATTTAATGGGTATAGAATGGGATATAACTATATAACCAGCACTCTGGTTGAATTGTAATGATTCACTGACCTGAAAATAGCTATTTACTTGTAGAAAGGAGTGCACTGCCCCTGCCCAAAGGCTAAAGCAGCACACTATAGCGGACGCAGATCCAAGTCACAAGTTAATTATCTCCTTGCGCCGTTTCCTGGCGGTCTTCATGGCCAAGGACGACGTTCGGAGTCGAAACTGCCAAGTGCCACGTGCCACTTGGTCCTGCTTGGCAGGGAATGCTAAATTCGGCGTGTCAGACAACGCCTCCTTTCTACCAGTACCTACCACAGCAGCTAGCAACTGCACAACCTCAGCTTGGAAAGGGATCTGAGGACGTCGGTCCAGACCCTGATAAAACCTGCAACTACCCAGCCTGTACAACGCACTGCACTTACCATGAGTCAATCCAGAAGGCATGATTTCCTGAGGTACCAATCCTGCAGTATTGGTGAGCAGCTTCTGCACCATGGTGCCACTCTCCAGAAAACTGAAGCCGTATTGCTTAGCACCATCATATCCTCCAGGGAAACACAATCTGTTAATACCCAGGCAATCTTTACGCAGAACAGGAAGGAAAAGTTGATTAAAAAGCATCCAGGATAGTGCCAATTCCACCCAAGTGATGCCAGTGTTGCATCCAAGTGGACCAGAAGCATCGTCTGGCCAAATCAAATGCCTACTCCACTCAACAGTGCGTCTCGCAAATTCTTCCCCAAAGGCAGAGCTGCCAAGCAATCGCAAATCAGGTTCCTGAAACTGAAAGACACCAGGTTGAACCGTCCAGTTACTGAAAGCCGCGCACAACGCCCTATGGTCATGCAGCTTCGTAGAAATTTCAGATTCTTTGTTTGCAGTCGCTAGTCTACGCACCTCTTGTAAAAGAATATGCAGGTCATAAACAGCTTCAAGCCTCTTCTTGTCGACCTTCAAATCCTGCCTAACCAAGTCAAGCTGCTGTACCAATGCCGTATTCAGTGAAGAACAAGCAACTTGCGCAACAGCATCAACATGATTATTGCCTAAAGCCCAGTATCTCAAAAGGGGGTCATCAATCAAGCCAGGATCTTGGTGGGACTTGATCTTAACAAGCTGTATATGAACCCCATGTCTGATCTTCCACAAGCGAAGCAACAAGTCAACATGTTCGCATCCCGCAAAGGCAGCAGGATGCAGTGATGTCAACGCAAGTTGAACATTTGAGATGGCCACCTGACTGTCAACATGAATTACTCCATGACCTACATTTTCAGCCACCGAGACAACGGCTGACACTTCTGCACGAAGTATATCTTGTTCACCTTGACAACGCGCAGTACAAACTACCTGAAATGTAGGGATGGACAAAGTGGATCCTCTGTACTGCTCAGAAATGGCTCTACGTTCATCATCAGTCTTACAGAGATCTAGAACTACAGCAAAAGCAGAATGTCGTGTGTGCCTACATGTCGGATGCAAACATGAACCGTCCGTGAACCAGTGCAAGGTGATACCTTCATCAACCATGTTTCTGGCATGTGTGCAAATGGCTTGTCCCCACACAGGCTGCGGAGATGCAAACTGCATTAACTGCAAAGCTTCAAGATCTGGGTGTCGAGTAATGACAGGAAAATCTGGCAGTAACGACTCATCTTCCAAAATGTCGTCTATAACAGCAGAAAAACTTTCACGCACTTCACTGCCAATCGGACACTCAAGCAGGCGATGCCGCCGGGAATCTTCTTTCTGGCAGAACTCACACGTCCCGGCCGCATTATCTAACCACTTTTGCTTCTGGTTGGCAGTTTGATATGCACCTGCAATTTCTCTGACAAGAAGCCACCGCTTGGAATCCTGAAACTTACGCAAAACACTGAGGGACGCATCTCGATCAATGTCCGGAAAATGGAACCACTTGGTGCGTTGGGAGTGCAACATGATCAACTTGTTCATCCACGCTTCTTGAAGAAAACGTTTGACCCTATGCATGCTGATTTCCAAAAGTGGGAAAGACAAGAATGCAGTGACATGCAAAACCCCAGTGGCGTCCAGCTTCCAGTCTAGGTTACACAACATGAATGCAAGTGCTGAGGCAGGTCCATGCACGTGTTGGAGGTTCCCTCTGAATTTGCAGCACATGGCAAGAAAGTCCCTCCTGACAACATCATCCTGCCTAAGCAAAAAGGCCCTGGCTGTGGCAAGTGCCCTAGAAACCAACCAAAATTCGGGATCCAAGAGAGCACCATTGGAACATGCAAGTGCAATTGCTGGAGATAGGCTGGAAGAACTACCATACAGTGCATGAGCACACTTGGAACGCAGCTGTTGGAGGATTTCGCCTGACGGGGGCTTAATTTCAGCTCCATGCAAGGCTGCCGGCAAAATGCTCGCACGGATCATGGCTTCTTTGACAGACAGCTGGTGAGGCATGGCTTGCAAGCGCTCGAGCCTTTTTAAACCCTTTTCAACACGGGTGGTGGCAATGCCAAGTTCATTGTTACCACTATACTGCAATTGGAAACCCAAGTCAGCCGCAGAGGATTTTTGGTGGATGGTCTGACCAGGCGTGCATTCTTGGACAAAAGACTGGATAAGCCCAGCATGACGCTTGCAAGTAGACCAGAACCATGTTTTTCCCCAATCAATTCTGATCCCTGCCGCCTGGGTGACTGCGACAGTTTTCTTAAGGACAGGCAAGTGCAAATCTACCATTGAGAGCATCCATGACCAGTTGTCCGCATAAGCTGACAGAAAAGACTTTGGCATAGTGGGCAAAACTGAGCGAGCCTGAGAAATCCATGCCGTGGCAAGTGAAATCATGACTAACACTGAGTACTGGTCACCTTCTGGAAAGCCACATGTACCCTTGCCAACATGAATCACCTGATTGGAAAGCATCCAATGTCGAGTCAAGACTTGCAGAGACCCAATCCACATGTTCAAAAGTTCAGTGGGGATACCCATCGCAGCCATCGCATGAAAACCAAAGCTCCAGCTGATGCAGTTGAAACATTTAACCAAATCCAAAGTGAGTCCGGACAACTGATTCTGAGTCTTACGCGCCTGTTCAATCACAAACTGCGAAAAATAGGCAGAAGAAGCTGCACCACGGCCGGGGAGAAGCCCCGTGACTTCAGTCGGGACCCAGGCACAGATCACTCTGGTGATTTGGTAACTTGCAACTGCGGCCCAAAGCCTGTAGATTTGCGGCAACAATGTAATTGGTCTGGTCTGATCAGCACGTGGGATTTCATCAGTTTTGGAAAGCGGGCAAACAAGGCCATGCATGAAACTCTCGGGGAACCCTTGTGAATACCCAGCAAGGATTCTAGCCAGTTCCAGGATGAATTGCAGAGGCAATAGCTTCAGCTCTTGTGCGCTGATGAGGTCAGTACCTTTTGCTGATTGAGGCTTCAACTTTTTCAGGGCTAGTTTCCACGCTACTGGGTCAAGCATGTCTACATTAACCGCAGGGTGAGGCGGAATTTGATCCAGCACATGCTGAAAATCAAGTTGCTCAGGCGTCATTTGCAGAAATTCGGCCGAGTCAGGGTCTCTACTCCAAATTGGTTTCCAAAAGGCATCTAATTGCTTGGCAATGTCGCCTGGAGAGACAACAAATTGTTGTTGGGCCACATGTATTTCTTCTTCCCATTCAGGCACTGGCTGCACCGTACACGCAAGGAAAGAATGCTCCTCAAGCTCCACAATCTTGGCTTGGTGAGTACCAAGGGCAATAGGATATTCCATAGAAAGTTGCAAGATGTCCTGATTGTCAGCATATACACGATGATCAGTTGGGGACCCTTCATGCACAATCATGGCATCAAAAGACACTTGCCTACCCACTTCAAAAACCCTTGGCAAACCAGGACCTCGAACCACAGCAAAAGCTTGCTTGTTGTTACAACTTCTGTCAAGCTGCCGGACATAAGCCGCTTTTCTCTGTTGAATCAGCTCATCCTGTTTGAGTGAGGCTTCAACCTGAAACCTGGTGACCTGAACCGCTTGAAAAACCCAATCCGCAGTAGGGAGTGGCCAAAGGGGCCAGTCAATTTCGGGCCACCCGCAGATCCAGTGCAGAAAAGGGAGCCCAAACGCATGTGAGCGCAGAATTGCTTTCCATTCGCAAGCCAACTCGGTGAATGTGGAGTCATTCTTTGGCCCATGTTTTTCACCCTTGCAAGCCTACGCTGGAAAGATTCAAGCCTACGCAGCTGGGTAACTTTTCTTCTGCTCGGCATGGTGAGGACCTCAGTAGAAGGTTCAAAACTACCATGGTTGGCAACTTTGGTGGGGGCAAGAATGGGACATTTTACAAAACGAGCAGGCTGGCACCTACCTCTATAAGCTCTACCCAATTTCTTGACAGCGCCCTTGCCCGCACGCAGGGCAAGGTCCACATGCTTTTCTACGGTTAGGCCCCACTGCTGAATGGTCTGGGCATTGGCGAAATCGTTGTGCTGGTCTGTCATGGACTGCCACGTCTCATCGTCAATACCAAGTTCTACAAAGGACTTCGGGAAACGCAAATGGTATGCAAAAAGTGCCTGACCAGGTAAATCAATTTGAAACATGACAGGCGAGTGGGTAGCAAACC